GCTTGAAAGTGACGAAATTGACTTTAAAAGATGGAAATTCAGCAATACAGGGTGACCAGAAATAACGTTGCGGGATTTTCGGCAGCCTAAAATCCTCAAAGTTTCAATTTTGGGAGACGAATTTATTTTTAACCTATTCTCTGTGATTGTTTTTATTAGTTTCTTTGTTGTTTTACTTTGTTTCAAGTTTATTCATTTTTTTTATAGGATGACAAACAAGGGATATGCCATTCTGGAGCTTCATCGTCAAGGCCAATGCGTGAGTGCGATCGCGCGATTGCTACGTGTTTCTCATCAGCTCGTCTCAAAAGCGATTAAGCGATACAAGGAGCTTGGCAACGATGGAGATCGTTCAGGGAGAGGCAGAAAAAGAACAGTCAACACCTCCAGAAATCGCAAAGTGATTCAGAAGCGCGTGGCCCAGAATCCACAGGTCTCAATGAGAAAGATCCCTCAACAGATGGGGATCGCTGTAAATGTCACCCTGTAAATGCTTTTCGTTTAGAGAAAATTATAGATTAATTGATGAATGGTTGTTATTTTTCAAAAGAAAGTACGAAAAGAAAGGAACAGCTTAATAAAGGATGGAAAAAAAAAGGTGACGGTAAAAAGATAACAGGTTAACGTAGAGTTCTACAAGAACAAAGTTCTACATTTAATAAAGAAAGGAACAGCTTTCTGAACAGCTTAATAAAGGGTGACAACTCTTCTGAGCTACAGCTTCTACAGTAATCTATTATTTGAATGCAATTAATGTTACTAAACACAACAAAACTAGAATTTGTTTTCTAAAATATTTCAATTTTTGACAAACTACCTTCCTTTTTAGGGTTTCGCCTGATCTAGATGTCTCAATCAGAATCAGATCAAGATCAAATTGATTAAATAGAAACGAATGACGGATTACAGTAGCTTTAAAAAGTTAACACGTTTTAGAAAATATCTTTTAGAAGAAAAGAGCTTTACATGAAAATTGTTACTTTCTTGAATGGGTAAAACTAGCAATACAATTCAAAATTGAGATACAATTCAAACTAGCAATACACTTCAAACTAGCAGTACAATTCAAACTAGCAATACAATTCAAACTTGCAATACATTTCAAACTAGCAGTACAATTCAAACTTGCAATACATCTCAAACTTGTAATACACTTCAAACTAGCGATACACCTCAAACTAGCAATACATTTCAAACTAGCGATACACCTCAAACTAGTGATTACACCTCAAACTAGCAATACACCTCAAACTTGCACCACACCTCAAACTAGCAATACAATTCAAACTTGCAATACATCTCAAACTTGCAATACAATTCAAACTAGCGATACACCTCAAACTAGTGATTACACCTCAAACTAGTAATACACCTCAAACTTGCACTACACCTCAAACTAGCAATACAATTCAAACTTGCAATACATTTCAAACTAGCAATACACTTCAAAGTTGCAATACACCTCAAACTAGCAATACACTTCAAACTAGCAATACAATTCAAACTAGCGATACACTTCAAACTTGCAATACAATTCAAACTTGCAATACACCTCAAACTTGCAATACAATTCAAACTTGCAATAAACTTCAAACTTGCAATACACCTCAAACTTGCAATACCATTTCATACCATTCTCATTTCAACAACTTTAGTGTTGCAGCGCAACTTTAATTGTGTTGCAATTTTAGAAGTATCTCCATAAATCCTTTTGTGAATTTTCTCATATGATGCACTTTGTTTTGATGATTCAACCGGAGATTTTTTCATTTGCGTCAATGTTATTTAACCTCAGCTCTCATCTTTTTTTTCATCTTTCACTACTCACTTTTCTTTATGATTTTCTTTATGATGGCTTAGCTTTTTTTGTAAAAAAAAAAATGTGAAACCTTCAATTAAATCGTTTGTAAAAGGTTTTCAAAAGTTGGGATTCTCATTTGTCTAGGCAAAAAAAAACAAAAAATTTATTTGTTTCTATGTGGGAAAGGTTGAAATTTTTGAAGAAAAGGCTTCAATTTCATTCAAATTTCCATCTCGTTGACCCGAAAACAGCCATTTTTTAAATGAATTAACTTTTCAAGAAAGGATTCTGAATTTTAATCGCCTCGTTGACCCAAAAAAACAACTGGCTTAGCTTTTTTTGTAAAAAAAAAATGTGAAACCTTCTAGACAAAGAGGACAAAAATTAGACACAAATTTGGAGAATATGGGAAAATTTGGGAAAGGGAAACTGAAATTTTTAAAAGTATACTTTTTAGGGATCTCTCTGTCAACGATGATAAAAGACACAAAACATAAAATGACTTAGGGGTTTTTGACTATGCTGAATCGATTGGTAACACTGACACAAATAACGAGGTAACTAACAAAAAAGCAATTATTTATTGAAGCAGATTCTGAATGAAATCTTCATTCAGTTCTCCAAGAACCAGGAATTTCAAGGATTAAAAAAAGCGAAAAATGGTGAACGAATAGGTTAACGTAAAGTTACCGAAGCAACTACCGAAGAAAATCTCTGCCTTCTACAAGAATGACTACAAGAATTGACTGAGAAAAATTGGCGCGTTTACTGCATAGACCATTAGAATGAAACGAAAAGTAGCTTCAAACTCGTAAGAATCCAGATATTTCACAGATTGTAGCAGAAAATTGATATTAAATGGTAGAAAACGTGGTAGAAAATGCTCCGTAGCAAATCTCTGCCTTCTACAAGAATGACTACAAGAATTGACTGCAAAAAATTGGCTCGTTTACTGCATAGAATATTAGTGTGAAACGCTAATTAGATTCAGATATTTCACATATTGTAGTAGAAAATGTCTGGATTTTTTTTGAGAGCATGAAGTCGGGTAATTATGTCGGATAGTCGGGTAGGTGACAGCTCGATGATGAGGTTTAGACACTTTACGCTAAAGAAACCTATCTTTATGTCAATAGATAAAAGATAGAGCATAACAAGTTTGATATATAGCTAATTTTCAGTGAAAATTCATTAAGGCTTTATGATCGAAAAAGTTTCAAATTGTTAGCAAATTTCAATGCGCTGATATGACTGGTCAAACTTTAAGGCTCGTTAACAAGTCTAGTGAGCGGCTTTTTTTTCCACCCTTTATTAAGCTGTTCCTTTCTTTTCGTACTTTCTTTTGAAAAATAACAACTATTCATCAATTAATCGATAATTTTCTCTAAATAAAAAGCATTTATTGCTCAATTTTCATCTTTTAAAGTCAATTTCGGCACTTTCAAACAAATTCGAGAGGGAAAACGTATGTTTTCATCGAAATCTATAAAAACCTCTACGATTTGCTGAATGAATTTCTCTAAAAACTAGCTATATATCAAACTTTTTATACTCTATCTTTTATCTATTGACACAAAGATAGGTCTTCTTTAGCGTAAAGTGTCTAAACCTCATCATCGAGCTGTCACCTATCCGACTATCCGACATAACAACCCGACTTCATGCTCTCAAAAAAATCCAGACACAAGCCACTCGTTTTTATGTTATTTTGCAGAAAAATAATTGGCCTTTTTTCCATAATTAGTTTCCAAGCTTTTGCAGAAGCTCAACACTCAAATCCCCCACAAGATCTCATCGTCAGCTACATTTTCCGACCCCACATCGATAGGTTCTGATAAGCGGTTCTCGAGATTTCGAGCAATTTAGGCGAAGCTTTCGGTACACTACTATTAGAGAGACGACGGTATATGATTCCAGGTTAGGCTAGTAGAACAGACTGATCTATTTCCCTAACATTTCCCGCCGAGCCGAGTTGATCACTATTTTACAGTTTTCAAGTTTTCCCAGAATTCCAACACTCAAATCCCCCACATGATCTCATCGTCAGCTACATTTTCCGACCCCACATCGATAGGTTCTGATAAGCGGTTCTCGAGATTTCGAGGAATTTAGGGGAAGCTTTGGGTACACTACTATTAGAGAGAAGACGGTATATTATTATATCACATTTTTCCCCAGTGTACTTTCAGACCTTTGTTTAAGAGCTAAAGTTAAAGCGAATTCTTTTCTACATCATTCCCCTCTCATTTTTTGAAGATAATCAAGAGTTTTTCATGAATTTTAAAAGGTTTCAATAGTCTGGTTCAATTAGAGATTTCCCCGTTAACCTTCAAAAAAGTTTTTGAGTTTCAGATTTCAAATTCCACGAGAAACCCTTTGTAAAAAGTTGAGGATTTGACACATTTTGAATGAATTTTTCATACGCTACAATAATTGAGAATTGAAAAAAACGAAACCAGTAAGCTACAAATATAAATATGGCTTCAAAGTCGATCAAAAAAAGCTCTCAGTTTTCGCTTGATTTGATTAATGAAAAGCTAGATTTTAAGAAAATTTCTTGAAAATTCAAAAAAAAATGTTGAAAATGCAGAAAACAAAAGTTTGTGAAAACAAAAGTTTATTTAGATCTGGAAAAGTTTTGAGAAAACTATCATAGCAATTGGCCTCGTCCTTTTCATAGAAGACATCGATTTTCAGAAGGAATGAAACTGTTAGTTTCGGATTTGAAAAGCGCAATTTTTTAGACATGATTTTTTTGCGTCTTTCAATTCGAATCATCAAATCACAAATAAAATTGGATTGATTGATGGGAAAGTAACGATTTGATGGCAATAGTTTTCTTGTTTTCTTGAAAATAGGTCTTTTAGAAGAGGTGAGGAGTAATCTAGATAACAGTGAGATAATCATAAGATGTGAGACATTTTACAGGTATTTCAAAATTCGTTAATCACATGTTTTCAAAATCGCTTTCAAATCGCTTTCAAAATCATTTTCAGCAAAGAAACAATTCTTTTTTATGTACATCACGGGTTTTAGAAAGTAATTTTTAAAAAAAACATTTGTACTCAAAGAAAATAACAATAAATTGAACATAAAATTGATCGAAATTGTAATTTTTTTAAATGTTCGACCTGCTTTATGAGATCAATTCTTTTAAAGGAGAATATAAAAAAGAGAAAAAAAAGGAAGCATTCCTTTACGGATTTATCGAATCATTCATCATTGGATGCGAAGAAAATGGAGAAGATTTTGGATTGATCTGAAATTTTAAAACCTTATTAGAGTTCTATTAGCTTGACTCGCTTGTCTTTTTTCTTTTTTGTTTGTCAATTTGCTTAGAATTCCATTCAATTCATTAGCGGATCATTGAGAACCCATAAGGCCCGGGTTCGATTCCCGGCAACGGAATGATCTTTTGCTTTTGGCGAGAAAATAATCATCAACATTTATCATCCACAAACGTTCAGCTTTTGATGGTCTATATTTCTATCAACAAATACCTTTAACATGTCTAGTGCATCTAGCACTATGTCTCTTCCAGAACTTCTTTTCCTTTGTTTTTATGAAAAAGTAGCTAGCTAGCTTACTAATATCTTAGATTTCATATAGAGTTTTCGATTTTTATAACCTTGAATTTCAACTCAGCCACTCACTAAGCTCAAATCGATAACGAGATTCTCAAGGATTTCTTCGACTTGATTCACTTCCGTCGTTGTCACAGCGCTCTCGAAATATGCTCTTTCCAATTTCTGTAATCAATTTGCTTACAATCTAGCTTACAAATACTTTTTTGCATTTTTGGATAATCATTTTACGATAGTAGGTATATAAGTTGAAAAATTGATTGCAAACTTATGAAAATGAAAAATTCTGATGCTGTGGGAGTCGAGCCAAAGCCTCATAAGGCCCTTATAAGGCCTCATAAGGCCTCATAAGGCCTCATAAGGCCCCATAAGGCCTCATAAGGCCTCATAAGTTTAGAAAGCCAGCACACTATCCACTAGACCACTGAGGCTGTTGGGACCTTTCTCTGTGGTGGCCTCATGAAGAGTTCCAAGCAAAAGTCCAAAATTTAAGGAAATTTTCTGTGATTCCTTGCGATTGGGTGAGCGTTTGCAACTAATCTTTACAGATTTGGAATCAGTGGACTTGCTTAACAAGACTGAACAAAAAAAAATCGGATCCTGCTACTCCAGGCGCTTAATCTAGCTTCCAGAATATCGGATTCCAATGAACTTTTTTTTATTTAAAAGCCAAGACTTTAAGCTAGCTAATGATACCTATCACTTATATTTTTCGTTTGAAAACGGGAGTCAAAAACCTTATCGAGACGAGACAATTCCTCGTTATCTCGTTAAGTCTCGATAAGTTTTTTTGACTCACTTTTTCAAAAGAAAAATATTAGTGATGAGTATCATAAGAAAGCTTAAAGTCTTGGCTTTTAAATTAAAAGAAAGCTCATTGAATTCCAATATTCTGGACGTTAGTTTAAGCGCCTGGATTTACGCGATCCATTTTTCTCGTTAACTCTCGTTAGCCAAGTCTAAGAAACAGCACAAAGCCGATAAAGATGTATAAGATGAAAGCAATTTCTGAACTCCGAGCCATTGTCATTCCCATGATTCCTATCATTCCTACCATTCCCATCACTCCCATCATTCCTACCATTCCCAGCATTCCCATCATTCCCATCATTCCCTTCATTCGCTTCATTCCCATGATTCCCATGATTCCCATGATTCCCATGATTCCCACAATTCCCACAATTCCCATCATTCCCACCATTCCCATCATTCCCACAATTCCCACAATTCCCATCATTCCCACCATTCCCATCATTCCCACAATTCCCACAATTCCCATCATTCCCATCATTCTCTTCATTCCCACAATTCCCACAATTCCCATCATTCCCATCATTCCCATCATTTTCTTCATTCCCTTCATTCCCATGATCCCCATGATTTCCCCCTCAATTCTTACCGTATCATTGCCACTATTCACCATCCTTCCCTCATTGAGCACTTCGGTCAAATTCCCGAAAATCATTCCCTCGTAATGCTCTCGAAATTTGAGTGCTTGTCTAGAAATCTTTCGATAAAGATTTTATTTATTTTAAAATCTTCTTTTATTCTTTATAAATCTATAGTAAAGAAAAAAAATTACATGAATTTCGGTATAAAGCTGACTGATTCGGGGATTCCCCGGGTGCTCGCATTTTTCAGACGCCGTTCCACTTGTTGATACTAGAAATGTTAATCATTTTCTTCTCATTGAAGTTTTCTTTGTTCTACTATTTACTATTTCCTCACCAAATCAAGATCATCTTTCTCGTAGATTGTTCGGGAAAAACACACCAAAATGTACCCCAAAATGAGATCGTTTCGAGTAAATCTAAAAATGAATTTTCATTTGATAAAAGAAAAATTTCATTTTTGATTTTTCCTATACAAACCTTTCAGCAATTCTCTCCGAATTCTCGTAAACGAAAGATCGAAAATGGTTTTCTTTTGGATAAAATTTCCCATGATCTGTGCATCGATGGCGGAAATCTTCACGACGACCGAACTCAAAAAGAACGTCCTCGAAAAGTCTAAAGTTATTTCGATTATAAACTTCTTTTCAAATCAGAATCATTAACGAAATATTATCATCTTATTATTGCCACTCAAAGCTCAAGCTCACCGATGAATGTGCTCCTTTTTGCGACTTGCCGCCATTCCACTCCAAATTCGATCTCGTTCCATCTAAAGAAATCCATCGATTTTACTAACTATAAAAGTTTTGAATTCTTTTTTCTTGATACTTAAAGTAATCTAACTTAACTTAACTTAAATTTAAATAAAATTTTACATCTTTTACATCAACCTGATAAGTTTCGGCTCTCCATTTTCGATAGAGAAACTCGAAAGCTTCATCGCCACCGTAAAGTACTGCCGACGCATAAACGGGCATTCGAAGGAATTGCGGTATCCTGTAAATGGAAATTGAATTCAAATTGAATTCAAATTGAATTCAAATAGAATTAAAATTGAATCCAAATTCAAATTTAATCCAAATTTAATCCAAATTCAATCCAAATTCAATCCAAATTCAATCCAAATTCAATCCAAATTCAATCCAAATTCAATCCAAATTCAATCCAAATTCAATCCAAATTCAATCCAAATTCAATCCAAATTCAATCCAAATTCAATCCAAATTCAATCCAAATTCAATCCAAATTCAATCCAAATTCAATCCAAATTCAATCCAAATTGAAATCTTCTTCATAGCTCAAGAAAAACGAACACATTGCAGTTGATCGAACTCAACGGAGCATCATTGCATTGTTGCCGGGTTTTCTCGAAGAGTTTTTGCGTGTAATCAATGCATGGCTTATAGCCGGTTAAACAAACTCGCATAAAAACGTGCTCTCGAAGATTACTGTAATAAGATATATGCAAAATTGAACACTGTTATCTAGATTACTCCTGGAAGATCGGCACATTGTCTTGGCTCATCGGCTCGGCCAGAAATTTGTGGAATAGTGGGATGAAGAGGTACTGGATGTAGTCCTAAAAGTTACTAGTGTTGAACTTGTTTTAGTTTTAGATTGTTTTTTGAACAAACCTGTAGCACACGATTCTGTGGATGAGTGACGAAACGACTCTGGAAAACCTCGAGATGCGCTCCACTGATCAGCACCGGCATGTAGGAGATCTGGAAAAGAATTTCCTTGATTTTGAGCTTTCTTTCACAAATGCAAATGAATAATGAATAATAAATTTTGCATTAAACAAAAAAAACATCTCCAGTCCTCCATTTTTGGATTTTTAAAGATCTATTGGGTTGGTGAATTGAAAACTGCCGGCTATTGTCATATGTGACAGTTTGAGCACTTTCTTCAAAAGAAACCCATTTTGGTGTCAATGGAAAAGTTGTAGAGAATCAAAAATCAAGCTTATATCCAAATTTTCAGAACGATTCAAAAACTGGTTTTCAAGAAATGCCAAATTTACGAATTTTCACAAAACTTGCATTTCACAAAACATTTTAAGCGAAACTACTAAGTGTATCTTTTTGGAAATTTGGCTATAAGTCTCATTTTTGATTCTCTACAACTTTTCTATTTAAACCAAAATGGGTTTCTTTTGAAGAAAGTGCTCAAACTGGGACATCTCCAGTCCTCGATTTTTGAGTCTCACACTTGTCTCACAAACAAACCAAAACCCTACCACGAAAGAGGAATCCGCAAATTGCCTGTAAAATGGGCAGAAGTCGTCAATAATAATGGAAATTATTCGGAATGAATTCATGGTTTTATGTTCAATAAATTTTAGTTCAAAGTCCGGCAGTTTTCAATTCAACTCAGCAAAACTGACTCGCTCTAAAATAAATAGCCTTGTTGGGGAACTTTTGGCGCATCCCCCATACGGTCCGGACCTCGCCTCTTTTGATTAATATTTATTCCGGATCATGAGTAATGAGCTTGCGGGAGAACACTTCGATTCGGAAGAAGCAGTCAGAAATTGGCTTTGAGTTTTTCGATTCAAAACCAAAATCCTACCACGAAAGAGGAATCAAATTGCCTGTAAAATGGGCAGAAGTCGTCAATAATAATGGAAATTATTTCGAATCAATTTATGGTTTTATGTAGAATAAATTTTAGTTCAAAGTCGCGCAGTTTTCAATTGACCAACCCAATAGTAAAGTCAAAAGTTGATCTGAAAAGGCTGCAAACTTCTAGTCTTCTACAGTATGCTATGACTGAATACCTTTAGCCAAAGAATCGGCATACTGTAGTGTGACAAAACACTGGGTTATAGTTTGAGTTTATAAAGAGAACGAGTGAGTGAAGGGTCGATGACTCGGAAACGTCAATAATAATGGAAATTATTTGGAACGAATTGATGGTTTTATGTTGAATAAATTTTAGTTCAAAGTCCCGCAGTTTTCAATTCACCAACCCAATAACTTGAGAAACTTTAGTGCCAATTTTACCTCAGATCGAAGGTAAAGCGCAAGGCGAAACACGTCCCCATACGAGAGGTGACCGATCTCAGCAAAAGTGAAACTGTCATCAAGGAGACGAATTCTGAAAAAATCGTTAGATTTCGATTGCCAAGTATAAACACTTTTATTTCAATTTTAGGAAAGATTTTCATGCGGCTTCTACCTATTTTCTATTTCTTTCTATTTGTTCTTGTCCTTTCAAATGGTCTTTTGAAAAATTTCAAGTGACCAAAATTGGATATGTCGTAGTCGTTTACGAAATTCAGCCGTTAACGAATGATTCGTAGTTTCTTAGATCTTATTTTCTTAGATCTTAGCTTCTTAGATCTTATTTTCTTAGATCTTAGTTTCTTAGATCTTATTTTCTTGGATTTTAGTTTCTTAGCTCTTATTTTCTTAGATCTTAGCTTCTTCGATCTTAGTTTCTTAGCTCTTAGTTTCTTAGATCTTAGTTTCTTAGATCTTAGTTTCTTAGATTTTAGTTTCCATCAGATCGTCCTGTCAGCTTAACCGAGATCTTCATTTTGTCGTATCCACGGTTCTCAACAAAAAAAGTGTAAAAAATAAAGAAACAAAGAAAATCTTAAAATGAAATGAACAAGAAGTTTATAGGAGAAATTAATGCAAAAAGTAAAATGATGCAAATTTAGGGATTTCTATTTCCCTCCGCCTTCAGAGGAGGCCTCTCTTAGATGGGAGGCTTCAATTACACTATTTACGGTATGTCCATTAGCATTTCTGCTTACCTTCCCGAAACGGGAATCACTGTGTGATCCTCTTGCAGCGCTTTGATAATCCGCTGATATGTCCAACTGTCATATTGAATCCTCCCGTACATTCGCCCCTCTCGATCCAAGACAAGATCATCGGTGAGATCGATTGCCACTGAATTACATTGTTTACTGGAACCTAATTTTATAAAAAGATCGATGAATGAATCTTTGAATCGATGAAATTCAGTCAATTCTCAAGCCGACCTGTCGAATCTTCCAGCAGCCATTGCACCGTTGTGGTGTTCGTTTGTCGATCGCGCGCAAAGAGTGGGATTTTCCATTGCAACGAGCTATTTGATGGGTAGAGCTAAAAAGTTGGACAGTTAATCGAAATGCGATAACCCAAAAATGAACCTGGAAATGCTCTTGAGTGACATCCCAAACGTCGATCTCACCACCGCGTTTATTTACCTAAAAACTTTTCACCGAATTGAATGAATTGAATGAATACCCATTTAAGTCTTGTTTTAATCATTTACTGACAAGTAAAACTGTACTGAAAAGTAGTTACAAGTAATACTGTACTGACAAAAGCCTAAAATTTCACTTTCCCCAATTCCTACTCACTTTCACAAGCGGAAATCCCTTCTGGTAGATCCATTTCTCAACAACGTTTGATAAAGAGAAATTCTGCTCGGAAAGGTGCGTTCGGGCTTCCGAATTGTCGTGAACACTAGAACAAAGGTACAGTAACTTTTAAATTAACTTTCCTTTTCCTTTTCCTTTCATATCAACAAATCCCAAACCTTGAAAGTGCTCTTAACAAATCCTCGTGATCTCCATTCCCATACTCGTGCGTTTTGATGTATTTTCGGAGTCCATTTCGGAATATATCTTCTCCGACAATGAATTCGATCATTCGAAGGAGACCGGCTGCCTGAAATTCGTTTATTTTACTCAACCAAAGCTTAAAATGAAAACCTTTTTATATGAAATCAAGTTGAATTGCCGCTCCGGGTCGACGATTTGTCCTGTGGGAATGGTGAGTGGAGTGGCTCGGTCCGTTTGATCTTGACGATACACTCGAGCATTCCAATCAACTGACACCTCATTCTAAAGCAGAATTTGAAATCTATCAATCTAATCAACACTCACCATTCTGACTGTGATCCCCTCCGAATGATCAGCGGCTTTTATTCCAATCATTGAGGCAAAACCCTCGTTAAGCCAAAGATTATTCCACCATTTCATCGTCACCAAATTCCCGAACCACTTAAGATTTGATGGTAAATGACAATGAGTTATTGTTGAAAATGAGTATCATTTCTTTTACCTGATGTGCTACTTCGTGACTGAGCAAATCGGTGACCTGACGTCTTTCAGAAACAGAGTAGATCTAGACGATAAATAGGCAATGATTTTAATGGAACTGACTGACAAAGGAAATGACTGATAAAGGAACTGACTGAAAAAGGAAATGACTGACGAATTGAAAATGAAAGTGTTTAAATCCTATCAAATCCATCTTATTCTTCCTACCTCAGCATTGTAAACAACATGTTTCTGATTGCAAATGATTAAGCCCCAATTCTCCATTGCTGCCACACGCATCACTGGCACCGCATAGATATCTGAATGTAGGTAAAATAAAACGGAGCTTCGCGTAGTTTAAGCTTACTTTCAATGCTCATAAATGCACAGATCTTGACACCGGTACGTTTGTTTTCGAGCGTTTAAGTATCAAATTAAAGTTAAAAGAATGGGTAATTGTTTTATATATGTCGTAGCCGCTTACGAAATTCAGCCGCTAACGAATGATTCGTTAGCGGCTACGACATATAAATCTTTACAATTTCTCTACAACACAAAGCAAAAAGCTCGTCTTAACTCGATAAAAACGTATTTTTTAAGTAAAATTTTCAATTCTTTTTTTAAAGAAAATCGCTGAACAGATCGTTTTCAAAATTTTACAGACTTAGCGCTAGCGTTATCGTTAGCGCTAGCGAATCATTCGAATCATTCGTTAGCGGCTACGACATATATAACACAGATTTTTACCATTAATCAACGCTTAGAAAAATGATTGAAAAGTGACAAAAAAGAACCGATTTTGCTGATACTGGTGTGCCGATATGAGCGCTTGTTTGAGAGTAAACTACGCCAAAATCCTATTAGAGTTCTATTAGAGTTTTTCTTTTTACGGTATAATGTTAGACAAAGACGCTTATCTCGGTTTTTTCAATTAAACCTAAAACTAGTCTTGCTGAATGATTACTTTTTCTTGTAGTGAAACACAAAATCAATCATTAAATTGCTTTGAGCAAAGTTCATTTCAAATTCAACCTGTTCTTGATACTTTTAACTCTTTCACTTTTTATTCTCTTCTTTCTTTCTTCTTCCCCTTTTCTTTCCTTCTTTCTCTTGGCAAAAGATTGGATAGCTTACTGGATAGCTCAATAACTTGTAGATTACTGGATAGTTTGTACCGGACAGCTCAAGAGCTTCTAGCTTGTAGCTTATCGAATAGCTTGTACCGGATAGCTCAATAGCTTGTAGCTTATCGAATAGCTTGTGCCGGATAGCTCAATAGCTTGTAGCTTGGAGCTTATCGGATAGCTTGTGCCGGATAGCTCAATAGCTTGTAGCTTGGAGCTTATCGGATAGCTTGTACCGGATAGCTCAATAGCTTCTGGCTTGTAGCTTATCGAATAGCTTGTACCGGATAGCTCAGTAGCTTGTAGCTTACCAAATAGCTTACCGGATAGCTTAGTGGTTAGAGCAATTGTCTGGAAAGCAAGAGGTTTAGGATTCAATCTACACCAGAAATCCACTTTTTCTTGCCAACTCCTTCACTTGACATGATGACAATATGAAAGTGATCGAGAGAGACAAGAAGATGACAATCAAAAGAATGAAAACGGTCACACCTTAACAAAATCGATGAGAGGGAAATTGTTTCATTCGTAAAAAATAAAGAATAGAATAGTGAAATCGTTGCGCTATTCTTTTTTTGTTTAACAATCTCTATACAAACAAATCTTTGATTTTGAAATTTGAAATTGAAATTTCATTTAACCATGCAGCCTTGATTATTGACCGCTAACCTGCTAAAAGCCAACAATTTTCCCAGAACAAAACATGACCTTCCCTCAGTTTTCTTCAATTTTCCTCAAATTTTCTCATTTTCAGCCTCATAATGACTTGAGAAATGAACGTTTTCTTATTGTTTTTTATTTTTTTACAATGTTACAAAGCACAAATCGTACCGATGTCGAAATTTTACCCATCGAAACAAGCAACTGGTGTACAGGTACTTGGCTGTTTTTTTTCGAATCGAATAGCTTGTACCGGATAGCTCAATAGCTTCTAGCTTGTAGCTTATCGGATAGCTTGTAGCGATAGCTCAATAGCTTGTAGCTTATCGGACAGCTTGTACCGGCTAGCTCAATAGCTTCTAGCTTGTAGCTTATCGAATAGCTTGTACCGGCTAGCTCAATAGCTTGTAGCTTATCGGATAGCTTGTAGCGATAGCTCAATAGCTTCTAGCTTATCGAATAGCTTACCGGATAGCTTAGTGGTTAGAGAAAAATAATTTATAAATCTTTTCAGCTTTTCCCTCTACACGATTCTGTTCTTTATCCAAATTTCTATAAAATAAACTCATCAAAAAAGCGATTATCATTTGTGCAATTAATGGAACGAGATCTTTTTGGAGTACTGGATCAACTACAGAATAATGGTTATTTAGCGACATCAGTTTGCCCTTATCGGTAACTTGAAACTTTTCTTTTTAAGTCATTTAACTGTTAACAAAAAGCTTTCAGTTATCTGAATGACACTTTATATGTGGTGAATGCCGAAGCGAAACGGGGACGTCATTTCGTGAGAATAAACTTAACACTTAATGAATTGGAATCAGAATCGAATTTGATGATGGAGAAACGGTTAAAGGTCGAGTATTTTGTATGTAATTTGGCCTAAATGTGGCTAGAGTGGGCTTCTGTTGGTTAAAAATTTTCATTTAAAAGTTAACTAAGAATTAAGTAGACAAAGGTCAAAGGATTGATTGGTAGATTTTTAGGCAGATCACTGAATTTCTTAACTTTTCTCCTTCTAAAAAGCTTACCGTATTTTCTCTAATAGTAGTGCACCCCAAAAACATTTAGCAAATTCACCTATCGAGACTTTTGGACATTGTGATTACAATCGTTTTCTCTCTAATACTAGTGCACCCGGTCGAGCCGAGTTGGTGACGATTTTACGGTTTCCAAGGTTTTGCAGAAGCTCAACACGCAAATCCCCCACTAGATCGCATCGTCAGCTACATTTTCCGATCCCACATCGATAGGTTCTGAGAAGCGGTTCTCGAGATTTCGAGCAATTTAGGAGAAGCTTTGGGTACACTACTATTGGAGAGAAGACGGTAGATTATTCCAAATTAGGCTAGTAGGTCAGACGGATCTATTTCCCTAATATTTCCCGGTGAGCCGAGTTGAGCACTATTTTACAGTTTCCAAGTTTTCCCAGAAGTCCAACACTCTATTCCCCCACTAGAGCTCATCGTCAGCTACATTTTCCGACCCCACATCGATAGGTTCTGATAAGCGCATTTCAAGATTTCGAGCAATTTAGGCTACGCTCATGGTGCACTACTAATAGAGAAAATACGGTATATTAACTAATTTCTATTATAAAAGTGGTTTTTTTAGGTTATTTTAAGGTGTAGAATTGAAATTTTTACATAAGAAAGCTTGTGGAAACTATTTGAAAGCGAAAACGAGTAATTCAAATTATAGAAAAGATTTTCCCCTATGTATAACACCGTTTGTTTGCTTTCATTAACAAATTTGCATTTATCAAGTCAATCAAACTTATGCAAAAATTGCTTTTTTAAATCAAATTATGCTAATTTAACTATGAAAATGAATAATAATTACTCTAAATGTGACAGTCAAATCCACCTTATCACTAACTTTAGCCAGTCCATTTCTGTACCACAACTGGCCTTCCTATCTTTACAAGTGTTTGGCATAAAGTCGACGAGTTTCTCTGGCATTACGTCATTGAGGTAACTAATAAACATACGTCAAAAAAACTTAATCTTTTGATTAAGCAAGGCTCTCTTGAAGAAATGCTAAAAAAGGACACTCAAATGGGGCAAGAGGGCTATTATATAAAGATTTTTCTGGTAACTACAGTAATTAGAATTGAAATTTTGGATAGACTTTTAAAAACACGTCAAGCGAAACTTTGCAAGCAATAATTTTATGGAGGAAAGGATTTGGAGTTCGGTGAGTAGCATTGATTGGTAGCATTGATTCTAAGAAGATTTAGATATCGCTTTGAGATATTTAATAGTATTCACGATTTGGAACCTCGAATGGGAAAAGGGAATTCTGACCTTGAACTATCAGTGGTTCATTTGACTCCAAATCAAAAAGTTTACACGATTTGGAGAGATCATGGGTTTACGTGGACAAATCGAATGATACCAAGGGATATAAAGTGAGGCTTGAAAAAGATTTGGGTCTAGATTTGGGTCTAGATTTGGTTCTAGATTTGAGTCTAGATTTGAGTCTAGATTTGAGTCCAGATTTGGGTCTAGATCTGGGTCTAGATTTGGGTCTAGATCTGGGTCTAGATTTGAGTCTAGATCTGGGTCTAGATTTGAGTCTAGATCTGGGTCTAGATTTGAGTCTAGATCTGGGTCTAGATTTGAGTCTAGATTTGAGTCCAGATTTGGGTCTAGATCTGGGTCTAGATTTGGGTCTAGATTTGGGTCTAGATCTGGTTCTAGATCTGGTTCTAGATCTGGTTCTAGATCTGGGTCTAGATTTGGTTCTAGATTTGAGTCTAGATTTGGGTCTAGATTTGGTTCTAGCTTTGAGGCCAGATTTGGGTCTAAATCTGGTTCTAGATTTGGGTCTAGATTTGGGTCTAATATTCCAATTATCCAATTATATCTTTTAGCTTCGACTAAACCTAGAAAATCTCTTTATTGTTAGCTTTGTTTAGCACAAACACTTCCTTCTGGGTAAACGAAGAAATCGAGAAAGTAATGCGAACAATGGAAATCCCATCAATGTCAATTTTTGTTCAAGTAAACGGAATTGAAATCTACAAGGCAGCTTTTGGTTATGCTGACGTTTTACAAAGAATAAAGGTACTAGAAAAACAAAATATTCAACAACTACATCGCTAAGGCCAACCCCGATCATCGATATCGAATTGCGAGCATCTCGAAAACGATCACTGCAATGGCTATTCAAGAGCTGATCAATCAAAAAAAGATTCGGCTCGACTCGCTTGTATTTGGTTTGTATTTGAAATATCTTAGCTTTCTTTATCTGCTTTTATAGCCAATTTCTAGGCCCAACTGGAATTCTGGGACACGACTTTGGCACACGGCCCTACAACTCTCAAATGCTTTCAATCACCGTTCAACATCTCCTCGAGCACACCGTCGGCTCCTGGGAACACTTCAGAAGATACGAATTCTCAAAGTTTCTTTCACTGTAATCTTTTCAATTCAAAAGTTTAGGCAAAACTTCACCAATCATCAATTTCTTTCGTGGCTCTTTGACTCTCATCCACCAAAAGTTTCTGTTAACATTGTTCATCTCTACTCAAACGTCGGCTATATAATTTTGGGTCGAGTCATTGAAAAGGTTTGATTGTTTTGTTTTTGTAATCTAATGCAAGAAATGAATTATACATTTATTCAGTACATGGATTGTCCCATTTGTTGTCCTCCCTGTGGTGGCTGTTGTGGTTGTTGTCCACCGGCTGGCTGCTGGCCTCCTTGTTGTTGTCCCCCCGATGGCTGTTGTCCGTTCATTGGTGGCTGTTGTGGCTGCTGTCCTCCCTGTGGTGGCTGCTGGGGTTGTTGTCCTCCTTGAGTCTGTCCTCCCATTGGTTGCTGGGGTTGTTGTCCTCCTTGTGGTGGCTGCTGGGGTTGCTGCCCTCCTTGAGTCTGTCCTCCCATTGGTTGCTGGGGTTGTTGTCCTCCTTGAGTCTGTCCTCCCATTGGTTGCTGGGGTTGCTGTCCTCCCTGTGGTGGCTGCTGGGGCTGCTGTCCTCCTTGAGTCTGTCCTCCCATTGGTTGCTGGGGTTGTTGTCCTCCTTGAGCCTGTCCTCCCATTGGTTGCTGGGGCTGCTGTCCTCCCCGTGGTGGCTGCTGGGGCTGTTGTCCTCCTTGAGTCTGTCCTCCCATTGGCTGTTGTCCTCCGGATGGTTGTTGTCCGTTCATTGGTGGCTGTTGAGGCTGCTGTCCTCCCATCGGTTGCTGGGGTTGCTGTCCTCCAGATGGCTGTTGTCCGTTCATTGGTGGTTGCTGACCTCCTTGCATTTGTCCTCCCGGTTGTTGTCCGCCCTGTGGAGGAACTGGGGAAGCGAAACTGAAAGAAACTTGATAGTCCAACGCATTTCATCAAGCTAAAGCTACAATGAGGCACTGTATTTAAATCATTGAAGATGTTGTAGCTTCAAAAAGAAAGCAACTGGAAGTAGAGTATTGCTTACTGCATTGCTCATTGTATAGCATTGTAGATGATTGTTTACATCAACTAGCATAGTAGTGTAGCTCATCTTACCCAACTTCCATATCCTTACTTTTCAATCGAAGACTCAAGAACTTACACGGCAACGATGGGAAGACAGAAGAAGGCAATATATTTCATTGTAGTGTTTTCGAGATGAATCGAATGCTTTTCCTCATCAACTTTGGTGTATTTATACCAAAATTTGTTTAATTTCTCATGTTTCGATGAGTTCCATTCCTCCAGGATTTCTTTTTTCATTCTTTTATTTGCACATTCTTCATCATTCTTCAAATAAAATTTGGATTATACTGAGAATTCCGTCACTTTGGTGTCACTTCATCATCATTACGTGATTGTTTGCATAGGTGGATAGATTGTAGCTTTTGAAATCTCTGTCTATGTGGATGTATAATCGACAAGTATCGAGAATTTTACTTGATAAATACTAGTTTTTAAATAAATAAGCAAATACCGTATTTCCGCTAATAGTAGTGCACCCCGGCGAGCCGAGTTGATGACGATTTTGCAGTTTCCAAGTTTTCCCAGAAGTCCAACCCTCAAATCCCCCACTAGAGCTCATCGTCAGCTACATTTTCCGACCCCACATCGATAGGTTCTGATAAGCGCTTCTCGAGATTTCGAGGAATTTAGGCGACGATCAGGGTGCACTGCTATTAGAGAGATTACGATATACCATCAAAAAAAAACTGTTTTCCAAGTTTTCCCAGAAGTTCAAAAATTCCGTCACTATTCATCTTCATTACGTGATTGTTTGCATAGGTGGTGCATAGATTGTAGCTTTTGAAATCTGGACTTTACGAATCAAAGTTGATAGAAGTGTGTGCTGTTTGGTGAAATGTCGTTTTGAAATTCTATTTTGTATTTTTTAGATCTCCGGCGTTAGCTACGAGAAATTCGTGCAAGAGAATCTTTTCAATAAACTCCATATCAAAGGGCATTTAGGAACAAGAAAAAGACAAGAAAATGAGGTGATTCATAAAACTTTTACAATGAATATACAAAACTAAGCAATATCTAGAGCAATAGCTATAGTTTTTCATCTTGACATGCAACATCTTGATGTGGTTCTAGGTGTGCTACTACTCTCACGACAACGCGAATCCCTACTTCAATTGGGATCCAGTGAGAATGGATGCAGCTGCTGGATGGACTTTAACTGCTCAAGATGTGGCAAAAATCTTTGAAAATTTGTCAAAAAATCGGTAAAAAGACTAATTTCATAATTAAATTGTGATTAAACAAGAAATCGCAGCTATCGGGAGTACGAAAATTTGATTCAAAGATCCCGATGGGATTTCGCATATGGACGCGGAGTGCAAATTGGATGGGATCAAAGTTTCTATCATTTTGGATCACTTGCTGGTGGGTTTATGAAAAATTTAGCTTTTTCTTGTAGCTTGTAAGCTTTTTCAAAACGTAATACCCTATCCTGTTACAGTAAATATAAATATTTTTCGATTTCAGTCTCAAAATATGGCTCTTGCATGGTTTTTGAATATTTTTCCGGGTCGTCATGCTTTGAAGGCCTATAACTTTGTCTAGAGAGCATATTTTTCTTAACTTTTTATATCATTGTACGGAGGAGATTTCAGGCTTTCAAATGATACCAAATAGAGCCAGACTAAAAAAATCGAGTCCAAGAAAATCGGAGTCAACTTTGGCAAATGACGCCTATCCAACTCGGGTATCGTGTTGCCTTGTTTGTATGGGAATGAACAATCTAGTCAAACTTTATTTAGTATCATTTGAAAGCCTGAAATCTCCTCTGTACAATGATATAAAATGTTAAGAAAAATATGCTCTCTAGACAAAGTTATAGGCCTTCAAAGCATGACGACCCGGAAAAATATTCAAAAACTATGCAAGAGCCAAAAGTCTTCAGCCATGACTTTGCTTTTAAGTTCTATTTTTCCGGTATACTGTAATGAAATAGAAAACTGGACAATAAGTTTAAACAATAAGTAAATTTACAAGTTTTTTTTGTTAATAACAATACGTTATCTAGGTATTGAGGGAATCGGTTTCACGAGAAACGGCTTTCAATGCGCGATTCTCGTCAATGTGCGCGGGAAACAAGAGAATTTTCTCACTCATTGGATGCTTCAATTTTGCCAAGCTTTTTCGAATCAATAGCTTTTAAAACAATGAATTCTTTTTTTTGTCTTTTTCTAATTTTCTTCAAATCAACTCACCCAATTTCATGAGCGGATACTCGTACTGAAAATAGTCCTCATAGAAGTCGAGCAATCGAGGCACAATGTCCAACGCTGTGCCGGTGTCGTTCACTTTTGAGGGTTCTGTGTAGACACGAACCTAATAAAATGGGCGTAAATTGGGTCGATTTGTGTCTATTTATGTCTATTTGTGTCTAGTTATGTCTAGTTATGTCTAGTTATGTCTATTTATGTCTATTTATCTCCAAAATTTCTCACTAACTCGAACGCCTTTCAATGTGTGGGTTTCAGTGTACGGGAAATCGGAGACACACAGTGCAAAAAGATAAGTCGACATTAGTGGAGTCTCCTTAAAAGCGGTGATTGTCCAATTCCTAAAAAAATCAATTTTCCATCAAATTTCCTTTTCTTAAACATAAATACGACTAAATCGGATTTAATTTGTCTATTTTCTTACCCATTGTTCACCACAAGCGTTTCGATTGTGTTCGATACGGCGTTTGTCCCGAACGGATGCTCGACAGTCGCCTAAATAAATCCTTTTAAACATTTTCAACTTTAATTTACTATAATATTTATAAACTTTATTTATTTATTTATAATTTAAAAAATAAAAAGAAAAGTACTATAGTATTTGATAAGAAACAAACCTTGAATTTGGCCTTTGCATCGGGAATATCAAAGCACGGGAACAGCGTCCGTGCGTCCATCGATTGCAAGTGAGTAGCTAGCTAAATGAAAATGTGTAATTACACTGGAATTTAGTGCTTTTGCTTGTGCTCAAGTCTTCTGCCGGTTGAAAGATTAAGAGAAAGATCTCAGTATTGTTACAGGGTTCTTATTACAGAGGAGATCAAACTATGCGTTAGCTCCAGCCAAAAAAACCCTATAGGCGGGTATCAACTGGCACTAACAATAAGAGAAGAGAACAATAAGCGAACAATAACAAAGGGAACAGAGTCCGTGCGTCCATCGATTGCAAGTGAGTAACTAGCTAAATGAAAATGTACTACACCTAGTAATACTTGCTTTTTTTACGTGCATTCATTTTTGCATTTATTCATGATACCAAATTACATTGTAATTACACATTGCTCTTGGATTTTTATCTTCAATGAGAAAATAAATAAGGAACCAGAAAGCGTGCGCTTCTCGTTCTTGAGAAAAAGTGCTCCTCTTCTCTTATTGTTCTTGTTACAGGGAGATTAAACTATGCGTTAGCTCCAGCCAAAAAAACCGTTAGGCGGGTAGCAGCTGGTACTAACAATAAGAGAACCCTGTAACAATACTGGGATCTTTTCTCTTAATCTTTCAACCGGCACAAGACTTGAACTCAAGCAAAAAGTTAGTCGTCTGGGTTGTATTCTGGCCTCTTATCCACTGCACCACCAGCTCATACTAGCGCGGCGCGGGAAAAGCTTTGTAAGCGAGATATCGCAAACTTCGACTTATTTCCGGTCGTATGAGCAACTGATTTTTTCACCCTTATGATCAACATAGTCAATTCTTAACTTTTTAAAAAGATATCCAAAATTCTTTAATTTTTTAGAAAACTTCTATCTAACAAAAAAGCGCACACGGAAATTCGATCTGCGAAGAAAATGCGTGTGACGGACGGACGGCCAGACAAACACTTGCCTTTCCCTTCTTTCCTTGTCTTTCTTATTTCTTCTTGGGTAGGGAAAACGCCAATGGCTCAGTGGTAGAGGTAAGTAAAAGATCGAGGGTTCAATTCTTTCCCATTCATTTCTTTACTTTATTTTATACATAGCTTACCATCCATCTTTTTTCCGTCTCGTGTCGATAAGGAGCTGAGTAGATGCCGGTAAAGTTCCCATTATCGAAGCCGCCTCTAGAATTCAGGTTTAATAGCTTTTTTTCTGAGTTTTGATAATCATTGATTCAAATAGTTGAATGTTAGCTCTTCAGTCAGTAATTAGAGTCCATGTATTCAAAATTACAGCTTACATGCAGTATAGGGTTTTAAAACCAACGTATAGTTGATGTGCAAGGTGTAGTCGACACCAGCAGTGAGCAGATCGGCGGGTTGAATGTGGAGAAGTTCTTGGGAGTGATTGTGATAGTGATCTTGCAGGGAAATCTCTTTCCCCAAATCATCGAATAGCTAAAAAAAGGTGGAGGGTTTTTTTTGCTTTTGAAAATCCATATCGAATCCATATCCATATCCATATCCAAATCCAAATCGAGCACAAGGTTCGATTTGGATTGAAACAATCTCAAGCGCTACAATGACGCGCTTTTACCCTTATTTTGCTCGTTTCTTAGTTAGTTTTCATGAATCTACAAAACGTTCTACATAAGAAGAGAGTAAAAATAGCATCAATGAACACTCATAGACCTATGAATGAGCACTTAGAAACTAAATTAAAATTAAGACCTATGAAACACTTAGAAACTAATTTTTAAGATTTCTTTGCGTATTTTAGAGTGGGGAAAATGCTTGGAATGATCCATTTGAATTTTTTCTTTTTTTTTTTTGGTTTTTTGCTTGGCCTATATGCCTTCAAAATCATGTAAAATAACAAAAGTTTAATTGAAAAAACCTTAAATCACAACGATTCTAATGAGAATTTAAAACCCAAAACTCAATCCAAATCGGATAAAACACATAAATTTGACTTTTAACCAACCTGTACCCGGAAACCGAGTTGACGAGCCGAGTGCAACAGGATTTTTCGATTTGGCGTCTCACACCGGAAAATGATCTAAAGTTTAGAAATTTTATTTGATTTCGATTCTATTTCGATTCAATTTCGATTCTATTTCTATTCGATTTCTATTCTATTTCGATTTTATTTCGATTCAATTTCGATTCAATTTCGATTCGATTTCTATTCAATTTCGATTCAAATTCTATTCAATTTCGATTCAATTTCGATTCGATTTCTATTCTATTTCTATTCTATTTCGATTCTATTTCGATTCAATTTCGATTCAATTTCTATTCTATTTCTATTCTATTTCGATTCAAATTCTATTCAATTTCGATTCTATTTTGATTCGATTTCGATTCTATTTCTATTCTATTTCTATTCTATTTCTATTCTATTTCTATTCTATTTCTATTCTATTTCTATTGTATTTCTATTGTATTTCTATTTCTATTCTATTTCTATTCTATTTCTATTCGATTTCGATTCAATTTCGATTCAATTTCGATTCAATTTCGATTCAATTTCGATTCTATTTCTTTCAATTAATTCAATTCAATTAATTCTAAAGTTTTTCAGAAATTTTCTCACTTTCACGAAGCCATCAAAAGTGAAATTCCTCTTTCCATAATCGACACCCGGACGATAGGGAAGGAAAACTTTGAGATTTATCTCGTAATGTTTCGGCACATTTTCTCGGGGTACCTGAAAAGAAAATTCAAGTAATTCGATAAGGATTCGATTCATTTCTTCTTTCTTCAATCAATGCCAATTTTGATTCAATCAGCTCAATACCATTTTGCAAAACCAGCTCAATTTGCTGAAGAAGTTCCGACTAGTTCACACTCAAAATTCACACAAACACACACCTGTAAATGATCAAATATCTGATCTAATCTATCGTATGGATTCAATCGAATCGACGTGAGTGGGGTGAGGAGAAGAAAAACGATGAGCAGACCCATCAATGTCATCCAAGCAATCGACAACGGGATTCGGGGATCGATTCGATGACCAAGAGTTGTATAAGCTACGAGACGGAAACGATCCTTTTCAAGCTGAAAAAAAACTAACTTCAGACTTGTTTTAAATAAAGAAACCTTTTTACTAACTTAAGTTTTTCTAACTAATTTCTTTCTTAACTCAATTCAAACTTCTGCACTCACCTGGCCCATTCGGTGGCAAGCAGCGGGCTTGCCGCGAGCGGCCCTCGCATCGAACGCCGTTACGCGCACCACTCTGTAAGAATTTTCATTATCAGCTTATAAAAGTTAACAAGATTGGCATTGTAACGTTTTTTTGAATAATATCTTGAAGAAGCAATGATAAAACCTATCAACAACCTCATAGAATTCGTCCAAAATAAGGCGAATAAATTGACATCAGAGAATTCTTAAATCTTGAATTCTCAAAAACTTGAATGACCAAAAACATGTTGCTTTTTCTGTTTTGATTTTTTTTAGGGGATAAAGTTGCGAAATTTACGCTCTAATGATTTCACGGGGGCACAGAAAACGAATTCGGAATGAAGGAAAAGAAAAATTGCGACTCATTCAGAGAAAATTTTTGAAACTTTTATAAAATCAAATACGGTAATTGGTTTTAAATGTTTAAAAAGAATGTCAGAGAGCACACCGCTTTTTTGAGGAAACTTTGAGGAAACTTTGAGGAAACTTTTTGAAGGAAACGGAGTCACACCGACTCGAGTCTGACTCGCCTTTAACCCGTATGATTTTGGGGATGATTTTGTTTCAGAATAGATGAATAGCACAAAAAGGTTACACGGGTTTCCCCAAAAAAAAAACGCTCACAACATAACAAGAACGGTTATAGGCTCGTGATACGAGTACAAAACTTCGTCATTGTACATTGACGCTTCGTCGATGGTAACACAGATATTAGCAAATCCTTTCTACAATGTTAGACCAGCTATCTAAACAGAATTTAGGGCCTTAAGGGTAGTTTAAAGTAGATTGGATTTATAATTTGATGGTTTATTAGTACAGAAAGAAAAGGCAACGATACTTATTAACAAAAACGGCGTGCGCGTCAAGAGAAACATCAAATTCTGAAAGAACGAGGGCAAAACTCGAAACCCAAAAGGGCAAGAAGCCACAAGTTCTGCCGAAAAACGAAAAAAAGAGATTTACGGGGAGAGAATGAGGCGAAAGAGCGACGCAAATTAAATGCAAAGAAAAAAGGAGACGAAAGAGCGACGAAAATTAAATGCAAAGAGGAAATGAGAGGAAAGAGCGACGCAAATTAAATGCAAACAGGAAACTTTTTGAAGGGAACGGACGAGCGAGCAAGCGAGCGAGCTCAAGCCTCGAAAAACACACCGATTTCATCATTCTTACGTGAAATAACGAAATAAAAAAAATTTTCCAATACATATAGAAAGACTAAAGAATTCCAAATTTTTGACAAACACAATATCCGACTTATCTAATTAGCATCAAACATCAAAAAAAGTTCTCTTTTTCTCTTAATCGATTTCATCCATTTGTTTTCCCGATCACTTTTTTTTTGGCTTGAACGTGTGTTGATCAATCGGCGTAGAGAAAAATCCGAAAATCGATCAAAATCTCCCACAAAAATGGCTAGTCTCATCAATTTTTATGAGAAATTTCGTTGCTTTTTTCGTTGGAAAAACTTGGATCAAATCGGGAAATCGTTTTGATGGAAAAGATCAAGATCAAAGGGCAAAGTTAGAGCAAAATCTCCTAGAGATCAAAGTCGAATAAAACAAGATTTCAATTTCAATTTTGTGGCTGATTTGAATTTGAATTGAATTCCCGAGAGTTAACGGGGATGAGATTGCTTAAATAATGTGAGCAAAGAGCCGCTCTTCAGTCAGTAATTAGAGTCCATGTATTCAAAATTACAGCTTACATGCATGAAGCCTCATTTACGCAATTCAGAATCATCGCACACGTATATAGGATTAAAAAAAAGGATCAACTTTTAGTACTGACTGACTGATAGACATGGCTTTAGCTTTAGCAATTTCTTAGTTCAATCCAACTGGCCTGCGAGCTGAATAAGGCCGCACTACAAGATCCAAGATCCATAATAAAAAGTTATAACAAAAAGAAAACAAAAATCTGAATCCTGTGAAATGTTGTGTGCATTCCAGCTAAGAAATTCGTCAATAATAATAAAAAAATTCTAAGCACTCAGAAAAGAGGAATAGGCGCTCGAAGATTTGGGAGAAAAAAAAAAAAAAAAAAAAAACAAAACCCCCCCCCCCCCTTTGTGGAACCCAACCCCCCCCCAAAGGAAAAACCCAGCGCCCCAGAAAGGGTGTGTTTACGTTCGCTATCATCAGCATAAAGTACATTCAAGTTTTATGAGTGCCTGAAAACCCCCCCCCTCCCCACCTATTCCTCTAAAGTATTTTGAAAAGAATTCCTGAACGTCAATAGCCATGAGGTCTAGCAGATGTTTGCAAGTATTCAGAGATCCAAGATCCATAATATAGCACTCGATCAAAACCTATTCAACCCAAAAATATCTCCAAAAAAGTCGGCTTTGCAAAAATTTCAAAAGAAACCCTATTTTTAGGGCATAAGACCAATTATTATATGGAAAATTATATGGAAAATTTCCTGGGGAAACCCCCTTTTGATCAAAATGGGCAAATGTGGTTATCCCTTGAAAACAACCAAGAACGCACAAAGATTTGAAAAGAGTTGGATGATTGATGAATGGTAAATGAAATGAAATGTGTCGGGTGAAAGGTTCGGTCAGTCGGCGAATTTTTTTTCGGCACATCTTTTCCCCTTGATTTTTATCTCTTAATATCCACGTGAGAAATCATGGGAAATTGATGGGATCAGCCAAAACGCGCATGTTTACCGCCCCCGACTAGCCGATTAGTCTAATCGATCGATGCTCGAGAGTTGAAAATAGATATAGTTTAAAACATCGGGACATCGGGATCGGGACGGGATCGGAAAAAAGCATTGCTGCCAGATTTTGATGGCAATTGAGCTGTTACTTTCGATCTAGAGTGAAGCGAGGGATGGACGATCGGCCAAACGATCTAGATTCTGCACGAATCAATTTGAATAGTCTGATTTTGAGTGGCTGCTTGATTCTAGATCGGACGTTCGACCTCACTTCATTCTAAATTCGACGCCCGAGCATGTTCTGTGGATGCTCGAGCGTCGAAATGAATGAAAATCATCCACTTTCTATTAATCTTTTAAACTTTTAGCTCACTGGCTTTGATGAAAATAAAAAAATATCGATTTTGTCGAAAACCGGGTGTTCCAAAAGTTTAGACGGTTTGGAATTTTATCTTTAAAAATTCATTTTTTTTAAATATTTTTGGCTCTTTTTCTATACTGAACTTTTGCGTAATCATCTATTTTAAAGGAAATGAGACAAGAAGGGAAAGATTTACGCTCTCGAGATTTCACAGATTGAGGCTTACCGTAACGCCGGCTGGACCTTCAACAAAATTGCAGAGAAACTTAATCGTTCTGAGCCAGGAGTTCGAAATGCATTTGGAAGGATCAACAACAAACGTCCCAATAAGAAAATGGGTAGGCCCACCAAAGTTATCTGAAAGAGATCGACGACTTTTGTCAAATGCTGCTTCGAATTCGCCAAAGACAGCTAAGGAGTTAGCCGCTGAATGTGGGCTCAAAGTTTCAAAACAAACGATTCTGCGAAGTTTAAAAGGAAATCTTAATTTGCAAAGAGTGAAGATGATGCCAGCTCCAATATTAAAGGATATTCACAAAAAGGCACGTTTAGACTTCGCTCAACGTTAAATGAGTCGAGATTGGACAAAGTGAGATTTATAATTCTGATTATCTAAACAAAATAAAACTCAAATCCCCCACAAGATCTCATCGTCAGCTACATTTTCCGACCCCACATCGATAGGTTCTGATAAGCGCTTCGCGAGATTTCGAGGAATTTAGGCGACGCTCAGGGTGCACTACTATTAGAGAGAAGACGGTATATTATTCCAGGTTAGGCTAGTAGATCAGGCTGATCTATTTCCCTAATATTTCCCGGTGAGCCGAGTTGATGACGATTTTACAGGTTCCAAGTTTTCCCAGAAGCTCAACACTCAAATCCCCCACTAGATCTCATCGTCAGCTACAGTTTCCGACCTCACATCGATAGGTTCTGAGAAGCGGTTCTCGAGATTTCGAGGAATTTAGGCGACGCTCATGGTGCACTACTATTCGAGAAAATACAATACTATGTTTAAGCAGTGTGTTTTCTCAAAGATTATTTCTAATTCAAAAATAATTTTTTGAAAGCGATACCCCAATAGTGGTGTGGCTAAGAGCAAATTTTGAAATAAAGAAAAAAAAATAAGAATAAAAATCACTCCATTTTACTCCAGAAAAGCGTGACCATTTATTTTTTTTGCTTTAATTTTGATAACAGATAACAGTGCTTATGTAGGGAAAAGTTATGACGCTTTTCCTGTTGTGCAGCAAATTCTCGTAAAAGTCGATGAAATTCGCACTTTGTCAGCGTCACAATATTCAGATAATTACCCCAGATCTCTCCACTAATTTGTGTCTCCTTACCAATTTCCTTTTTCCCTCAGATTCTGCATTCTAATTATAATATTTTATTCGTAAAAACTTGCAAAATATATACTTTGTGAGTCCACGAATGAAAGGATTAACTCTTGCAAGGGTTATACAAGTTTTTTTGGGCTGTGCTTTGCATCACAATGACAAAAACTACACAGCAAGTACAGAAAGAATGATCAAATTAGGGTTTTCTCTATGTGCTTTTTAAAGAAACAAGAGTTTTAAAAGAATTTTGAGTCTATCGCTATTTGTCTATGGTTTTTGTCTATTTGAGTCTATCGTTTATTGAAAACACACGACTTTTGAACTCTTGGAAGATTGAGAATCAAAAGAATAAGACTAACGATGTGGTTTTTTTTTTGTTTTTACTCGATTAGTATTCTTTTGTTTCAAAAAATCAAGAACAAGATCAGTTCTGATTTTGTGATCTCAAAGAATTTGGTAGAATACTAATCGAGTAATTTATTACTATTATGGATTAACTTGTGTATTATGGAGCTATTATGGATTTAGCTTCTGTAGCTCCATGCATTCATATTAAAGACATAAACTTGATTTCAGAGCTGAAAGATGCTAGATCAGTTTCACTGTTCTTTAGAAGTATTGGATTAAGAAAACTTGAAGATTTGAAACTGAGAAAAGAAGAAAACGAGAAAACGAGGAAACAAGAAGACAAGAAAACGAGAAAACAAGAAAAGAAGAAAAGAAGAAAAGAAGAAAACAAGGAAACAAGAAAACAAGAAAACAAGAAAACAAGAAAACAAGAAAACAAGAAAACAAGAAAACGAGGGGATCTTTACGGTTAACAGCGGGGGGTAGCGATTATCGGCGGAGGCCAATTCCTTGCCCCAATTTGCAGCTCATTTTTAAGCACCTTAAACTTGTCAGACCAGGAATTTTTAATAAGATTTAGATAGCTTAGAACGTCAGCTTTCAGAAATTATTTGTTTTATCAAAAGTTATTAAGATAAACTTCTCTAAAATCTGGTTGTTGTTTAACAACCAGATTTTGTTGCAAGTTGGTCAAAAACTTGGCCCCCGCCGTTAACCGTAAAGATTCAAACGAGAAAATCGATTAGTAAAAGTGCAGAAAGAATACCGTAGATCAAGAGAAAACTACTGGATGAGAAAAAAAAGGGAAAATTTTGATAGATAAAAGAGGTTAAATTTGGCTCTTTATAGAAATATGCACCCAATAGATATTATCCAATATTATTCAATGAATATCATCCACTCTTTCACCCAATGGGCAGACCAATTAGGATCACTCATGTTTATGCAATGAGTTCCCTATTGGAAATGAAAATTGAGGTCCAGGTTCAGCTCTCTTCTTCTCCATTTCTATATCTTTTTTTTTCACATTTCCATATTTTCCTATCCCTTTTCAAGCATTTCATTTCTCAGAATCCTCCAATCAACATTTATATGTGCATTTTGAGGGATTTCTCCACTCTCTTCACTCCACTAAATCCAAAAAAAACACTAAAATCTCATAATTTTTTCAGATCAACTCATTAATTTTTTACATTTTCTCGCTCTTTTTCCAAATTGTTATCAACTTGCAAAAGTAGCTGAATTTAAGCTGAAAGAGAATCGAAAATATAAAGACAATCTTTTTACGAAAAGCTAGAAGAACCTAACTTTCCAAAAATTAGAACATAAAAGTTTACAATACAATGAAAAAAAACGAAGTTCGAAGAAATAGGTAAATGATTGAATGATTGATTGAATCAATGATGAATTTGTGCAGATTTTGAGTCATCTTGTACTCAGGCTTGTACTTTCTGCTTCTTTAAAGAAGTCTATAAAGCTAGAAGAACCTAAAAGTCATCATGTATTTGAGTCATCTTGTACTCCAGGCGTGTACTTTCTTCTTCTTTAAAGAAGTCTATAAAGCTAGAAGAACCTAAAAGTCATCTTGTATTTAAGTCATCTTGTATCCAGGCTTGTACTTTCTTCTTCTTTAAAGTCTAGAAAGCTATAAAAACCTAAATCTTCATGAAGCGTTTTCTTTTTTCTTTTTTCTTGTGTACTTAATTCGATTTTCCAACAAAAAAACCACTACTCCATAGTGATTTTAAAAGCTATAGAAAATCTCTAATGCTTCATCAGCACTTTTATTGGCCATTTGGTAATTCAGATATTGGTTTTGATGTTCACAGAGTTCTCTTTTGATGTTTGATGGTGAAACATTGATTCTAATGTCTGTCTGTTCGGGAATTTTCCGCCAAAACTAAAATCTTTTCAGCTAGGCAAACGCGTGACTCAAAAAACCCCCTTTTTTGAGACTTTTTTTGGATCAAAGTTTTCCATCAAACTTGAGGAATGATGTGAGAACAGTTGAGCATACAAAAGTTGGAATGTCAACCGTCTTTCTGACCCCTTTAACCCGACCAGGGCGCAAATTTTTATATAAATAGACTCAATGAATTCTGGAAGTCATTCGATTCTTCATCGGTTCGAAAGCATTCAATTCTTCATCGCTTCTTCGAACTCTCCTTTCAATACAATGAAATACTTGGCTGCTTTCGTTTGTGTCGGCCTGGCTGCTGTGTAAGTTTTTAAAAGCTAAGTGGATATTCGATTTAGCTTCGAGATATTCTATAGACAACATTATAACGAATTTATTTGACTGTCCTGAAAGAACAGCCTGATACTTAGTACTAAAAATTGGCCCAAATCCGGGTAAGGTTTAGATCCAGAGGATGGAGAGACCCAAATCCAGAGGATGGAGATTTGAGTCAAATTCATTTAATAAATCTTGACCCATTTGCAGCACTAAATGACATCACATTAATAAGCAGCCTTGTAGCCTGGCTGCTCCGATGCAACAAAACGGAGGATCGAACCAAGGACCTCCATCAGGTGGACAACAAAATGGAGGACCCGCACAAGGAGGATCGAACCAAGGATCACCCTCGGGAGGACAACAAAATGGAGGCCGACCCCAGCCACCACAAGGAGGACAAAATGGAGGATCAAACAATGGTCCATCACAGGGTGGATCTAATGGAGGACCACCATCCGGTGGATCAAACCAGGGACCACCAGGACAAGGAGGATCAGGTACTTGAATCAGCTGGCGGTTGAACAACTGAGACCAAATAGAGCTTACTAACTGAACAAGTCCTCATTCATTTTGTGCATTCTAGGAAATCAAAACGGAGGGTCCGGAAAACCACAGCCACCAGCCGGACAAAACGAAGGAGGACAGCCAAGCAATGGGGGACAACAACAACAAAATGGTGGAAAGCCAAATGGAGGACAACAAAATGGAGGACAACAAAATGGAGGACAACAAAATGGAGGACAACAAAATGGAGGACAACAAAATGGAGGACAACAAATGGAGGACAACAGAATGGAGGACAACAGAATGGAGGACAACAGAATGGAGGACAACAGAATGGAGGACAACAGAATGGAGGATCAAACCAAGGACTCCCATCAGGTGGACAACAAAATGGTAGACAGAATGGTGGACAGAATGGTGGACAAAATGGAGGCCGACCCCAACCACCACAAGGAGGACAAAACGGAGGAAACCCAGCTGGTAGCATGAACTATTGAACATACTTGCACATAAATAAAACCTTTCACGCTTATTTTGACGCTTAATTTAAAAGTAATCAACTAAACAAGATGAAGCTTTTTTTTGGTTATAAAACAACACCAATCACTTTATCACTTGTCGACTGGCTTTAGCTATTTTAGTCGTTAAACCCATTTATTCTAATCTATTCATCACAAGAATTTGCCTAAGAGATGAGGCAATAAATAGAATTATGGCTTAAAAAGAAATGGAATGAAATCAAGAAACAAAAAATCGATAAAACTTTGAAGAACTCAAAAGTTTATTTTTTATTTTGAGTCAAAAAGTTGAACACAGTGTGGTTGATTTGTGGAGAGGCCTGGAATTCTTTTTAAAACATTCAATGAAAGGCTTGTACCTGTAAAATTTGATGCAATAAAAAGAGATGCATTCCCGGATTGGAAGAGCCGTGCATTGGACTCAATGGGAGGGGCTGAAAATGGTTTAAATTCTCAAATGCTAATAGCTTTTAGACCTTGATACAGATTTTTTTTGTTGTACAAGAAAGAAGAAAACAAATCTAAGTAATGTAAAATCAAGTAAAATAAGGAATGGCAAAGAAAGATGGCAAAGGAAGGAGGCGGGATTGAACCCTCGATCCTCGACCCTTTGCTTTCAGATGCTCTAACCACTGAGCCATCTGGTGAGTGGTCGCCAGAGGAGAAAAAGGATAAATAAAGGGAAGGAAATGCCCGGTTCTTCACAACCCTACCCGTCCTACTCAGAAGATCAGAATGGCAAAGAAAGATTTCAGGACGGGGGATTGAACCCTCGACCCTAGACCCTTTACTTTCAGATGCCCTAACCAATGAGCCAAATCCTAAGTGCTCGCCAAAGAAGAAAGAGGATAAACAAGGGGAAAGAGAAGGAAATACCCGGTTCTTCACAACCCTACCCGTCCTATTCAGAAGATCAGAATAAGGGTATTAGTAATAAAGTAATAAAGTAAACGAACTTTAGGTATAACAGGTCTCTCGGTGGGTGATATCTCTGCCGTTTCCGTGGCTTTCCTTTTCCTTTGCCGTTGACTCAAATCTTTCAGAGAAGAGCCGCTCAATCTCTGAATTAATCAATTTTCCAATTCCCATGAATTTCTAGATTAACCTCATCTCTAAAACAATCGGAGCCAAATGACGGTGAGGGGACTCGATGAATTTGATTAGCGATTTGTGAAGGCGGATTGAAGATTGAAGGAAGCGTTGAGGGACTTGGCAACGAGAAAGGAAGCGGCGCACGGGACTATAAAAAATATTGATAAATTTTCTTTGGATAAGCTTTTCTAATAGGTTGATGCATAAGTCTTTTCGTTTTTTTCGTACTTCTGTTGAAAAGTAACAAATTCACCAATTAATCTATAGTTTGCTCTAATCTATAGTTTGCTTTTGTGTTTTTTTGTTCAATTTGCATCTTTTTAAATGAATTTCGGTTCACTTTCAAGCAAATTCGAGAGTGAAAAACGCCTTTTTCGTAAAAATCTATAAAAAACTCTACGGAAAAATTGGCTGAATGAATTTCTCTGAAATTTTGGCGAAATATCAAACGTTTTTTTTCTCTATCTTTTATCTATTGACACGAAGATAGGTTTTCTTTAGCTAAGGTGTCTAAACCGCATCATCGAGTTAGCCCTTTTTGACTACCCGACTTCATACTCTCAAGAAAATCCAGGCATTTCTTTAGCTAAGGTGTCTAAACCGCATCATCGAGTTAGCCCTTTTTGACTACCCGACTTCATACTCTCAAGAAAATCCAGGCATTAAATATTTTTAAACCCGTTTTAATGTTATTTTGCAGAAAAATAATTGCTTTTTCTAATGAAATCAACCGTAGTTTAATTGGTGCATTTGTTGGCTTGAAACGGCAGACGAAAAGGAACGAAAAGACTTATGCATCAACCTATTAGTAGATATTTTTAATGAATAAACGAAACTTTTACTCTGTCTTTATCTCAAAATCAGATGGCATCTATTCAACTCTTTGCCTTGTAAATTTGTAAACCCTAAGCCTGAACTCAAACGAACACATTCAAGCGTTTGAACTCAAACGTTTAAGCCTCATCCATCGCGTACTAGAGTGTGTTCCCCGGGAGTAATGCATTTTTTTAAACGCACACTTGGGAAAAAATTACCGTACTTTTAGCAAAAATTATTGCAAATAAATGACGCAAAAATCACGAGCCCCGCATTATATACGACGCTTTTTGAAAGATACTCAGCCGTTTGGCTGAATATCTTTAAAGATACTGATTTGGTGGGAAATTCCCTTTCAATGTAAAAAATGATTTTTTTTTTCTTTGAAAAATCAGCGCAAAAAATTGCTTCTATATTTTTTTCGCGCAGGCGCACTTTTTAGAAAACACATTACTCGACAATTACTCGACAATTACTCGAGCTATTACTCGAGCTAAAAAATTACTCATGCAAATTTACTCGAGTAATTACTTACTCGCGAGGAACACACTCTATTTTGTACTTTATGGTGTAAAGTTTAAGTCGTAAAATATATTTTAATAAGATTATTTTAAAGTTTGAATATTGTTAGCAAAAAAGAAAACTCACCATTGAATGCAGTTGATGTAGTCGTTGTAAACGATGAAATGGAGTCGGTGTCTCAGCGACAGGCGATGTGAGCACTGAAGAGTCGGCCATGTGCAATTTCGGATTCGTGTTCATCGAGTGGCGATTCCTGATAATGTTCTTTTTTTCGAAAAGCCGAGAACTTATTAAATAACATAAATTTCATTTGAATCTTCCTAAATAAAGAACTCTTGATATAAAGATTTTGAAATTCGAAAGCGCGCTTTTGTTTTCTACGTAGCTGCCCAGTCAAACGCGATCGTTGGCCATTCTGGGCAGCTATGTAGAAAATTTAGAGCACTTTTTAGAATTGTTAAAACAAAATTTTTCGTCTCAAGCGAATCGTTAAATCGTACTTGTTAGTAAACGAACCGGCTTCGTCGACTGCTGAACTCTTTGCCGCAACCGAGCACCGTGCACCGATGCATTTCTTTAAGGTGAACGGCTGATGTATGAATTTTCAAAGCACCCTGAACGATTTAAGCTTTAAATAAATAAATTTGAAATCATTTACATAACGAAAAGCTGAAGGATAATGTAATAGACTTGACAGAGTACAGCATGTACAGAGTACAGCACAGAGTACAGCACAGAGTACAGCACAGAGTACAGCATGTACAGAGTACAGCATGTACAGAGTACAGCATGTACAGAGTACAGCATGTACAGAGTACAGCATCCTTGTGAGTGTTAAGACTGATAAAATAGCCTAGTCATAAGATTTCTTTTAGTTTTCGGCTTTAGCTGAATTTAGCATCGTTTAATGAACGTTTTACCGCTTTACAGCACTTGAAAGTTATTTAATTTAAAGCTGCGCTTACCTTATCACAGAAAGTTTTATTGCACAGCTCACAGAGCACTCGTCTCTTTGCCGCTGATGCTGCGCGATCAGCGGTAGACTGAAATTTTTGAAAAATTCAATAAACAATTTAACATTATTTAAGATTATTTAGCATTATTTAACATTTACAGTGGTCCACAAATGTATTGTCCCATTGCCATCCAAAAGTTTCTTTCGTACGAAAATCTTGCAAAATAACGATATTCCCAAAAAGTGTAGGGTATTTTGCTTACCCATAATACTCTACTTTTCAGGATTATAAGATTTATCCGTATACATTGCAGAAAAATTAAAGTATAAAACAAAAACAATAAGTTACTTAAGAAATAGCTCCACAAAAGTAATGTCCCATTGATGTTTTCCTTGATTATTGTGAATTCTTTGCAAATGGGTCCCATTGAGTCGATCCGGCATGGACTCAATGAATCCATGAGATTTTTCAAAAGACTTGGGCGGATGGTGGCCCAAAGACGTTGAATGTGAACCCATAAGGCGGCCTTTGAACCGAATTTCTTTCCCTTGAGGCGCGACTTCACAAATGACCACAAATGTTCAATTGGATCGAGATCCGGTGAGTAGGGAGGTGGATTGATCAATTTAAAACGATTTTCCGCAAACCATCCGGGCAGACGAGCTCTGGTACCATTTTGAAGTGTCACCAACCGTCCCATCATCAGTCTCGACTCGTGTTTCGGGTCGTTGTCCTGGTGAAGCATCCATCCGGGAGGCATCGTTTGATTGGCAATTGTTAATTCTTTGCAAATGGGGCATTACTTTTGTGGAGCTATTTCTTAAGTAACTTATTGTTTTTGTTTTATACTTTAATTTTTCTGCAATTTATACGGATAAATCTTATAATCCTGAAAAGTAGAGTATTATGGGTAAGCAAAATACCCTACACTTTTTGGGAATATCGTTATTTTGCAAGATTTTCGTACGAAAGAAACTTTTGGATGGCAATGGGACAATACATTTGTGGACCACTGTATCTATAGTTTTAAAGTGAAAACTCGACCTCATCACTGTCTCGTAACGGCTCAACATCCGACGATTCGATTTCTTTTTCACTTGAAACATCTGCCTAAATTTTTGTTTTGTTTAAACAAAAAGAAATTTATAAAGAGAAATGAAATAATAGTTTATTTAAATATAGTTTCTAAATTGTATTTATATAATTATAAATAAAAGAAAGGCAATCAGACGATCAGAACTTCAGAACCGAAAATCTCTCTCAACCTCTAATAATGGCTCCGTTTTACAACTATCCGCATCACTCGAAACGCTCATTGGAGGAACTAAAATAAAGATGATTTTCTTTATTTTCTTTTAATTTATTTACTCAAATTTAGAAACGCACTCCTTTCTGGTGCTCACTGTTTACGAATAAAGCAAAGCGATTACCGTGATTCTCGTGCATTGTGGCAGAAAGGAGGTTTTGTACATGAAATGGCAACAGTGGAGCCCACTAAAAATACTCCTTTTCTTGATAATAACACTTGTCTCTAGCCCACACAACCCGGGTTCAACTCCCACCCGCGTCGGCACTGTTGGCACTGTTTTTTTAAAACTTGAAAAACATGTTGCACAACTATATGAAATTCTAAGCCAAACTAACTACAAATGATTTGAAATGATCCTGAGCACAGACACACTTGAAATGATCCTGAATGAGCACAGACAGACAGACAGATGTCTTAGTCCCTTTATATAGTAGATCTCTTTTTGCAAACCATCTTTGAAGCCAGCAACGATCGGGTGGGCGAGGTGAGAAGTGATTGTCGTAAAGGATCAATAAGTGGATGACATGATGGATGAGATGAGAAATGATCCATCACCTGAATGGCTTTTTCTTTACTTTTAATCGATTTTTCGCTTGTTGTTAGAGAAATAAGATCAACAATCTGTTGTTTGACGCGTTTCAACTATTTGAAAGTTCGACACGCCGGTCCTTTTAAGGAACTGGGAATTCAAAAAAAAAAAGTCGGCACCGGGATTCGAACCCGCGACCACCCGGCGACTTCTCGCTTACCAGGCGAACACTCTATAATAGCTTTTGATCTCAAAAAACAATCGTCAGCGGTGAGCAAAGCAGCTTTAAGTAAGGGATAAGTCCCTATTCTGGCGACAAAGCAATGAGCTACAGAGACACACCCAGCTTTGTCGCCAGAATAGGGACTTATCCCTTACTTAAAGCTGCTTTGCTCACCGCTGACGATTGTTTTTTGAGATCAAAAGCTATTATAGTCTAGCTTTATCAATTTCAATTTTAGATCCGATTTCTTTCCCATTTTACCTTACCTTTAATTGAGTGAGTAGGTCCACTTCTCTCCACTCTCTTAGAAAACAATTTTCGGAATCCTGAATGAAGCTTTCATTGAATCAATCAACTTATTTGAATAGTTGAAAATTTTTGAGGATTTAAATAAAAAATTTGTGTGTTAAATAGTCTTGCGCACGTTGACAGGCCACCCAGAACACAGCACGAGACAAATTGTTATTTGTCCGCGTTTGCCTTTGCGTATTTGACAGATGACATAATTTCAAAAGAAAATTGAAGACCTGTCTTCGCCTTTTCACTGGGATTCTTTAAGATGCCTTTGGATACCCATACAATCAAGGAGAACCCCATCCTGCCACCCCAATTCAGTCAGAAGAGTGTGAGCAGTCAGAAGAGCACACTCAATCAAACGCCGAATGGGATAGATGACTTCCCATCGATCGACTAATGTTTTAAAGCTACTCACAGAGAACTACAAGAGGTAAAAAGAGAACTTCAAGAGATACAAGAGGTTTGTTACTCATCTACTTTTACTCCCATCGATCGACTAATGCTTTAAAGCTACTCCCAGAGAACTACAAGAAGTAAAAAGAGAACTCCAAGAGATACAAGAAGTTTGTTACCCATCTACTAACGTTTCCCATCGATCGACTAATGTTTTAAAGCTACTCACAGAGAACTACAAGAGGTAAAAAGAGAACTCCAAGAGATACAAGAGGTTTGTTACTCATCTACTAACGTTTTTTTCAGACTTGACACTAAACTTTGCTTTGGTTAGGTAGCCCATACAATAAAATTTCATTTCTCCATTCTTATCTTGTTTTAGCCAAAACCTTTTAAGGTCGTTATAGCCGATTGGCTAAGAGCCTCGTAACTTAGTCGGGAGATCAAGGATTCAATCCCACCGGCTAGATTTTTTAGATTATTGGTTCTTTTTTTCCTATATATATATATATATGTATTTCCCTAAATTTAGGGCTTAGACTTTTTATGTATTGTTTTTACTACATTATTTGTGTCGATAAATACTTCTGACATCAAAATGTCTCTTCTGTTCAAGAAAGGGGCGGGGTCGAGAACGAGAGACACGACCAATTATGGCCATCGCTTCTTTAGAAAAGAAAAAAGCAAAAAAAAGAAAATGAGAGAAAAAGTATACGATCATAAGTCGTAAAGAGAAAAGTATTTATAAAAATTCGATCCAAAAAAAGAAAATCTAGATTATTATGGGTAAAATTCTAGTCGAAATTTTGTAAGAAATCGATCAAATCACGTTAGAACAATTTCTGAATGAAAAACTCTTAAATAAAACATAAAAAAGTCGACTTTGAAATTGAAATTGAATTGAAATTGAAATGAAAATTGAAAAATTGAAAATTGAAAAATTGAAATTGAAATTGCTAAATTTAAATTTAGAAATAAAAAGTCATAATGAAAAAAAGAAAAAGAAAGGAAGAAGGAAGGAAGGAAAGAAGAAAGAAAGGAAGAAAGGAAGTAAGAAAGGAAGAAAGAAAGGAAGAAAGGAAGGAAGGAAGAAAGGAAGGAAGAAAGGAAGGAAGAAAGGAAGGAAGGAAGGAAGGAAGGAAGGAAGGAAAGGAAGGAAGAAGGAGGAAGGAAGGAAGGAAGGAAAGAAAGGAAGGAAGAAGGAAAGAAAGGAAGGAAGAAGGAAAGAAAGAAAGAAAGTTTCAAGTGAATCAAAATGCAAATTGAATGACACTAAAATTGTCGGATATGGAGTCTCTTGACAATAAGCAAAGGAAATGAAAGATTTCTTATTTTCTCGAGAAACCTCTATCAATTCTAAATTCTGAAATGATGATTAAAGAAAATTCAACTAAACTTAGAACTTTTTGAAATAAAATCAAATGAATTCTCGAGTCTCTTGACAAATCCAAGATTTCAAATCCAAGAATTCAAACCCAAGAATCAAAATCCAAGAATCCAAATCCAAGAATCAAAATCCAAGAATCCAAATCCAAGAATTCAAATCCAAGAATCCAAATCCAAGAATTCAAATCCAAGAATTCAAATTCAAAAATTCAAAATTCAAAAATTCAAATTCAAAAATTCAAAAAAATAAAACTCTTGACAAATTCAAAGAATTTCTCACTCCTATAGGTAGCTTTAAAAGGCTTTAAAGGTAGCTTTTAAAAGTAAAATTCTATTTGAAAATTGACACTAAATCAATTTTTTCAAGTATAGTTTTTTTATGGAGAATCGAAATTCTATTTTAAAAACTTTTTAAAGTTCCTTTTTAACCCTTTTAACCCGAAAAAAGCTCATATTTTTGACAAGTTTTTGACGATTTTCTTCCTCTTTCTTTCTTTCGATCACTTTATAAAACAACAAAAAAAATCTTTAAAATCTTCAAAATCTTCAAAATCAAAATATTCTTCTTTAAGAAATTTATAAAATTCAAATGATTATTGAGAGGAATTCTTGTCATTTCATGATTTTCAGACCTTTTTTTCTCTCCTTTCTCCGACGAATCCAGTCATAACAAAGCAAAAGAAAAAAAAAGGAATTAGAAAATGACAAGTTACGGTAGGTTTGAGGGAATTGAAATCATATATATATTTAAAGTCAAAGAAAAAAAATTTAAGAAAAATTTAGACAAAAGAAAAACATTGAAATCAAGGATCTGAATGTTTAGAAAATTGATTTCAACTGAAAATGAATTGGCAATAAATAGCTTCACTTAATGACTAGAATCCTATCAGTTTAGGCTTATGTTTATGTTCTGAAATGAGTAAAAAATCAAGAAATTCAAACGGCAATATCTAGATGAAGAAAGCACTTGTCTTGAATCAACTTCAGGATGAGAATCTGTTCGATCTTCCTCCCTTTTTCCTCTTTGAGGTCATACTGATTAGAATTCTATCAGTTTATTTTCTGAAATTAGTAAAGAAAATCAAGAAATTCAAATGGAAATATTTAGATGAAGTAAACACTTGTCTTCACTGTCTTGACTCGACTCCAGGATGAAGATCTATTCCACAATGTCATTGTCGAACAGATCTTCCTCCCTTTTTTCCTCTTTGACTGATTAGAATCCTACCAGTTTATGCTTATGTTTATGTTCTGAAATTAGTAAACAATCAAGAAATTCAAATGGCAATATCTAGATGAAGTAAACACTTGTCTTGACTCGACTCCAGGATGAGAATCTATTCCACAATGCCACTGTCGAACAGATCTTCCTCCCTTTTTCCTCTTCGAGGTCATCTGTCGCTTTAAAGTGAAGAAAAGATAACGGGAAAAGAAGAAAAAAAAATGGAAAGGAATCATTGTTGAGAAGCAAGAAAGCCCCTGGAGAGCGATTCGATTCAAACAAGAGCATTGGGTCGTTCGTTTTTAGGGAAAAAGAGAGGGTGATGACAGCGAAACCCTTGGGGAATTTGAAGATAGGCGACTCGACGACCTCGCCAATATCCACCCTTGCGCGTGTTCGTCTCCACAATACCCATTGTCTTTTAGTTGATATCGAAAGGCTGATAACAAATCCAAAAGTGCGCAGGAAAACTGGCTTTTATTATAATATACACTTGTCAAAATAAGCTTGATTCAAAATGAAAACAAGCTTTGTACCTTGTGCCCAAACACAAGCTTTCTGGGAAGAGCTGGGTCTGCCAAAGCAAGTCTGAGCCTGGCTTCACCTGATCTAACCTGGTTTAGCTAGTTGCTTCTTGAGTGTACTTAGTAGACCTGCTTAATGAGTCCGGGCAAAATTTTCAGACAGTCTGCCTCGCTCTTCGATTTTTTACTGCCCAAAGCTCCTTCGAGCATGAAACCTAGTTCCCCCGCAAGTCCTTATTCTAGACTTCATTTTGATACTAAACATGGCTAGGTCCTCTTTTGCCATTCTTTAGATTTCGATCTTTTTAAATAAAGATTTTGCTGGACTCGTTAAGCTTATCGAGTTAGGCAAAAGATTGATCAAAATCTAAAGAATGGCAAAACAGAACCTAGCCATGCTTAGTATCAAAATGAAGCCTAGAATAAGGGCTTGTGGGGGAACTGGGTTTCATGCTTGAAGGAGCTTTGGGCAGTAAAAAATCGAAGAGCGATGCAGAGAAAATTTTGCCGAAGAGAAATTGAAGAGCAAATTTCGCCCGGAGATTTTATCGTTTACAGCTTTTGTTTCGTGAAAAGGTCGAGATTCGGGAAAACGGTTAAGCAGGTCTAGTGCCTAGGTTGAGCACAAAGTACAATAAAAGACCAAGATAAAAGACCACTATGATTTTCAAAGTGATTATGAAAGCAAGTCAATTTTTTGCGTCTTTGCGGTGCTGAGGCTCCGACTCACTCAGCGCACATATGTGTCAAATTATGCGTCGTTCCGATGCTTTGTTTTCTTTTTTCGGTGATCGCCCTCATCAAAACTTTTGACACGACAAATGAAAAAAAATGAGCCAAAAAGAGTTATGTAATGACAAGAAAAGATGAATGAATGTGGTTGGCGTGGACACATGTTTTCAATAAACTAAAGTAAACCTATTCACTCGTTGATTAGCTATATAGTCGAAAGATTTATGAGGGGAAAAATGTTTGTTGCTTAGCTTCTAGACTTGCTTGACATGGAAATTTTAGTTTAAATTTAGTTTAAACAGTTAAAAGTTTAAAAAGATATTGTATTTCTATGCCTGAGAGTTTCTACTGGAGACAGATCAGGTTTTAAAGTAATTTTATGATGAGATTTGTACGGTCGACCCAATAAAATGTGGGAAAATCGTTAGGAGAAGAGAATAATGACGCGCAAAAAGTGCATAAAAGAACCGATTTTTAGATTCTTTCAATTTAAATATGGTTTAAAGGTGGATCAAATAAACTCTAGAGCTTGGTTTTGACTTTCTTTTGACTTTCTTTTATACTTCAAATAAACTCGTACTCATTGCCAAGAAAAGTAAAGTTCTTAATATGCTTAAAAGTTTGGCTTAACTTTCCATTCACAAAGAAAGAGCAATATTCACTCCAAAATAGCCATAATAATTTCCAAAATTTACAAAATATACTTTTGGAAACTTTTGGAAACTTTCGGAAATACAAAAGTATACAAAAAAACTCTAGAACTTTCTTTCACAGAGACTCATACTCATTGCGAAGAAAAGTCAAATTCTTAATGTGCTAGAAGTTTGGCTAAAAGTAAAAGTTTGGCTTAGCTTTCCATTCACAAAGAAAGGGTAATATTCACTCCAAAATAGCCATAATAACTTCCAAATTTTACAAAATATACTTTTGGAAACTTTTGGAAACTTTTGGGAATACAAAAGTATACAAAAAAAAACTCTAGAGCTTTCTTTTGACTTTCTTTTATGCTTCAAATAAACTCGTAATCATTACCTCGAAAAGTAAAGTTCTTAATGTGCTAAAATGGCTTAGCTTTCCATTCACAAAGAAAGGGAAATATTCACTCCAAAATAGCCATAATAACTTCCAAATTTTACAAAATATATTTAAAAGCTAAAGATGGGTTAAGTGGAAAGAAATTTGGTGTTTAATTTCTTAAGAATTTCTAATCTAAATCTAAAAATATTGGACTTAAACGAAAAGGTGCCAAACTCGGACAAACGACAAACGAATGAATTAGTGGCTTTGGTGCCACTTCCGTTTTTTTGTTTGATCAAAAGGAAACGGTGGAAAAATAGGATGCCCACCTTTTTGGTGAGAATTGTTCGTGAGGAGTGAATCATTCTCTTTCTTTTTTTCTTTTCCTCCCCGATCGAACGGGTCTTCCGTTGGCTATTCACCCAAACACACTACAACAATGCATTGCACGATGATCGAGATTTTATCGTTTACAACTTTTTGTTTCGTGAAAAGGTCGAGATTCGGGAAAACGGTAATGAGCTTGGTTAGGGGAAATGGGCTATAGATTTACGCACCGAATGAAATGTCAAGTTGTCAAGTTTCTCAAGTAAAAATCTTATTACTTGGTAGATTTGAAACTGTTACTCGATCTAGTATTAGATCTGGTACTGAACTGGTACTGAATTGGTACTGAACTGGTACTGAACTGGTACTGAATTGGTACTGAACTGGTACTCCTGCCTGCCCTTAGCGCCACGTTCGCCTTGTGTCCTAACTCGCCACCACTCGGCCACGGCTACAGCTGTTCAACTTGCCGAAGACAGGGCTCTAACATCGCAGTTTGATTTTTGAAACAAAACTTTAAAGGCGTATAACTTTTAACAGAGTGCTTAGTAGCAAAAACGGAAAGCAAATTCGGAATCAGCGTGAAATTCTGTGTCTATGGCTCATGTGATTTGACCACATCCAGTTGTCCTTCCAGTAAAATTCAATGATTCAATTCAAGTAGTTCAGTAGTATCAAAATGAAAGTGAAAGATAAACAACTTTTTACTAAAGTAGAACAAGTGAGACTCTAGCAGCTAGCAAGAATTCCAAAAATAATAAGAAATCGGTGATGATCTCAATAAACTACCAATGGAAGTCCAAAAGTAAAAGGACCATTGAAAGAGGGGAGAAAGCGATAAATCTAGCTGCTCATTTCCTGTGATGCTTTTCCCTTGCCCAGCCTTGTGCCATTGTATGCAAATCGTGTTGGAGGCAGGACCTCAATTTTTGATAGCCATCCCATCCTTTCCCCTTTCCAACTACTGGATTTTCGAGAAGCTTTAGAGAAATTCACCTAATGCAATACAAGCTAGTCGAAAAATTCGAACAATTCTAACAGATTTGCTATAACAACAAGCGATTCCTTGTCAAAGCCACAGTAGAAGTGTTTTCCGTTTCAAAACAAGCAGAATCCTTTCGCTCCCCGGGGATATCTATTGTTGGATGTCTTTCTCTGTCTCTGTGTCAAATGTTGAGTGTTGAGCAGAGTGTAAAACTCGAGTTTTACTATCAATTAAATAGCATAAATGTCTCTAAAAATCTAGAGATTTCCAAAGCTGCCTAACCCGTTCATCTACTTATCGATACTTATTGATACATCTTTCCCTTTCCCATTAGCAATCCAACTTTAAGCTCAAAGATCAAACTAGCCCAACTAGCAATCCAACTTTAACCCCAAATCTCTTGGTGTTGGGCTGTTCAATCTAAATCTTTTTAATATCATTAGATGCGCCAAGTCTTTCTCTATCGATTGGTATAAAAAGTATTTAAATTGAACAGCCCAACATGAAGATATTTGAGCTTGAAGTTGGATTGCTAATGGGGAAGAGCCTCAAATGTCTAACAATCGTTCATCTTTGTGAGGAGTTTTCTCTTAAAATTTGTTTGAGTGGCATTTCGGCTTTCAATTCTCAATCGATAGGAAATACGGGTCATCGATTCGTCGCCGAGTTTGTCAAGAGGAGTGCTCGGGAATGGCGGGCCTTCACCGCTTCCCATCTCCCCGGGGATCCATCGGGGTTATCGCCATTTTCAACACCCTTTTGCCTATGTCCTAAAAAGTCCCCCTTTTCGCGGATCTTCCAAAAAAGACCCACTCGATGACAGCCCAGGAGACAAATCACAGGGAACACCCTAGCCTTGGACTCTGACAGCCCCCCGGGGACCCAGAAAGCCCCTGAAAGCCCCTGAAACCCGATGACTTTTCACCAACACCTCAAAAAGTACAGAGCTTGTTTTTGGACAATAGATAAAGATAGTAGATAAAGATAAAGATAATAGATACTTATGCCTTTGAGCTAATGATTAACAAAGCTTTTAAGCAAGAACTTATACAGCTTTTAAGTACTAGAAAGCTCTAGCAAACTTCCCACCATCAACTTGTAGCCTTTCTTGAACTCATCGATACTCCACATTGTCTAAAATTGGAATTTCAGGAGGAGATTTTTCACTCACATGCAATAAAAGAGGCTGCAGATCTGAGCACTCAGCAAGAACGATGTCAAATAAGATCTTCAGTTGAGGAGGTAGAATCTGAAAGGGATATTGAAAGGTGGCAAGTTATCATCTATACAATAGTACACTTTTTCTAGCTTTAAGATTCAGTTTAACTTGAGAAACTTTAGTGCTAAGCTCTGGCCTAGCCTGATCTGACCTTTGAGAAGTCTAGAAAAGTTTTGGCTAAAGCTTGACCCAAAGTTTAGTAATCAAATATTGGGTTGGTGAATTGAAAAGTGCCGGACTTGAATTCATTCCAAATAATTACCATTATTATTGACGACTTCTGCCCATTTTAAAGGCAATTTGCGGATTCCTCCTTTCGTAGTAGGGTTTTGGTTTGTGTGTGAGACAAGTGTGAGACTCAAAAATCGAGGACTGGAGATGTCTCAGTTTGAGCACTTTCTTCAAAAGAAACCCATTTTGGTGTCAATGGAAAAGTTGTAGAGAATCAAAAATGAGGCTTATAGCCAAATTTCCAAAAAGATACCACTTAGTAGTTTCGCTTGAAATGTTTTGTGAAATGCAAGTTTTGTGAAAATTCTTAAATTTCGTATTTCTTGAAAACCAGTTTTTGAATCGTTCTGAAAATTTGGATATAAGCTTGATTTTTGATTCTCTACAACTTTTCCATTGACACCAAAATGGGTTTCTTTTGAAGAAAGTGCTCAAACTATCACATATGACAATAGCCCGCAGTTTTCTATTCACCAATCCAATAGTAAGATCTATCAGTAAACACTAGTAACTACAGTTCACCGAGAACTTTCCGTACCTCTTCTTTTGCTTTTTATAAATACATCGTGAACTTGACTCATTACCTGATATCCATACAGTGTTGTAAAAAGAATATGCTTCAGATCATCGAAATCTTCCATATCAGTAGGAAAACGAAGCAACACACAAAGATCAATCCGTTTCTTTCCTTTCGGCTAATCCAACTGTTTGATCCGCGTTCATCCATAAAAACCCTCATCCTCAGCTTTTTCGTGTCCCACTCCTTTCACAAAAGACAATTTTTTTTTGTTTTTCTTTCTTTTCCTGTCCAAGAGATTGTCCCTTTCAGATCGAAGGTGTCGATCGAAAACCCATTCATTCATTTGCCCACTTTTTCTCTTCAAGTTTTTCCGGGTTCTGGGGACAATCCCTACCGAACAACTGTCCCCATGGAACAGAAAAAAATAATGAAAAAACTAAGGACGAATCTTTTGGAGTTGATTGAACGGACGAACATGTGTCGAGTTGTCAAAATATTACTTGAAACTTGAAGTCGGAAACGAAACGAAACAAAGGCAAGAAAAGATCACTGATTACGAGTCTGGGAATTGTAATTGAATGCAAGAAAAGTTGAAGTTAGCTCTAAATTCAAATATTTTCAAATCTTGCAACAACTCTGTTGAAAAAAAATTAACAACTCAACAACAACAACTCTAACTGTGAGTTCAATTCAATTCTTGCACTGGTATCTTGGCTTTCTGTCATCTATCATCTATTATCATCTAATTCTGCAACTCTGCAATCTAATTCTGCAATTCAGATCAGTCTTGCTTTCAATTTTCTTCTGTTAAATGTACCAAATTGACTAGCTAATTGGTATCGAAATCTCAATTCAGCAAGACGAAGCTGAACTAGAAAATGTTTCCTTTCACTATTAACTCTTGATACTCTCCTCAAAAAGATCATTAAGAGATGAAGTTGCGGAACGTCTTGAGAGATATCTTCAGGTCATAAATCGTCGTCTTTTCCTAAGCGTCACAAGGGATCACAGAGTGGAAATGGGGGGAAAGAAATCGCTTGTCCCTCAACCATTATCCTCTCAAAGCAACTAAATCGTTGCATCTACAAAGAAGAAAATCCACACAAAAACACCTGAAACTCAAGTAAACTTGTACTTGTAAACTTGTACTTGTAAAGTTGTACTTGTAAAGTTGTACTTGTAAAGTTGTACTTGTAAACTTGTACTTGTAAACTTGTAACTTGTAAACTGTAACTTGTAAACTGTAACTTGTAAACTGTAGCTTGTAAACTGTAGCTTGTAAACTGTAACTTGTAAACTTGTACTTGTAAACTCAAGTAAACTTGTAAATCTTGTAAATCTTGTATCTAGCTTTGTTGGCATTGGAAAACTGAAAGCTTTATGTCTACTACAAACACTTATAAAGAGCACAATTCTTGTACTTTAGCCGAACTTGAAAACTAAACCGATAAGGTAAAAGACTAAGTGAAAGAATAAAAAAAAGGGTGAATGCAATTTTCACAAGTTTAACCCACTAAAATTTGTAAAATAACTAACTAACTAACTAACTGTAACTAACCTAACTCAATAGAGATGACGATAATTTTCCAAATTATCCACCTTTACATAAAGTTAAACAAATTTCAATTGAACTTTACAAAATTTATAGAAACAAACTCTATAATCTAATTTTTGCAATCCCAAAATATCATACCATTTGCAGAGACGTCTAACTGAAATGCCGAACTTTTCAAACTTTTCTTAGAAAGCAAAACTTTTATACTTTGAATATACTTTGAATATACTTTGAATATACTTTGAATATACTTTTGTTTATACTTTTGTTTATACTTTTATACTTCATACTTCTTTGAAGAAATTGTCTTTCGTTGGGTTATTGCAGAAAAATGTTTTAAAATGTTAATAATCTGAAAATTTCAGCTTTCTTTTTCAGCTAATCACTTCCCTTTAAAAACTCGGAATCGAGCTTTCCAAAACGAGAATCCGGTTTTCTCTTCCCGTTCACTATCAATTCTATTTTCAATTCGAAAAAAACGCAATGCAAAAAGCAAAAATCTCGTCAAGTGTTCCTGGCAAATTGGGGGGAAAAAAGAAAAGAAAGAAAAGAAAGAAAAGAAAGAAAAGAAAGAAAAGAAAGAAAAACTAAGGAAATCGGATGATTTGCTTAGTTTCCCTTCTCCAGTTGTTCATCTCTATTTTTTTTCTTTTTTTGGCTTGATGATCGAACGGGTTATTCGGAATAGGAAAAGAAATGCAAAAAAAAGAAAAAAGCGAATTGTTGTCTGTATATTCATTCGAGCGGGAGAATATTTTGAAGTGAGAAAGACGGAAAAGAAGATCAACTTGTCTTCAAGATCTTCTTTAGATCTTCTTACGAATTTTGTTCTGTTAGTTAGTTGCTTAATTTCCAAATGCTTGCTTGTTTTGATTGCTTGTTTTTGTTCACAGTTTTGCTTTCTTGTTTCTTTAAATGTTGATTGTTATGATTTCCTTTTTCGAATGATGTCTTGTACAATTTTTGGTTTTATTTTATTTGTTTAAAAGTTTAGTTTGAAAATTGATGGACAAAAGTCTTTTAACATGTGAGAAAAACATTATGAAAATCAATACTTAGTAGGTCCTCCGCGAGCCGCAATTACTGATTGAATTCTCCTTGGCATGCTGTCAACCAGATCACGTAGAATTTGGGGTCCAATAGTTGTCCAGACTCGACGGATGAAGTACCAAAGCTCATGCCAAAAAGTTCATGAAATCTGATAAATTGTCAAATCCATCTTTTTGTAATGTTAAAATTAGAGATAATAAGCTCTTTAATCAGAAAAAAATTAGAGATAATAAGCTCTAAAAAATAAAATCTTTAAAACGTTTGCGAATTTGGTCGGATTGGTCGGATTTGGATCAAGATATACAAAGAACAAACTTCTAAAAACCAACATTAAAAGACTTTTGTCCATTTGACTGTAATGTTTGTGCTCTTACGAATAGTGTTTCATTTCAATCACAGTCCTTTCTAGGTAGCTTTCATAAAGTTTAACGATTTATTCTTGACACTAAGAGCCCAATCAATTAATAAAACAAAAATTGAGCCAAAAATTGATGAACAAAAGTCTTTTAACATGTGAGAAACTTCCAAAAACCAACATTGAAAGACTTTTGTCCATGACTGTACTATGTGCTCAAAATTCCTTTCTCTCAATTCACTCAAACTCTTTTTTTTCACAAGCCCGACTAACTTTTTAACTCTAAACTATACTGGCAGGGTCACAGATGCAGGTCCGAGACCAGAATCAAGTCTAGACCTGACTCTAACTTGACTATAGCCGTCGATAGCAGTTTATAGCAGTCTATAGCAGTTTATAGCAGTCTATAGCCGTCTAGTCTAGCCCGATCAGGTCCAGGCAAAGCTAGACTAGATCCAGAGCCTAATTGTAAGTCCTGTTTCATCCGATCTTGCTTAACGCTGGCCAATTTTCTCTCTCTTTAACTCTTTAAAACCTGATTTAACTCTTTGACTCAAACAGGTAATAACAATTGATTAATTTTGTCAAAATCAAAACAGGTAACCATAAGTTTGTAATAAAGATCTCTCAAAATTGAATCTAAAAAAGAACTAGACAGTTGGGAATGCTTTAGAACAGCTACAAGACTCGAAAAAAAGTTCATAAATCTCAATTCAACTTTTCTTTCGCATTACATTTTTTGAAAAAGCCTTTTCTTTGAGTTTTCCTTTACCCGTCACTTAAAAATGCCCATTTCTCAGCCTTGCTTACAGCTAAAGTTTCCTGTTCTAGATCATCAACCATTTTTCGGCTTTTCCTGCCATCAAAACCTCAAGGAAAGGATAATCCGTTGTAATTAGCCTCAACCTTGACTTGATCTTACCATAAATCTTTCCCACTACTAGTTTTCCGATTATTTTGGCATCGTTTTTCCTTCTTCACTAATCCCTAGCACTTTTTTTTTTGTTGGCTAAGATCCACCTCCTCACTCGATGCGGAAATCTTTCAAACTTGTTTTTGGTGAAGATGCCGATCGGCATTTCGCAGCCTCACTCAACCATAAACTTGTCATATTTTGCTGTGTAGCTGAATACTGATAATTGAATATCCTTTAAATATTATCATAAAGTATTTGACGTTGATTTTTACAAACTTTTCAATCCTTTATTATTGATTGTTTTCTAAAGGTGCTCTTGGAAAAGCTACAGTAATCCGGTTGTCACTTGCTATGACTTTTTGAGTTAAGGAGCTAAGAAAGCTTGTTATCTAATTGTTAGAAACTTGCTCAAGTGTCTCAAAAGCTCAATTCAACTGTAACTGGGCTACGGTCGTTTTCCCTAAAGCACATTTAGTTTTTGAAAACGCTCCTTCGTTACAGACTCTTCGGTGATCCGTTTCTCTTCTCACAATGATCCTCTTGTGGGCACTATTCAGCACAACAAGCGCTTTTGGATGTGGACTCTTCGGTGGACTGGGCGGAGGAGGATGTGGATGTGGAGGAACACCAACAATTGGACCTCTCCCTTGTGCTCCCGCTCCTCCACCCCCACCTCCACCCGTTCTCCCACCGGCTCCCTGTCCTCCGCAACCGTTGTGCTTGCGTGAGTTGTCTTCTTAAAGCATTTGAAAAGTTTTTCTTTCAGTATATCTGCAATGGACTTAAGTATTAGTGACTTTAGCTCCTTTCTGTGGCCAGCCAGCCCCTTGTGGAGGTCAATTGATTCCCCCTACTCGTCCGGCTCCTCTTCCACCACTTCCACCACCAATCCCACTTCCACAACCAGCTCCTCTTCCACAACCATTTCCACAACCATTTCCACAGCCACTACCCTGTGGAATTCAACCTCATTTCACTGGTAAAATGCGACTAAATCTAAGGGATTAAGATTTCATCTTCTCACGAGAATGAGCTTACTTTAAACTCCAAGAACAAACTCAGATATCTTTTAAACTTTTTAGGTACTCCATGTGGTGGACAACAAGTTGTGATTGGTCCTCAACCAGTGGCTCCTCAGCCAATGCCAATCGGGTGTAGAATCGGCCAAGTGATCACTCAAACAGGTGGATGCATGCCGGCTGTTCACGAGATTACGCCTGCTGTAAGTTCTTCAATTTCTTTAGCCTTTTCAAGTTTCAGTCTGTTCAGGTTCTAGTAAAATAAAACAAATACAATAACTTGATTCAGCAGACCTACTCCACGGGTTTCGCGCCGGCCACCGCTGCTTTCCAACCAGCTCAACAGCCCGTCTTCTCGCATAGTGTTGATCCCGGTTTGGGTTGGTTTTAGCTGTGATATTAGTTTTGGTGTTAGTGGATTTGAATTAGCTTTAGCTGTGATTTTAGCTGCGACTTTAGCTGTGATTTTAGGTTACATCGAACCCACTCAGTCAACGATTCCCGTAGAAGTGTAAGTTTTGATTCGAAAACATTTCCAAAAAAAAACCCGCTTTAGCCTCTCCGCTCACGGTCCAGCATATGAGCCACAGGTGGAAAATTAAAGAAATTGATATATGAGTTGATTAAAGAAATTGATATTCAGTTTATTAAAGAAAGCTATATTCAGTTTATTAAAGGAATTGATATTCAGTTGATTAAAGAAAGCGATATTCAGTTGATTAAAGGAATTGATATTCAGTTGATTTAAAGAATTGATATTCAGTTTATTAAAGGAATTGATATTCAGTTGATTAAAGAAAGCGATATTCAGTTGATTAAAGGAATTGATATTCAGTTGATTTAAAGAATTGATATTCAGTTTATTAAAGGAATTGATATTCAGTTGATTAAAGAAAGCGATATTCTATTTACATTACTAACAGTTTTACTTGTAGTTGGGAAATTTTAAAGTCTTGTAGATGGACCGAACAGCTTCAGTCGACCTACGTCAGCCCATTCATCCCTCAAATCATTACCGAGTGAGAAATTATTAAAAATTTGTATTGAACGTGCACAATATCTAAAATTTACTTTTACATTTCATTCATTTACAGAGGAAATCTATCGAAGTCGGTATGGAGGGGAATACGATAAAAACGGTGAATGGACAGGTGAATAATTTGACATTATCTATTGATAAAAGCTATGAAAAATTAAACTTATTAAAGAATTAACTGTGATATTAGTTGGATTACAAGTTTGAAAGATTTCCGCATTGAGTGAGGAGGTGGATCTTAGCCAACAAAAAAAAGTGCTAGGGATTAGTGAAGAAGGAAAAACGATGCCAAAATAATCGTTTGGATTTGGATTTGAATTAGTTTTGGCTGTGATTTAGCTATTAAACACCTATCTTGATTTATAAACGATTTAACCAACTCTAGGAACTCTCGGAACCCGATTTAATGGAGGATTCGTTTGAAGAAGCGCTGAAGAGAGAGGTTGGTAACACAAAAATCTCTCTGTTAACTGTGTCAGTAAAAAGACATTCAGATTATTCTAGAGAAATTCTAGAATTAGAAAAGAATGTTAAAGTAAAAATCTCTAGAAATCTTTCTAAACTCTTCATTTAGGCACCAAGCAACGCTGGAATTGAAGTGAAGCCGACGGTGAGACGTTGAAAGAAAACTTTTATGAATAGCTAAAAGAAAAACACTAAATTGTTTTAACAATATAATTATAATTTATAGAGATAAATCAAGTTATTATTATAAAGTTATTATAAAGTTTTAACAAAAATAAAAACAAAAAACCTCTTTAATTTGCAGATCAACTCCCAAGAGACCGAAAAGATACCCGTTGCGCCAATCGGAAACAAAAAAGAAACTTCTATGGTAGATTTTTTAGTTAAAAGCTTAAGCTTCTTAAGATTTAATCTTCTTTAACTCAGAATTAAATATCAGAATAGCTTATCTTTTAGATAGATATCTCGGAGATCAAGTTGAGCGATGATCCGATGTGTAACGCCGAGGAGTTGCGCTCGATTATGTTACAAGTGATTTAGTACTTTAGTGATTTAGCACCTGGTTTTCTTGAATTTTGATAGAAAGAGTTTCTTGGATAGCCAAACTTTTTAGCAAATGAGTGACAGTCTCAACTCGTCAAAACGAATGGTGCAAATGGCGGCAGAGGAGAGATTTGGTGGAAGGTAAAAGAGAAAATTGACCAGTTAAGCAAGATCGGATGAAACAGGACTTACAATTAGGTTCTGGATCTAGTCTAGCTCTATCGGGAGCTGACCGGGCTAGACTAGATGGCTATAGATGGCTATAGTCAAGTTAGAGGCAGGTCTAGACTTGGTCCTAGTCCTGGTCCTGGATCAAAGTTAAGCCAGTCAAGATCCAGGATAAAGCAGGACTTACAATTAGGCACTGGATCTAGTCTAGCTTTGCCTGGACCTGATCGGGCTAGACTGGACGGCTATAGACTGCTATAAACTGCTATAGACGGCTATAAACTGCTATAGACTGCTATAACCTGCTATTGACGGCTATAAACTGCTATAGACGGCTATCGTCAAGTTAGAGTCAGGTCTAGACTTGATCCTGGTCTTGGTCCTGCGTCTGTGACCCTGCCAGTATAGCCAGTCTGACCTTTACAGATCTTTCACCTCGTTAGTTTAAGCATCACTGTTTTTGCTATTTGTTTTGATATCTTATTCGCAACAAAGATACAATCAAGCTTTCAGATTCGATGTGATCTGTGCGCACGGGGATTTCTCCTACGTGACAAATACAGAGCTATTCTGTCAAGAGACGAAGAACACCGTCAGCTGTTACGTCTATCGACAAATTTAAAGTCACTCTTTGTGATTCTCCTTTCTCCATTTCACCAAATTTCAATCCAAATTCCGACCTCAGAAACCTCTGAAGCAAAGCAGCGATAAAAATCTGAACAAATCTCAACTCATTTTGTAGTGTTGTAGCTTTTAGAGTGTTGTAGCTTTTGTCTTACTATAGACATCTAATTTTGATAGTCTTGTAGCCTTAAAAAGAAATGAGTTGCGATCCAGCTGGTTTGCTTTTGATGCGTCAATCCATTCAGATACTTCTCCTTTTTTTTCTCCTATTCTCAATTGTGTTCTTATGTGACTTGTCTCTCTTTGGAAGAGACGGAGATTTTGATCTACATCTGGATATCCATCCCTTCCCATCGCTCGTTTCCCCGTCGACAAATCGTTTCCGAGTCACCGACTCTTCACTCACTCGTTCTCTTTATAAACTCAAGCTATAACCCAGTGTTTTGTCCACACTACAGTATGCCGATTCTTTGGCTAAAGATATTCAGTCATAGAATACTGTAGAAGACTAGAAGTTTGCAGTCTTTTCAGATCAACTTTTGACTTTACTATTGGGTTGGTCAATTGAAAACTGCGAGACTTTGAACTAAAATTTCTTCAACATAAAACCATGAATTCATTCGAAATAATTTCCATTATTATTGACGACTTCTGCCCATTTTACAGGCAATTTGTGGATTCCTCTTTTGTAGTAGGGTTTTGGTTTGTGTGTGAGACAAGTGTGAGACTTAAAAATCGAGGACTGGAGATGTTTCAGTTTGAGCACTTTCTTCAAAAGAAACCCATTTTGGTGTCAATGGAAAAGTTGTAGAGAATCAAAAATGAGGCTTATAGCCAAATTTCCAAAAAGATACACTTGGTAGTTTCGCTTAAAATGCAAGTTTTGTGAAAATTCGTAAATTTCGCATTTCTTGAAAACGAGTTTTTGAATCGTTCTGAAAATTTGGATATAAGCCTCATTTTTGATTCTCTACAACTTTTCCATTGACACCAAAATGGGTTTCTTTTGAAGAAAGTGCTCAAACTATCACATATGACAATAGCCCGCAGTTTTCAATTCACCAACCCAATATAAACCCTAGCGTTCTGCATAACTACAGCTACTAAAGCTAAAGATATTCAGTGGTGACTTAGCTTACTGTAGTGTGGACAAAAGACTGAATCTTGAGCAATTCTTGACTTTCATCATATTTTGTGTGATTCACTTTACTTTGAGCTTTCTATTTTCACAATGAGATCGACTTTCAGCCTTGTTCTCCATTTTGCACTGTTCTACCGTAATATCAAGTTAAAGTTTAGCTGAAAGTTCATTTCCATTACATTTGTTGATCTGAATTCATTCATTTTCTTTCATTCTTTGAAACTTTTACCCTTTTCGTGCAATATGAAACCAAAATTTATCTCAAATATCAATTCGATCGTTTCCATTCAAAAGAATTTACTTTCCATCAATAAATTTTAATATCTAGCAAAATGTTGAATCTTTTTCAAGCTACAAAACATCTAAAACTTAATGTAAAAGGCTTTTTTTTATTCATAAGTTAAAAGTTTTTCGATTTTAGATCGACTCAAGCATAGACAATGGCAATACCGAGATCATCCCGTCTGTATTTGTGTCACAATTTTAGCGCTGAAAATTTGCGCTCATTTAATGGAGACAGAAGAGAAAAGAAAAGAGAAAAATGAAGAGAAAAAGGAAGAGAAGATTGGCGATGTATAGTGTGAAACCGGATGGGAAACGGGGGTGAAGGAGACAAGAATGCCGTCAAGGGATCCGAGCTGGAGACTCACCCATTTCCCCTCAACAATGGCAGCCTCCTGGATCTTTCGATAAACACAATAGAAATAATATAACAGCAAGCTACACCAGTTCTTGGAAAAGCATGCTATGTCGTGTACTATTGTAGAAAATCGAGTCAGGTCCATCTATCGGTGATTCTTGGTCTCTGGAAGAGTTGAGGAAGTCTGACCAGGTCAGGCCAGGACAAGGAAAAAGCCCTGGACAAAGTCTGACCTTGCTATGGCCATGTTCTTCCCAAATCTGGCTCTAGAACAATCTTTGATACCGTATTTACTCTATTAGTGGGGTCCTCTCTAATAGTGGGGTCCTCTCTAATAGTGGGGTCCTCTCTAATAGTGGGGTCGTCTGGAGGGGGGTTGAAAAAATAGTGGGGTCCTCTCGAATTGGAAGAAGATATTGGTAACGAAAGTGATACATCAATTGTTGATCTCTTGGATTAGTTCTTTTACTGTTTGTTAATGTTTTGTTACGGTTAAAGCTAAATAAAATATGAAGCCAAACTTGTTTTGTCAAGAATTTCGGAGAAAAATTGATATCTTTTCAATTTAAAAGCTTTGGTTTTATGTTCTTTTAAATTTCTCTAATAGTGGGGTCCTCTCTAATAGTGGGGTCGTCTGGAAGGGGATTGAAAAAATAGTGGGGGACCCCACTAATAGAGTAAATACGGTATTACAATTTAACTTCTTGACAAAAACTGACAAGCTTTACGAAATATGATCGAATTCTGTATAAACCTTATCTACAATCATTTGGGTTTATCATGGATAAAAGAAAAGCCTTTCATAAACCTTTCATAAAGCCTTTCATAACCCTATGCCTTTCATAAACCTTTCCCAATCAGGTAATTCCAAAAAGTGTCTACAACTGTTACTATATGTATCGCTTGCCCGGTGTTAACCTGGGAATGACCAGAGTTTTCCCTTCAACTACTTTTCTTGTCTTGAATCTTTTCTTTTATCCATGATAAACTCAAATGATTGTAGATAAGAAAGAGGCAAATATAGATCACTTTTCTCTTTTCTTTCTTTTCTCTCTTCTTTCTCTTCTTTCTTTTTTCTTTTTTTACAGTCTGCCAACGATCCTCACTTTTTCTCATTGCTCATTGGTGATTTTCACTGCTCGGAACGATAGCCTTTTCAGCTTAAATCCTCTCGTCGGCTTTTAGATTAAAGATTTATCGACTCTAATTGATCTATCTGTATTCTCTGAAAGAATCGAATCTTCTATTTTTGTTAGCGTTTTTGTTTTGAACTTGTCTTGTTGTTTACGATCTTTCTTGATGTTTAAAAAGTTTTTTTTAAATTTGCTGTTTCTCCTATCAATCCAATCAATCATGCTAGCTTTTGATTTTCCAAGAAAACCCTATCTCTAACTTAGCTTTATGAAATTTATACTTTCGAAATTGTTAAGGTGTTTGCACAAGTCAATTAGTCAAAACTTTCCTATAACTAAACCAAATAATACCTAGTATATTGATCTACATCTACTCTTTTCTAGTCTAGACTCGATTATATTGATCTACATCTACTCTTTTCTAGTTTAGACTCGATTATATTGATCCACATCCACTCTTTTCTAGTCTAGACTCGACTATATTGATCTACATCTACTCTTTTCTAATCTAGACTCGACTATGTTGATCTACATCTACTCTTTTCTAGTCTAGACTCTACTCAACCTTTCAAATCTGCAATTAGCCTCGTGGGAAATTGATGTGCTCTTTGGCGTCAAATTATGGAAAATTTGAGTTGGAAGATCATGAAGTTCTTCTCCTTTTCTTCTGCTATTCTTTTCTCTCTTTTAATTCCATTTCCTCATGTGATCACTCAAAATTGATGATTGAAAAGAAGAGAAAGATTGGAAGAATCTCCTCAATCGACGATCCGGTTGATCACACTTCCTCTCCTCATTTCCTCTCCTCTTTTCCCCAAAATCACTGCCATTGCCAATCATCTTTTTTCTGGAAAGATTCACAGTGAAGCTAATAAATTGAATTTATCGATTTTTTTCATTTTTATTGATTACTTTTAATCGTTATTTCTTTATTGTATTGGGTTGGAAAATTGAAAACTGCCGTCTATTGTCATTGAGCACTTTCTTCAAAAGAAACCCATTTTGGTAGCTTTAGCTTTAGCTGAATCTGAATAACTTTAGCTTTAGTAGCTGTAGTTATACAAAACGCTAGGGTTTATATTGGGTTGGTGAATTGAAAACTGCGGGCTATTGTCATATGTGATAGTTTGAGCACTTTCTTCAAAAGAAACCCATTTTGGTGTCAATAGAAAAGTTGTAGAGAATCACAAAATGAAGCTTATATCCAAATTTTCAGAACGATTCAAAAACTCGTTTTCAAGAAATGCCAAATTTACGAATTTTCACAAAACTTGGATTTTAAGCGAAACTACTAAGTGTATCTTTTTGGAAATTTGGCTATGAGCCTCATTTTTGATTCTCTACAACTTTTCTATTGACACCAAAATGGGTTTCTTTTGAAGAAAGTGCTCAAACTGAGACATCTCCAGTCCTCGATTTTTAAGTCTCACACTTGTCTCACACACAAACCAAAATCCTACTACGAAAGAGGAATCCGCAAATTGCCTTTAAAATGGGCAGAAGTCGTCAATAATAATGGAAATTATTTGGAATGAATTCATGGTTTTATGTTGAAGAAATTTTAGTTCAAAGTCTCGCAGTTTTCAATTGACCAACCCAATAGTAAAGTCAAAAGTTGATCTGAAAAGGCTGCAAACTTCTAGTCTTCTACAGTATGCTATGACTGAATATCTTTAGCCAAAGAATCGGCATACTGTAGTGTGGACAAAACACTGGGTTATAGCTTGAGTTTATAAAGAGAACGAGTGAGTGAAGAGTCGGTGACTCGGAAACGATTTGTCGACGGGGATGTTCAATAAATTTTAGTTCAAAGTCCCGTAGTTTTCAATTCACCAACCTAATACTTATTTACAAAAACAGCACAATATTTCTCCATTGTTTTCAATGTTTTCAATGATTTCAATGTGTAATTTCAGTTACCTAACAAACCTGTAAATTCTCGTTGTCAAAAGTCAATCGTTTCCAAAGCTAAACTCAAGAAAGCTTCCAATTTTTGTCAACTCCAACAGCTGAAACGTTTAGAGTGAAGATTTCAAAGACTTTAAGATCTTTTCTATTGGATAATCTTTTTAGCTTTCTTCTTATACCGTATTACCTTTTGTTTTAGCTTTTTTAGCTAGTTTATATATTCACCAAAACTTGTACAAAACTCTTTAAACTAGCAATATTCTCTGGATAAATTTGCGCAAAGGGAAATTCTTCTCGCTAGCAAACACTCCGGCCTACACTGACCCACAAATCGATCTCTCCATCTTTTCCACACGTCGACTCTCAATCCTCAATTTATCTCTAAATCTATTAACCGATTCATTTCCTTTAAACATTCACCCGATCATCTAACGACTTTCAAAGAGGTGAATTCGACGATAGAGATCTCTGCGCAGCTCATTCGATCTACTTCTTTTAAGGGAAAAGGCTCTCTTATCCAAAAAAAATCTCCATTCTAGAATCTATTGATTCGAGTGAATACAACATCTGACCGTCTTCTTTTCTTTGTTTTCTTTTACTTGTAAACAAGATTCGGTTATTGTTAACAATCTGTTAACAATCTGTTAACAACCTAGTATCCCATTGTACTTTATCTAAACAAATCTATGATCAAAAAGCTCCTTAAAAACTTGAAATAGCCACTAATTTTACACTGAAAAAGTTTCTATTTAGTTCCTATTTGGCTCCTATATAGTTCCTTTATAGTTCCTATTTGGTTACTGCTTTACTAATCTTTAAATCTTTTCTTTTAAATCTTCAAATCAAATCGCTGAATGTGTGTCGAACTGACGAAGTGGAAAAACGGATCCGAGGATGATTGCTCAGAACTAATCTGAGTTTTGACTTGCCCAATTGCTATATTGTTTCTTAAAACACTTTTCATGTTTGACCAATTGATTTCTTTCAAAAAAAAAGGCGAACTTTTTCTGTAGAAATTTTTCTGTTAAACGAGAGATTCTCTCTCGATTCAGCTGTTGGAATTGGCAAAAAAAGTTTAACGAAAAACTTTGTGACGTACCGATGAGTTCTTTGGATTTTTCTTAGTTTAATGTACGCCTACAAAAGATTCCATTAGTTTAAAACTGTATAAATGTAGAACTTTTTGCCTAGAGCTTCATTGCAACTCTTTAGATTCTGTCTCAAGAATTCCGGAGTGAAGCTGTAGCTGTACTGAAATACTTTTCTACTCTTTCTAATCTTTTTAATGTTTGAAATCTAAACTCATAGCTCTTCTAACACACTCTAAACCATTCTATAATAGGATTTCTAAGTTTATACCGGAAATGGTAAAGCTAAAATGAACTCGTGAAAATCTGTTAGTTCTTTGAATGTTCTAACGTTCAAATGATTAACTTTGTTTATAGTTTATACCGGAAGATGGTAAAGCTAAAATGAGCTGGCCAAAAGTTTGGTTAGTTCTTTGAATGTTCTAACAGTCAAAAATTCAAAAACAATTAAAGAATTAACTCCATAAAGCCAATCCCAGCTTCCAAAAGCTAAATCCTAACTCACTAAAGCCAATCCCAGCTTCCAAAATCCTACCAAATCCAAAACAGCCAATCCTTCCAAAAGCTAAATCCTAACTCCATAAAGCCAATCCCAGCTTCCAAAAGCTAAATCCTAACCCCATAAAGCCAATCCCAGCTTCCAAAAGCTAAACCCTAACTCCATAAAGCCAATCACAACTTTTCAACTTTAAAACATTAAATTTTATTGCTAGTATTCAATTTCTAAATTAATCTATCAATTATTTTCAAAAGAATTTCCTAAACAAACCGATCGATCAATCTACCAATCATCAGAAATATTTCATACCATTTTTATCATTTTCTGAAACCTATTTCGAGCATCTAATTATTAAAATTTTAGTCTTTTACCATTTTGTAGTCTTCTACCCATTTCTATTAACTATTCCCCCATTTCTTTACCATTTTTTTCTTTCATCTCCACTGAACCGGTTGTTCAAAAGTGTAAAAATGTTTTTGGTTTTGGGCAAAAAGACCTTGAGAATTCACTTAAGTTCTTCCCTCAAGAGCCATTCAAATAAAATGTCTTTTTTTGTGAATCAAAATTGATTTGACCAATGGGATCTTCTTAAATTATCATTGTCAAATTTGAATTGCCTTTTAGCTTCTCTTTATTTCGTTGGTACTTGTCAGTTCTACATCCACAGAGACTCAACTCGGTTAACACGTTGACGACATTCTCACCTGATGCTGTCTGACACATATTCGTTCGCCTGGGACATTGTCACCTGATGTCAGGTGACATTTTTTGTCGAAAAAAAACAACGTTCTCCCATGCGATTGTTTGTGCAAAAACGCCATTGTCGTCAACGTGTTAAGCAAGAAGCTGGCAATTGTGATTGTGACAACTTTGTGAAGGGTGATTATGTTTTGAAGTAGAGTGCTCGACTGAAGTGATCAGTTGATCAGTCGAACGAAAATCGATAACCGAAAAGACTCGGATGGGGATGATGCTTAACCGAGATGAGTCTTTGTGAATGTAGAACCGACAAGTACCCTTTCGTTTTAGTCCTCTTCATTTTTTTCCCTTAAGGCTTTAGGCCTTTTGAAAATCCTACATATTTTTTTATAATTTGAGTATTTCTTTTTGTTTTCCTTTTAAGCCGAACTCAAATCAGGTGACACCGAGCACTAAACAAACGCCGAGGCGAACGACGCCACGAAAAGTGACGACTCGATCACTCCCCCACCGCCGGACACCACCACGGGACTGATGGGAGTGGTCGGTGTGGCGTTGCTTGTCTCTTTTATTTCATTTCTCATTCATTGGATCTCACAAAAGGCAAAATTCGTCTATGACACGATAAGTGCGCTTCAGGTGAGTCGAAGAAAAAAGGCAAAGGTGAAAATCGATTTACCGAACGTCAACTCCCAAGGGATGGTCAATAGGCTCAGTTCACCAAATGAAATGAGCCATATGAGCCATTTCCCAATCGCCATTCGCCATTGAAATGAGCCATTTGACGCACAATTTTACGCTGATTCCGAATATAAGATTTGTTTTCGCAAAATGATTCTGAATCGCCCGCAATTTGGCAAAAAGTTTTGGCCTCTCTTTTGCCCTCGCGCACTTTTTACTTTTTATTTTTGTAAACACTTCTTATTTACATTTATCTATATGAATTCATCCTCGGGAAACTATTTCTAACTTACAATTGGCGGCAGTTGAATACAGGGGATTGCCAGCCAATCATAGTTTGTTCTATGCCAGATCTATGCGCATCGTGCACATAGAAAACATAGAATAGATTTCCAAAAAAGAAAAAAGTGAGCGGACTCGAAGTCTCGAGTAGCTAATTCGTATGCTCACCCACAATCCATTACACCAAGCAGCCAATTGAGTCTAAGCCTTATAATGCGATCTCAAAGACTTGTTTCCTATGTTCTATGGCTCATTTCATTTGGTGAGCTGGGTCTGTTGACCATCCGTTTTCTGTTGACCAGGCAAGCGCTCTAAAGCATGCGCGAGTTACCGTAACCTAAATCTCGATAAAGGCTACAGTAGCTCTAAAAATCGGAATTTTAAAGCTAGATTTTGCCTTACTTTTGAAATTTTCCTTTTTAGGGCCCAGCTGCGCTACCGTTAATCGGTAATCTCCATCAATTGCATGTTCATCCCGTAGGTGAGCTTGCGATAGTCAAAATCGAATTTTAAACACTCTACCATAATTTCAGAATTTTTCGAGCAAGCTCAGGGCATCTCATATCTTTTCCAGAAAGGAAACGATCGAATAGCACGAGTATGGCTAGCTGGTGAGTGAATGGGAAAAGAAAGCGATGAATTTGAATAACAGAATTCGATTTCATTGCTTTCTTTCTTTTAAAGATCTTTTAAAGATCTTTTACAGATCTTTTGCAGATCTTTCACAGATCTTTTATAGATCTTTTAAAGATCTTTTATAGATCTTTTACAGATCTTTTACAGGTCTTTTAAACATCTTTTAAAGATCTTTTACAAATTTACAAACAGAATTTTGTTGTTTTTATGTTGAAATTTGAATAACAGTGACAATTTCTACGATCTCAGGCATGCCCTTTGTGGTGCTTTATGGAGCGGATGAGGTGGAGGCCGTTTTGGGTAGCAATAAACTTCTCCACAAACCCATTCACTATTCATTTCTTTCCGCATGGATTGGACAAGGATTGCTGATTAGGTAAATGATTGAAAATGTTGATAAATTTCAAAAGAAACCGTTTTCAGCGATCCGAACAAGTGGCGACCGCGACGGAAACTCTTGACTCCCACCTTTCACTATGATATTTTGAAGGATTTCGTTGAGGTTTTGATTTGAAGATTTCGATTTCGTTGCATTTAAATAAAATGAGAATTTTTTAAATTAAATATTAGATACTTTATGTATATGTCGTAGCCGATTATGAATTTCAGCCGATTATGAATGAGCGGGCCCGGACGCGTCCAACCATCAAGTATTTGGTATCATTCAACGCAGAATCATTAATAGTTATGTTAGATTTTTAAAATTAGAAAGATTGGATAAAAAGAAAAAAAATTATGGGGCCTCAAAGTTTCCTCTTGAACAAACAGTTTTTTTGCTCTAATTTTTTTTCTTTTTATCAAATCTTTCTAATTTTAAAAATTTAACATAATTATTAATGGTTCTGCGTTGAATGATACCAAATACTTGATGGTTGGACGCTCCTAGACGCTCCTAGACCCAAATACTTGATGATTGGACGCTCCTAGACCCACTCATTCATAATCGGCTGAAATTCATAATCGGCTACGGGGGTCCCGCCGATTTTGAATGAAACGTTGTAGCGCCAGTAATTTTTACCCTAAACTCACAAATTTGGTACCAATCGACGCAGAATTTAATTCGCTACAGGATGATATAACATTGTCCTCATATATTAAAGGGTTGCTCTACTAGAAAGATTTACCAAAAAATTTCATTCATAATCGGCTACGACATATAAAATAAATATCTAATCACCTTTTTTTTCAGGTCTACAACCGACACTCTCGAACACTTTTAGCGAAATTTCAAAAGCTGGCCGCTGAAGGCGATTTTACTGATGTTTTTCATACAGGTGCTAAAAGAATAGAAAAGAATATGGTAATACAATATCTAGTAATATCTACAGTGATGATGTAGTAAGTAAATGATGTAGTAAGTAATGATTTAGTAAGTAAATGATGACTATTTTCTTTCAGTAACCCTCTGCACACTGGATATCATTTGCGAGGCGGCGCTGGGTACTTGCATCGACGCGCAAAACAACCCGAACTCACCCTATTTGGAAGCGGTCTTCAAGTAGTGAATAAAAATGATTTTAAAGAATAATTCGAAAAATAGTTATTTCAAAAAGACTATAAAATTTCTTAAGAATCAAGCACTTGTTACATCGGCGAATGATCAACCCGCAGTACTATCCGGATTTCATCTTCAAGCTTTTTGGTGATGGAAGAGAGCAAGCGAGATACGTCAAAGTTCTACACGATTTCACGAGCAAGGTTGGGGGGAAAGAAAATCGATTTTGAAAAGATAATCAAATGAAAGTTTTCTTCAAAATTTTCTTTAGGCCATTTACGCGAGGAAAAAACTTGCCGATGAGGCTGGCGGAGTGAATAAATTGATTGATCAAGAGAAAGCTGAGGGGAGAAGGTTGGGAAATGATTTGAAATTTATGATGCCGTGTTTTCAACGTGTTATGGTCGTAAGCGGGTGGTGGGCGGTTAATGCCGGTTGAAATAGTGAAAGAGCGAGTGATCCTTTGTCGCTGAAGAGACGCGGGGCCCACTCTGGGCACTTTTCGTGTGTCTAATCAGAAAAAACGGCTTCTGGCACACGGCCTTTCCACAAAGGGCGACAGATACCTGTCTCGTCGGTTTAATTACCCAAGTTTGAGGTTAGCATTAACCCCGAGACCTTATCGAAGTGTATCGGACAAATTTTGGAACGCGTCTCCGTAAAGGAGATGCACGAATCGGAACCTCAACTGTTCAAGTGTTTTTTTTGGTTAAATTGAGTGATTTGTTGCTAATTTAGCTAATTTAAGCGGTTTTTGGTTAATTCAAAGTGATTTGTTGACATTTTCCATTGACATGCCAAGATAGTGGGCTCTTTAAGCCGTTTGTTGCTAATTTAAGTGTATTTTGGTTACAATGATAATTTGAATCAAATGTATTTACATTTAACGTTTTTTTTTTAGAAGAATGGCTTTCCTTGATCTGATGTTGGACATGCACGCGAGAGGCGAATTGGAGATGAGCGGAATACAGGAAGAAGTCGATACGTTCACTTTTGAGGTACAAAACAACGAAAGTTTCTTCTTTTTCCTGTACTTTGTGCTATTAAATGTAAACACGTCTCCTCTGGCATAGTCAATTCCCTTCATATCTGGATCATGGAAATGAAACATTTAAACAACTCTAGGGCCACGACACAACCTCGACCACAGCGAATTGGTTTTTCCATCTGATGGGTGCACATCCCGAGTATCAAGTGAAATGTCAGCAAGAGATTGATGAGGTAAAAATGTGCCTAATCAAAACTAGAGATGTTCTAAGTTTCATTTTAAGTCACTAGGTCACTTTTTTTTTTTACACTAAAACTTGTTATTGTTTAGGTTATTGGCCCCGAAGATCGCCACATCGCATTTGATGATTTGGGTCGATTCAGGTAGTGTAAGAAATATATGTTTATATTTTGATCTATATAATTTCTTGTGAGACCGTGTCTCGGTGTGGTTCAATAGTGGTCTTCTTGAAAACGCACAATTTATCCAACTTTCCCTTATTAGGGCAAACTTCGCTCAAACTGGAGCAACCTGGCACTATCACAATTAATTCAACACTTGCATGTGAAAAAAAAGGATAGCAAAAAACAAAAAGGAGAACAACAAACTCACTCAAAAAAACAAAAGCTTAAAAAACGGGTTTTTTAAGTATACAAGCTACAACAAACAGACAGCTGAATATCGTCTAGTGACTGATTACGGTAGTTTATCCATCAACTTTGAATTTTAACTTGTGTATTGAATTTTTGACTAACTGCGGAGCAGTGGCAATTCGCCACAGGTAGCCTTTTTTTTCAACTTGTTTATTCAGTGATGATTCAGTGATACACAGTGTTTATGCTTTATTCAAATTCACTCGCAAAACTCATTTTAGATTTCTAGAGGCTTGTCTGAAAGAAACGATGCGGCTTTACCCGGCCGTCCCGTTGATCGCCCGATACACGGCTGAGGAAGCGAAAATTAGTGAGTTCGAAAATATGGCGCTTTTACGATAGCTTTTACGATTTACATTTTCCAAATCAAGCATCCCCATTCATCGTTTAAACTTGGTAATTAACTAGTGAAAGGAAAAGAATCTCATTCAGAGTAATTAGCAAATTTCAGAAGACTACACTCTCCCGAAAGGCACAAATATCATCATGGTGAGAGCTTTTCTGATTTTCTTAGCATTCAAAAATATACAGAATATATCCAAAAGCCAAAAAACTCTTCACCTATTCAAAATTGAAACCTTTTATCATATCAGGTTCCATCGATGGTGCACAAAGATCCGCGTTATTGGGAGGACCCGGAGATTTTCCGACCCGAGAGGTATTCAATCATTTTGTATCTCAAATCCAAATCAAAATTCAATCATTTTGTATCGTTTATATCTAAAATCTATAAACAAAATGATCTTTGAGATTCCTTGAGAATGACGTGAAACACCCATATGCTTACATTCCGTTTTCGGCGGGAGCCAGAAATTGCATTGGTAAGTGAAGCTTTGAACTCAATTTTGGTAGGATTTTTTGCTAAAATTGAGGTGGTTGAGTGCAAATTGGCAACTTGATTACTGTAGAGCTTAAATATTGATTGATATTGATTGATAAATGAGCCTAAAAAACAAAAAAAATCTTGCAGGTCAACGTTTCGCGATAATGGAAGAGAAAACGATAGCAGCGACTGTGTTGAGAAATTTGAAGGTTCTTTTTTCAGGATTTTTTCAGAATTTTGGTGTCAATATTATTTTCGAGCGAATGACACTAAAATCAGAAAAAGTCAACGAAAATCAATTTCAGATTGAATCACTGCGAAGGACGGATCAAATGCGAGTGGCTGCCGAGTTGATCATTCGTCCTTTATACGGAAATCATCTGAAATTTCGTCCACGAGATTATGGAGATTACACTATTGAGAAATCCGCCGTTTAACCCACCACAATTCATTATATTTATTTGCTGAAGTTAATATTTATACTATTTTCATTAGGACTAGCTAGCAAATCCCTTTTTTCCCAATCACCAACATCATCAAAAACCACCTCGAATGCTTTACAAAGACTCTGCGAAAAGAAAAACTCGAGATTTTGCAAATTGTTCAAGAAATTTCCCCTATTCCTTGTCTGACTTTTGAGAAACGGTGTTTTTTTTGTTGTATATTTGACATTATACTGAAAAGAAAAACAAAATTTTTTGACTACGGTACCACTTCTTTTTATTAACCCGCTATAAAATAATAGATTCAATCACACAAATGTAGATGTACAAAGGAAAGAAAAGAATCAGCGTTTAAAATCATAGTTTTTACAGAGATATTTACAAAATAAATTTAAATTGGTGCACTAACTGGTTATTTCTTCGCCGATTTTGACAAGAAGGCGGCGATCGCGTTCTTGCATTCGACACTTTGCCATCGCTCGCAAATGAGATCAGCTTCCGCCCAAAATGAAAGATATGAATATTATCTCTAGGTAAAAAGCAAATCAATCAAGCAATTCAAGCAAATCGATACTCTAAACTTACCTCATTAACTTTGTACAACGAATCCTTGTGAATTTTCCTCAAGAGCCTCTTGCTTTCTCGCATGCTTTGCGGTGGAAGAAGTGAATATTTGGCCAAAAGATCCGTGGTTTGCTAAAAACTTCTATATTGAATAAATTTTTAACAAGATCAGCACCTGCACAAAATCGGCCTCATTGAAAACTTCGTTCACCAGTCCACACTCTTTTGCTTCCGTAGCCGTCAGTTTACGCCCAAACAAAAGCACCTAAACAAAATTGAATTTGGTGAGAGAAATCAAATCAACTTCAGCAGCTTTCAAGGGCCCCATCAGAAGAGGAAATGTGTACGCTGAAACACCTTCAGGACTCTGACCGACTTGTGCAAATGGCGTTTGGAAAGTGGCCTGAAAAAAAATTGACTAAATTAAAAAGAGTATCAAATTTACCTTATTCGAAGCATAAACAGCATCGAAAAGTCCCAAAACAGTCACCGAAATGCCGATAGCTGGACCATTGATCAAAGCGACGAGTGGTTTGTCGAAATCGATGTAACCCTAAAGGTTGAATAGCGTTAAAAATATTATAATTATAAGCAATATTTAAATATAGGATCAATGCACATGCTATGGCAGACATTTTTTAAATAGTCGGATGTTTCTTATCCTTGTTGCGAGCTCGAAGTGCCATAGCAGTTTTATATAGAAGCCCTATACATCTTTCTTCTACAGATTCGTCTGGAACCCATAATAAAAAGCGAGATCATACGCGAGAAAACCCATAGTTTGCTAAAAAACGATAAAACTTCATTCAGAGAAAACGACTGGACCGATTGATTTGAAAATTTGAGTGCTGCAGACGTAATCAACATTCTCTACGTTTTCTATTTGAACATCAAAGTAGGTTTGTTGGATGGAAATCTTTAAATGATCAACTCTCCATCAGCCCATTTTTGACTGCTTAAGTTCGATCATTTGAAAAAGTGTGAAAACAAAAGCTTTCCCGTCTGGCTCAAAAGGTGTTTTGTAGAGAAAAAATAGGGCTTTTTATCTTTGAAGCCCCTAGGGTTTACTATTAAATTGGGTTGAAAAGCGCCTCTTGAAAGAATACTAAGATTTCATGTGCATTAACCCTATAGTTAGCAAATTTATATCTTTAAAATTATATAATGCTTAAAAAATCCCAAACCTGTACGTATTCCTTCATGATATTCTTTGCTTCTTCAGCCATCACTTTCACTTCGGCAGGGCCTTTCGTTGCAGCGGCAGCAAAATTGCTCAAGTCGTTTCCGGAACAATAATAGTTACCCGTACCTAAAAAGAAACATCTACATACAGTAAAATATAAAAAAAACCCGTCAATGCTGCTATCGTAATTTTATCGTTGTTTTGAGCAAACTTGAGGCCTTCCTAAAATGAGATCTTTTTTAGCGATGTCAGCAGCAACTAGCCTGAATTCCTTTGTACATCTCAAGGGTCAAAGCGTTGAATTTCTTTGGGCGGTTCAGCGTCATCTTGAACACCTTTCCTTCTACCGAATACTAAAATTGAAAATTTAGAAAAACAAAAAAATAATATTACGTCAAGTCCACCGATTTTTGGAAGTCCCTCAAAAGCGGAGCCGGTATCTGCTTGTTGACTCGACGCCTCCTCACCAAGTAGTTGATTGATCAAATTCGCGTACTTCTGTTTGGCATCATCCTAAAAAATTAAACTTATTTACAATCCGGCAAGAAAAAAAGCGATTGGTGATCAACTTTAAAGTGCAAAGGCAATTAAATTTAAAGATATCAAAGCTGCTCAACCTGTGATATTCCCTTGTGCTGACTCCACGCATCGTACTTGGCTCGCTTCACAAAATCCATCATCCCTGGACGAGAGCCGCTCACATCACCATCACTAGCCTAAAATGACATTTTGAAACAAAAAAAAATATCAAATGATCAATTGTTTAGAAAAAAACAAATAAACCTGTTTGAAAAGCGCATAGATCTTCAACTTCATCTCATTGTCGGGCTCTTCTTTCAATCGTTTCATATCCAGTTGAGCCTTCTCGAAAACACTTTGTGCCGAATAGAACCTAAAAGAATAACGTTAACGATATATGAACGATATATTATGCCTTTTATTCTAAACAACGTTAGCGTAAACTGCTTTTTAAAATAACTCAAATCCAACCTTGACTGCACATTGCGAAGAGACCAACCGAGGCGCAACATTGGTGAATTTGAGCTGAATCTAAAACAATAAACTTTTAAAAGTTAAAACTTATAAACCATTGAAGAAAAATTAGAGGAAAACTACACACAACCTAATTTTTGTGAAAAGAATTTAGAGTCTGGTGCAAAAAAAGAAGATTTAGAGAGAGAAAGAGAAATGAAAGCTGTAGTATCGACTTTGCACTTTGTCCCCAACACAGAGAATGAGAGAAAAAGACAACAAAACAAGCGCATTTCCTGAATGATATCGACAATGAGATCACCACGTGGGGGAAATGCAGGGGAAAAATTTGCAAATCCAATTAATACACAAGTAGATTAATTTTTCATAAGATAAAATTTCATGAGTTAACTCATTTGGGTTATGCTATGAGCGCTAAAAATGGGGGGTAGTCAAAACAGCGCCATAATAGAAAACGTTCAAAACAGCGCCGTCAAATTTCTCAAAATCCAAAAAACCAAGCCGGTTCAAGTTTTATATCAAAAAATTCCTTGCGTTCTTGGCTACATGATGGGTGAAACAGTTTTTAAAAAAAGTTAATATTTTATAGATAAAAAGAGCACTCAAAATGGGTCTCTAAAGATATTCAGTTAACCAACTGAGTATCACTCGACGCACATTTTGAGTGCTCTTTTTATCTATGAAATATTAACTTTTTTTAAAAACTGTTTCACCCATTATGTAGCCAAGAACGCAAGGAATTTTTTGATATAAAACTTGAACCGGCTTGGTTTTTTGGATTTTGAGAAATTTGACGGCGCTGTTTTGAACGTTTTCTATTATGGCGCTGTTTTGACTACCCCCCTAAAAATACGTGTGGATACGTGAAAAAATTTGAATTTGAAAGACAAAACGGCTAGATCAAATTACAGAAAATTGTCGATTTTTCTCTTTGTATAACTCCGTCCGTTCGCTTCCACAAGCTCTGATATGCCAAAATTTCGATTCTACGCCCTAAAATTACCTAGAAAAAGAACTTTTGGAATAGAAATTGGTTAATATTAGCTTTTAGAGCTTTTTTAAAACGCGAAAAAAGGTGCGCTAATGGGCTAAGTGCGGAAAAAAAGGTGCGCAAATGTCCGGGTGCGCAAAAAAAAGGTAGCATTTGTCCCACTCCCCGTCAAATTAGTATTTAAGCTAAAATATATGACTTGTGTTCTTGTTGAGTTTTTATTTTTGCAATATAACTACTTTCCTTTTGAAGTTTTCCTTGTACTTTCTCTAGCTAGGGGAAAGAAAGTTCGCTAAAACTTGTAAGACTTGATCCCAACATTTATCCACACTTCGAAAAAAGACGCTAAAGAAAATGTAATGCCCCTATATCCCGAAAATAACGATTAGCAAGACATAAATGATTCAAAAAGATGACACGGATGTTTATCAACAAAAAGAAAAAGAGCCCAGTGTGAAGAAAAGAAAATAAAGAATCGATTAATGTATCTCATCTCACATCTGGCCGATCAACAACTGCTCTCGGCACAATCACCCCTCGATCATTGTGTTGACCCCAAGTTGTCATTTCCCTCATTGCCAATTTCTAACAAAATCTTTTTAACCTCAAGACTTGGGATGAGATTCTCTATCTTTTTGCTGATCTTTACAAGCTGCATTCTTGGTGTCTCCGGGAAATCAAAGGTAGATTTTATTACAGCAACAAGACCAATTTTTCCCTTTGCTAATTCAGTTTTGAATCAGAAAAACAAAAGCAAGTCTTATTTACGATACAACAACTATTCAACCATTGACTTTTAGTTGAGCAAATCTCTGCGCATCCAAGCGACGAATGTCCCGGTGGTGGTCTGGCATGGAATGGGTGAGTGATAAGAACAATAGTTATTCAGCTATTCGACTCAATCCATTCAAATACCCAACAATTTTTGGAGCATGTCATTTTGGTGGGAGGGGGTTTTTTTTGCTTCGAAAACACTTTGAAGTGAAGCGCACACTATAGAAGCGCACTATAGAAGCGCACACTTTGGAGCCCCAAAACTTGGCTTAAAACACAAAACGTGTTAGGAAATAATGATTTAGTAGTCAAAAATGGTTTTGGCTCTAGTTTTGACCTAGAGAAGTGCCTCAATAGTCGATAGTTTGGGCTCCATAGTGAAGCTCCATAGTACATTATAGAAGCGAGCACTTTGGAGCCCCAAAACTTGGCTTAAAACGCATTTTCCCAAGCTCTCGTTGTGTTTCTCGGAATCTCTGCATAAAACTACCCCAGAAAAAGTGTTTTCGAAAGAAAAAAAAGCCCCCCCAACATGAAATGCTCCCAATTTTTTAGGTGATAGCTGTTGCAATCCATTGTCGATGGGAGCCGTGAAGAAATTGATCGAAGAGACCGTGCCTGGGATTTACGTCAAAAATTTGATGCTTGGCGACAATGTGGTGGCGGTAATGACAAAAAAAATATTGCGAAAACCTTTTAGCGCACTTTGTTTAGGATATGGAACACGGTTTCTTCGCAAACATGAATGATCTAGTTGACGAGGCGTGTCAACAAATACAGTGAGACAAGATTTTTATTCTAAAATAAGCTTAAAATCAAAACCTGAATTGTTCGAGTGAGCCGGTTTTCAGAAAGGATCCCCAGCTTCAAGGCGGCTACCATGCAGTCGGCTTCTCGCAAGGAGGACTTTTTGTGTATGCGGCTAAAATACAAATTACAAAATGACAAGTACCATCAAGTAAATGACAAGTAAATGACATCATTATGTTTTACGCTAGAACGAATATTCAGCTACAGTAATCCATTTTGTAACCTATAAAATATACCTTCATTTCAGGAGAGCGCTCGCCCAACGATGCTCAAATCCACCAGTGAAGAATCTGATCTCTATCGGCGGGCCACACCAAGTACCGTAATCTATTCGCAATAACCTATTAAAGTATTTTCAGGGAATTTTCGGTCTTCCCTATTGCATTGGAGATACAGTGATTTGCGACAGTATTCGCCATTTACTCGACTGGGGAGCCTACATTGGACTTGTGCAAAATCAGTGAGTCCCTGGAAAAGCTTGGGAACAAAACCTACCGTAAATACTGTAATAGTACCCCACCCCCCTCGTACAGTTACGTAGTCGCAAATTTTTTTAGTATTTAATTTTTTTTCAAAGCGCCCGTACTTTCAAAAAATGTGTCTTTGGTATCAAAAAATAGCCCTGAATTTCAGCTATTTTTTGATACCTAAGTGCGCATTGTAGCATAAACCAGTGTCGAGAAAAACTCGTTTAAAGCTAGACTACGCAACCCTCCGCACCGTCATTATGGGAGTAGGGTATTGTAACAGTATTTACGGTAGGGTTTTACAGTGTAAATATCAATAGGTAGCCAACGGAAAAATCCCGGATCATGCTCGATTTCACTCCAATCTTTTTGTCTTTCATTTTAATCGATAGAAAATGAAATTCTGCGTCAATTGGTATCAAAATCAAAAAGATCCGAGTGAAATTGGCCGAGATATGCCATTTTTCCGTTGCACGCCAATTGGCGTTCACACCGAAAGTCCCCCAGGTTTAGTGAGTGCCAAGATCTACATAATTGTAAGGATTATTGTTAGGTATATGACAAATTACAGAAACCCTAGACTTTACAGTACTCTTAAAGTTGTATTTGCAAAAATTTCAGTGTTGTCCAAGCGCAGTATTGGCACGATCCCCTCAACGAATCCGCTTATCAAAAGAAAAATATTTTCCTTTCCGATGTCAACAATGAAGTGGTAAATTCTGAAACTAGACTGAAAAATCCGAAAAATTAAATCAATTCTAGACTCTAAACGCCACCTACAAGGCTAATCTATTGAGGCTGAAAAATTTCTTGCTCGTCTTGTTCTCCGATGACGAGATGGTGGTGCCAAAAGAGAGTACGGTAAGGGTTTTTGAATTTGAACTGAATCTGGTAAAATGCAAAATGAAACAAGCAATAGAATGAGAAAATTAAGTTCAAATCAATTCCTTAAATCAAAAAAAAACTCCAGTGGTTTGGATATTACAAGCCGGGAACAGTGAGCGAGGTGTTGCCGATGAATCAAACGGATCTCTTTCTTCAGGTATTTCAAAATCAAGTTGAACAGGGCGTAACACAATGATGGTCTCACCTCGACATGTGCCATCGGGTCGCCAAATGCATTTTATCAAGCGGCTTTTGTTTTCTAAAGCGTAAAATCATATTGTATCCATGTTTTAGAAAATAAAAGTCGTTTGCTAGATTGCATTTGGCGACCCGATGGCACATTTCTAATCTCACCTACAGTACTGGACAGAATAACAACAACCCCTCGCAAAAACTCCTTCTTCAAGTCCTTCTTTTCCCGGTATGTAAACGTAAGAGTTACCCCCGAACACCATATTCTGAAAGCCCAATTCAAGATCTAGCGAATGGTATATTTTGTATTTTAATTTAGATCTATTTTTGAAGCATTTCTACCCTTCAAAGGTGACCACTGAAAATTTCAACTTTCAGAATGAATTCGACGTCATTTCGCGGATGGAAACCTGTTAAAACCGGTTAAGAACCACTTTTCAGAGAGTAAAAATTTAATGAGAAATTTGAAAAACGTGGTTTCGGAACGATTGGAGCCCGCTATCATAGAGAAAAATTCATTCTGAAAGTTGAAATTTTCAGTGGTCACCTTTGAAGGGTTGAAATGCTTCAAAAACTGATCTAAACTAAAATACAAAGTATACCATTCGCTAGATCTTGAATTGAGCTTTCAGAATATGGTGTTTGGGGGTAAATCACACGTTTACATACCGGGAAAAGAAGGACTTGAAGATGGAGTTTTTGCGAGGGGTTGTTGTTATTCTGTTCGGTACTGTATGTTATGGGTTCCTTATCGACTCCAAAAAGTCAGATCGATTCCAAAATTCTAAAATAAAAAGCTATTTTATTTATAATACTATTGATAAAAAAGATTTTTTGGATTCTTGAAGTGGTTTCTGAAAAAAGGAAATAATTCTAAAGCTAAAGTTGTTTCAAGCCTACATACAATGCCCTCTAAAAAATGATAAAGCAAGCGAATTAAAAAAAATTAACACGTATTTTTAATAAATCAATGATCCTGGTTCTAAATCTGAAAACCGTTTTTCGATAGCTCTTATCATTTTCGAGATTTAAAAACTCGCTTTTGTATGGAAATCAGAGTTTTTAACCGAAAATTTCGTTGAATTGATAGCTTTGTGTAATCCAATATATTGCAATAGGTTTTTACCTATTGCAACCTATTGCAATTGCATAACCTATTGCATAACCTATTGCAATAGGCTTTTCAGAAACTTGAAGAAATTTAGAGCGTTTTCTTCTTTAAAAGTACCCGGATCGGATGGACGAACAAGCCAGAAAATGATCGTGAATGTTGGTGGTCATAATTTTTTCGGTAAAATGGCTTAAAACTATGATCCACTCTGGGTACTTTTAAAGAAGAAAATGCCCAAACGTTCTTCTAGTTTCTGAAAGCCATCTGAAGTCGGTGCGGTGGTCAAAAGCTGCTCCAACAGATCACTCAACAACGATTACACAAAGCTGTCAAGTCCGATGAACTTTTAAGTTAAAATATCATGAAAAATTAAAGGACAAAATCGGCATCAAGAAACTCTACGAGAGCAACCGTTTGCACTTCTTGACCGTCAAGGGTCGACATCTCCAAATTTCTCGAGAAGTCCTCGTCAACGAGGTCATCAACAAGTATTTGAAATGATTCGCTGTTTTGTAAATTTTCTTCTTTTTTGATTTTTGTTTAAGGATTTATTTGAGCTTAATGAAAATATGCTTTCCACACAGCAAAATAAAAGAGAAAAATAAAGGCTTCAAATTAAAATAAGAATCGAAATTTGATTCTCTTGTTTTCCTCATCAGAAACGCAACTCGCTGATCAATTCTTTCAGCTTCTCGACAAAGCGATGAATTTTGGGTCCAGTTGGATGCCTAAAAAAGGATAAAACAGTAAGCAGACAATAAATGACAAATCCTTGAGACAATAAATATCAATTCCTTAAAAAATTTGAGTTGACATCAAAAATAATTGCTATTAGTACGAGCGTCGTGAATGTGTTAATCGGTATACATCGGTATACTGTGCAGTATATTCCAGTTCCACCAGTCACCCTTCTACAGTACTTTACCACTTTTAGATTCCCGAGTTACTTCCAAAAATTTCCCCCCAAAAAACCCTCACTTATTCTCGTGTCGAAACGCGTCGATGAGGGTGATTTCGATGTGGATTCGCTCATCATCTGAAGTCGATGCGGTGGTCAAAAGCTGCTCCAACAGATCACTCAACAACGATTTCAACCTGAAGATAGGATTATTATTATTGTTCTTGTAAATGGACACGTTTTAAGAAACAATTTTCTCAATAAGCAAATGCTATTTTTTAGTTTGAATCCAATAAAGTTCACCTATATTTGTCGATTTCGACCAGCGTATACTTCTCCATTTTTGTGGTCACCTAAAGAAAACTTATATAAACTTATTAACTTAAACTTACCGTAAATACTTTAATAGTGCCCCACCCCCTTAATGACGGTGCGGAGTGTTAAGGAGTCTCGCTTTGAGTGTTGCGTAGTCTAGCTTCTCGACACTGGTTTATGCTACAATGCGCGCTTAGGTATCAAAAAATAGCTGAAATTCAGGGCTATTTTTTGATACCAAAGACGCATTTTTTGAAAGTACGGGCGCTTTGAAAAAAATGAAATACTAAAAAACTTTTGCGACTACGCGACTGTACGAGGGCGGTGGGGTACTATTACAGTATTTACGGTATATACTTACTAAAAAACTTTACAAAACACTCAAAAAGTCTAGTTAATCAAAGAAAAAACCCACCATTTTGGTCGAGTTGTCGGTCATTTTTATGTCTCAACTTCAAAATCTAGATTCACACTCTCAAATTGAATGTAAATTTATACAAATGTTTATATGGAAATGTTTATTTATTCAAATTCTTGCAAATTCAAATTCAAATTCAAATTTAAATTCAAATTCAAATTCAAATTTAGATTCAAATTTGATTCAATTCAATCAAATTCAAATCCTTCCTTCTTGCACAAAAAGAAAACCCGTTTCAAAATCGTGAAATTGACTAGTTTTAGAAGAAAAAGAGATCTAAAAAAAAGCCAAAAACCGAAAAAAATTTTCTGTACTATGAAGTGACCCAAATGAGGGGAAATGTTGATTTGCAAAAGTTATTCTCAAAAAAAAACATTATAAAATCGAATTTATCGACTTTCGATCAAATTATTGTTGATTGAATGTGTACAGCGTTTCGAATAGTGGCAAATGCTGGGCATAAGTTCGCTTGAAACGATTCGAATTTGGCCATTTCTCCACATTCTCACAATAGGTGGCGCGCATGAATTTGTAGTATTGAACCATCTTCTGCTCACGCCATTTCGGGCATTGACTGCAATTTGTTTTTGCGTTGATTTACAGCGTTTATGTAAAATAATAGAGTGCTTTCCCCTCGAGTAATACGTTTTCTAAAAAGCACCTATTTGAGAAAAGTACCGTAGCCGTTAGTTCACTAAACTAAGTTTACGCCTAACTAAGCCAAACCGTTAGTTTACATTCGATCAGCCCGTTTTTCTATCATTGACTGAGCATTGTAATTCCTCATTGAATGATACAAAAATCGAATGAATTAAATGTAAACTAACGGTTTGATTACGGTACTTTTCTCAAATAAATGCATTCTAAAAAACGCATTACTCTAGAGGAACACACTCTATAAAATAACCACAACTCACATATAAGAATCGCGCTCATCGCCCGACTCACCCTCGCAATGTTTTCTCATATTTCGATTCAACCGTTGAATTTTCTTCTTTAGACTGAATTTTTGAATTCATTTGAATGATTTTAAGCTTTAATAGTAGTTTAAGCTTTGATTTATATATGTTATTTCCGATTTAGACTCAATCTAAATCAAACGTCCGACTTAGGCTCAATCTAAATCGGAAATAAAATATAATAGATTAATGCTCACGAAGTTGCCTACAATTTTTTTGATGCTATTGTGCTTTAAACAAATGTTTGAAATTGTATTCTGTGAGTTTAAAAGCAATAAATTATATAAATCAAAGCTTAAACTGCTCAATAGGTTTAAGTGATTTTTTAGTGATTGTTTAAGAAAATTCCAAGAGCTCTAGTAACCCCATTCACCTATTTGCCCGTTCCTCCAAAATTTGCACCACCGAAGCGCTCAACAAATGTGCATTAGCTAGACATTCCTCTGGTGGTTCACCCTCGTCTTCCTGCAATTTTTCGAAATTTATTTATTCAAATTTTTCTATATCCAATCAGCATTATAAATTTCAGTTAATTTCAGAAAGTTTTTCGAAATTTTCCTTCCTTCCAATAGAAGAGATCAATTTTATGTGAGTGCCTAACACATTATGTGTCCTCCAGCTTTTCGTGTGAAATTGGTTCCCATAAATCTCCAGTCCAACACGATCGTTAACTGAGTTTTTTTGATTTTCAAGATTCAGGAAGCAAAAATCATTGCAAAACTTCGTAATAAAATCAATTTGGAAAATTGTATGCTTTCCAATTAGTCAGTTTGTTAGCCAACAACTTGTTAAGAAATTTCTTGAGTTCTTAAGCGCACAAAGCTTGTTGTCATCAATTTTACCTAAAGCCTACTTTTTCACAAAAGCATTCATTTCTTTTAGTGAAACCCAATCCAGCTTTTTTTTTCTTTAGCTGTCCAGTAACGAAGCTTTATGAGAATCTCGAAAAAACGGCTGTTTCTCGACAAAATATGAATGAGTCATCTTTAGCCCTCCAATCTTTATTCCTCAAAGAAATCCTTTACCTCATCAGTTGTCGTTTTTCGCATTGGCACACCCATGTCAACTTCTTTCGTTAACTCGTCGATCTCAGCCGGTGGTGGTGGAAGAGTGGGATAAGTGCTGGTTGGAGTCTAAGCGAAAAAAAAACATGATTTAAACTAGTGTTTATTCTTCTCTCACTTGTCTATTTCCTTCATCATTTGCCATCAAATCCTCTGTGGTTTCCGTACTTGTTTCTTGCGTTGGAGCTTGAGTTGTTGAAGCCCTAAGGAACAGATATTTCCTCATTTCAAAATTTCAAAAATTCCCTTTCTAATTACCCCAATGTATCTTCTTGAATCGATGCTTGGACTCGAGCCTGGGGAATATGAGTGTATTCAACCTGAATTGAGTATTCAACCTTTTGAATTACTCATTTTTCTTGTCGCTCACTTTTTTATAGTTGGCTTCTGGGAGAGTGTCGATTGGTTTCTGTTGTTCGGATCGTCCTTCGACCTTTTCTCGCAATGAGCTGCCAAGGCTTTTCTAAATAATCATATCTTTACAAAGGATACCGTACTTTAATAGTAAATTTCAAAATAAATATCATATCTTTGTTGGTTGGAACTGTTGGGAGATCAAAAAGTTGTGCGCCTCCAGGACTTGACCTGGCGATTTGTCGCTTACTGGTCAACTGTGCCAACCATTACACCAAAACGCACCTAATCTCTAGAGGAAGTTAACTAGTATTTACTTATTTATTTACTTTCAAAGACCACTCAAAAGCGTGATCAAATTGGAAAGCTTGAGTTGACAATTGCCATAAAAGCTACCATTTCCGAGTTATTTCCACGTTAGGCATACTATTGAATCAACAATCAAAAATAAGTTATTACCGTATGCCTGTGCGCATCTCCATCAACTACAACAAGTACCTCATCAACGTGTGGATGTGAACCATTCCCGTCAATCAAACGAATCTCTATCCGCTCGATCGGCGAATCGAGACTTTCAACTGGAAAATCGGGGAGCTGGTTAAAGCAGCGTCAAAATAGCCCGTCAGCGCTTAAGTTTCTATGTGTTTCTTATTCTTATTGAATAAAGAATAAAATTATCTACATTTTGTACACTTTTGAATCACTTAAAACAGAATTGATATCGAGAAAAGCTCAGTCAACCTCTTTTTAAGCCCTTTTTCATTTTTTGGCATTTTCTTATCCCAGATTTGTTCTGGGATGAGAAACGACTTCAAATTCAGCAGATAACTACCGTAAATACTGTAATAGTACCCCACCCCCATAATGACGGTGCGGAGTGTTGTGTAGTCTAGCTTTGAACGCGTTTTTCGCGACACTGGTTTATGCTACAATGCGCGCTTAGGTATCAAAAAATAGCTGAAATTCAGGGCTATTTTTTGATACCAAAGACGCATTTTTTGAAAGTACGGGCGCCTTGAAAAAAATGAAATACTAAAAAACTTTTGCGACTACGCGACTGTACGAGGGCAGTGGGGTACTATTACAGTATTTACGGTAATTCTACATTTAATCAAAATAAAGAAACACAAAGAAACTTAACCGCAAACGCATTATTTTTGGCGCTGTTTTGACAAGCTCCCGGAAAACCCGGCAATTAAATCGAATCCCAAGTGTCAGTGAAAAATATATGTGGTTTTTGAAACTGAAAAAGGTGCTTAAAAACGAAAGTGAACAGAATAAAACTGAAAGCTTTTAAAAAAAGCATTCCTAAAGCTACCGTAATCCCGCGTACCGTGAAACGTACTTGCCACCGATGAAGTGATGTCTGTTCGCCGTCTGATCACACCCTCTTCCTCTTCGACGAAATGCGGATGATTTGAGGGTACAGTGTGCGAGGATACTGTAGGTGAGTGATTATCATTTCCTTGTATATCTTCTGATCGTCTTTTTGGTGGCTCGATTGTTGTTCTTTCTGTTGCTCGTTCTTCTTGTTCTGAACTAGCCAACGGTCGTCCTTGAGTTGATAGGAATAGAAGTGGCAAAAGATAGGGAAGAAGCATGATCTGGAAAAAACAGGAAAATAAATATAAACATTGAAAGGGCTAGCTTTGAGTTCAATAAGTTCAGTAAAAGAAGTGCTTTAGGAAAGCTATCGTAATCCTGAAGTTTTTGAAACAATTGAATTAATGGAAACAATGGCTTTTTTTTCATTGGCAATCATTGACAGACTCTACGATTGATTTTGTCTTTAAAAACTTGTCATACGGTAGCTTTTTTAAAGTGCATCTTTTAGAAACAAAGCTTTAAGCGCTTTTTGCGAACGATCAAACGATAAAAACAATAATGAAAATAAAGCGAGAGTTTCCAAAATCGTTTCCAAAGCAAAAGTTTTGAGGATAAAAATTTTCGATATAAAAATCATTTCAAAAACATTATAGAAAGAATTTCAAAATTCCTCCATCTTTGAATCCACACATTTTGCACGAAAATCGAAAACAAAAACGTAATTTTTCAAAAGAGCGAAACGGGGCAGGGAAGGGGGAAAAGGGCACAACACACGAAGATCGACAATGTTTTCTTGAAAGAAAAACTTTATGAGCAAAGGGGAAAAGCTCAATGAAAGGGATGGAAAAGGGGACATAGCAGGTGTGAGGCAGAGTGATCACCCATGTCAGTTGTCCGTCCATCACAAGAGGGCTCACTCATTGAGCCGTCATAGCCGATCATCTCTTTGGCCTGGGGAAAACGGGATCTCGAGACTTTCGATTTGATCCCAGATAGATAAAGAAAGGGTTTTAGGTTTAAAATTGAACCTCAATTGAACCTCAATTGAACCTCAATATACAGACCTCAATATACAAAACTCAATATACAGACCTCAATATACAAACTCAATATACAGACCTCAATATACAGACCTCAATATACAGACCTCAATATACAGACCCAATATACAGACCTCAATTGGAAGTAAAGATTGTTCCCAAAAATTCAAAAATCTTTTGTCAATAAGGTGTAAATTTGTGATAGTTTTTAATGATTTAATGATAATGAATGAATTTTAATGAATGAATTTATCAATACAATATGATTAGGATTGAGAAAAACTAAGTTTTTAAAAAAAATGATAGACAATCAATAGAGATTCATTTCGCTCAATCGTCGTGGTCATCGTCGCGCGCTCCTCGACTGAAATCAATTACTCAATTACTCAATTCAGGCACAATTACTCATTGATTCAACTCATTGATTCACGTCATACTCATTCTTTAAGTATACAGGTACTCATAAAGTTACAAACTATTCAAAAAAAAGTGATAGAAGTGATGATATAGATTCTTTATGGAAATGTTTCAATTCTCTCACTCACAGGCTTCGTCGACTGATGATCATCTCACGCTCTTCCTTCGCGAAAATCGTCTCCAAATTCAGCACTCCAATATCAAAAGTCTAGAATTTTAGAATATTATCTAAATTTATTATATTTAATTATTATATTTAACTATTTTATTTATTACTTTTTGAAACCAAACCTTTTTCGGGGTCTTTCCTTCTGTGATATACGATTTGGGGAGGCCAAATTTCACTTTTCGATGCCCAGGCTAAATTTTTGGTACTAAATACTTGCTAATATGTGATATTTATTTCCTTGAGAGATTCTATTACCATAATTCCATCGTCACAATCGTGATAAACCTTGAAGATCGGATCGATTGGGGTGAGCTCGGCGGTTCCACCCTAAAAGTACTCATGCAAGTCATCGGACATTTTCTATTTAAAATGTCAAAGTGTAGTTTTTAATACTTGTGAATCAATTGCTTTAATATACTGTAAACATCTCTTTTTTTTATCTACCTGCAAGCTAAACTCTCCATTTCCGTCAGTGTAACCTTGATCGAGGAGGTCATCCGGATCAGGTCCTAGGCAAAAATATTGTGTTTTTACTTTAAGCTGATTTTACTATGTTTATTAATCACTTTACTATGTTTATTAATCACTTTACTATATAGTTCTTCATAGTTCCTATTTAGTTCCTTTATAGTTCCTATTCGGCTATTGTATAGTTCCTATTTAGTTCTTATTTAGTTCCTATGTAGTTCCTTTATAGCTCCTATTTGGTTACTGTATAGTTCCTAATTAGTTCCTATTTGGTTACTCTATAATTCCTATTTAGTTCCTATTTGGTTACTGTATAGTTCCTAATTAGTTCCTATTTGGTTTCTTCGTTTATTAATTATCTATCTAGTGCTTTTGATCAAGACCAACCACTATCCTCCTCCCAGAGCTTCACGCGCACGTTACTAGCCGGCTTCGAACCACAGACCAATCGTCCCTAAATGACATAATGATTTCAATAATGAATAAACAACTGTATTTATAATGATATTAGAGTATATATAGTGATATTTTTTTACAAAAAAAATAGATTCCTTTTAAGACGAACCTTAACGGCGATTGATTGATCCCTCATCGCGATGGCTAATCCTAAAAGCGCAACGCTCACCAATAGAATAGTTTTCATTCTAAATGCGATTGTTGACGGGTGAGCTATGCTGGTAATAGTTTCAAACAAAATAAACTAGGTGAATCTAAAAGACAATAGTGGGAAGATACAATTTGGAAGGATTTAATTGGCTGCCTATATTTTAAGTAAAATGTTTATCAAAGTTTAAAACCAGAAAGCAAGTTGTTTACTGGGGAAAATGTATTTTTCGGAATGAGCAGTCTACTTTCGTTTATTGGGCTTTTTAAACGACTTTGTCCCGCTTGATAAGAAGACTGAAAATGGCCGACCGTTGTTTGTTTCTGGAGAAGACTCAAAAATCGATCCATTCATACTCAAAATAGTAGTGATCCGGAAGTGAAACTCGGAAAGATCTCAAAAATAGAATAGAATTGATGGAGATTTTTGTGTGATAAGAAAATGAAGTCATTGATGAGGGGAAAGTTTGAAAAATTTACAACAGTTTCCCCTTGAGCAATGTGTTGTCTAAAAAATGGGCGACTTTCTAAAGCTACCGTAATCCTGTTTCTAGTTTATTTAATCTATTTAAAGGAGATTGAAAACAGATATCGGGGTAGGCTAATTTCCGCAATTTTATTTGCGCAATTGGGTCTTTTGCGCAAGTTGCCATAACTTTCTTCTAGGTGGACCAATCTTTATGATTTTGGTGTAATTTTGTAGAGCTCAATAAGTGCAACAAAATGAAACCATAATCATAAAGATTGGTTCACTTAGAAGAAAGTTATGGCGCGTTGCGCAAAGTAGCCACCCCCATCGATACAATTACAGCCTGAGCTGAGTACTTGCTTGACTTCAATCCTCTTGGGTTTGCCAAGTCTAGACTTCTTTGTACGGCGTAGCTACAGTATCATAACTTCAAGACTAGAATAGTTATCTTTGCTTTGTATTGTTCGATGGGGTGGCTACTTTGCGCAACTTGCCATAACTTTCTTCTAAGTGGACCAATCTTTATGATTTTGGTTTCATTTTGTTGCACTTATTGAGATCTACAAAATTACACCAAAATCATAAAGATTGGCCGACTTAGAAGAAAGTTATGGCGAGTTGCGCAAATAAAATGGCGGAAATTAGCCTACCCCCAGATATCAGATTAGATAGAAATGAAATTATGGTAGGTTTTCAAAGTTGACAAGTTTAGAAAGGTATTGTTTACTTAGTATTACTTGTTAGGTTTAGACCTCTAGTTTAGAGAGGTCCATACTATAGTTCTGTCTCACCGTTACGATACTGTACTTTGCTGTACGATACTGTACTTTGCAGTTACTATAGCACAACAGTATAGCTAGTGTTTTCATCATTTTACTGTGCTTTACGGTTGGTTTTGCTCTATTCGACAGAAAATCTGGATTTCCTACACGTCGCTGAAAATAACCCAAACACCTCTTCATTATGCACGATTTCTATTGACCAATCAACAAAAATGGTGGCGTAAAAATAGAGTCCCAGTTGTTCAGTTGAGCAAATTTAGCACCACATATAAATGTTGATTGTAAATTTCCAAAAGCAGGAACTGATGATGCCGAAACGACGATTTTCTTGTTTCGTTTTAATTCAGAAGATCGGTCTTCTTCTTCTACTTCCCACAATTATTGCAGGTTACACGCGGAACAACAACAAAACGCCGAGGCTTGACTTTATTGGAAATGTGAGTGAATCTTATGTTTGAATAGTTAAGATATAAGAAAGAATCTGTCTTGGTGTATCCTCATTTTATCACGTGTTCAAAGTTTTGCTTTGAGAAAAAGCGATGAATTGAGTGCACCAGGAAAGGCGCGTTTTCATTCTTGAGTCTACACACAAACGAACAAGTGTTTACGTCAGCTAAAGTTTGACCACGCGCTCAACTGAATAGCTTACAATCTCGTGAGAAACTTTAATCAATTGGGAGAATCAAGAAAGTTCCAAAGGTTAAATTGTCCGATTTTTCACAAAACGGCAAGTTAACCAGCTTTAGAAGTAGATACTTGGCTTATGAATTTACAAAGAAAAATGCGTAAGTGAATCCTGAAAACTCTGAACCAAAGCATCCCCCAACAAACAGCTCTCTTACATCATTTTTCAAAACCCTTACACTATAACAACTTCAAGTGTGATGTGTATTTTAGGTGCCGGCCCTCACTCCATTATCCGCTTATCAGGGTGAGTTTTCTCCTTTTTGTCTTTGTCGGCTTCATAAAATTATACACTGGAAACGATCTTCTCGGAAAAGCCGATTAGGGCACCCATTTGACAGCTTTTCGACAAGTTTTGTGTACGAGATAAAACGAGAGTAATGACACGTTTGAGGGGTGATGGGATGGGATGATTTGAGCGCAAAATCTATTCCCAGCACTAGCTGACTTTAAATATTTTTAGAAATCTAACAAGCACCCCTTTTGGTGATAAATCCCACAGCTCTAGCAATTTCGAGGTGCTAGCAAAAGCGCCGCGTTTTTTGCGCCGTCTATAATTTGCGCTAAATTTACGCTCATGAAAAACACTGTAACAAATAACTTTTTTTCAGTATTCTGCGCTTCACAATTTTAATTCCCGCTGTTTTCAATTAGAAAACACGTTTAAATAAATATACAGCCCCAAAAATGGTCATTTTTTTGTCTCTGATTGGGCTTTTTGCTCTTTATAACGATTTTGTGCCATTTTCAGATCTGGCGAATGCGTTAAAATAGCGAGCATCGTCGACACGAAAAAGTAGTTAAAAAATAAGAATAAACAATCAGAGTTGGTAGGAAAGTGTGTTGAAAAGCGCAAATTTGGCGCAAATGATACGCGGCGCAAATAATTTGGTGCTTTTGCTAGCACCACGCAATTTTTAAAAGGAAATCGGAAATTTGCACTGCAGCGAGAAAAATTTAGATAATTTTGTCTGAATCACCGCCTACGACTTTTTTTTCTCTCGCCACAATATTTTCATTTGATTCGGCTCCAAAATTGTATATGCTTCCACAAATCCTTTAGTTGGCATTCCCCATTTGAAATGATTTTTGATTTTGGTTTTCTTTCAGAAGCTGGTCGCTAACTTTAAATCCTTCAAACGTTTACGCATTAGTTGCTTGGGTGTACGCCTTTCTTGTGTTGATCGCTCGACCGCTCGCTATTTTGCGCTTTCTCGGCCCATTTTTTTGAGCTCCCTTTCAAAATTGATGAATTGCCTGGCGTGTTTCCACCAAAAATAAGGTCAAATGTTCTTGACAAAAAGTTTATTCAGTGAGTTTTTCAAGGTCGCTGTGAGATGTCCTTCCCATTCCTTGTTTTCAACTTTCTGTTCTTTCTAATCGTTTCTTTATTTCAGGAAACATGCTAACGGTTCGTGGTGGCCTCAGCGCGAAGACTCTTCCGCAAACCGCTCTCATCATCATTGGCAAGGAGAGTCACCTGAAGGTTATTTTTTAGCTTATCTTGTAAAATATTATATTAAATGGTTGATCAGTATCTTATGTCGGTACTTTTTTACTTTGTGTGCCCCCCCCACCCCAGCAACATCAGAAATGTTCAAAAATTTAACAAATGCAAATTTAAATTTTGTAAATATGCATTTAAAGCAGTCAAAAATTTTGCCTGATATTCGAGTCAAGTTCCGGGTCGATTCGTGACTCGAATCGACTCGACGGCGACTCGAGGCCCATGTCTACTATCCATCTTACTATTTTGCTAAATGCCACAATCTATATTGTTTTCACTTTTAACGTCGCCCCCCAAAATCAGAAATTTTCAAAAATTTTGCTTGGTGTTTGGGGGGTACAAAGTAAAAAAGTGCCCTTATGTTTTAGATCTTCAATACTTGACGAGTTCTACAAAGTATTAGTGCTAGACTGAAGACTGTAACGCTTTACTGTTTTTTTCAACAGACTTTTCTTTAGAAGCTCGACTATCAAACTGTGGCCCCGAAATTCGCCAACCATCTCAACGCCGAGCAATGGAAGAGGGGAATCGATATCTTGACACCCGATAGCGGCAGCGTCCCATTGTTCTACAACTTGGCAAAGGTGCTTTGTGTGTTTTATCGTCTTTGTAATTTTCATTTTTAGGTGGTTGCAGTCTCCGACAAGGTCTCTCGAGGCAACGCTTTCTCCAACTCGCCGGCCATTTCAAAGGAACTTCGCGGCTACAAAGTGCCATCGAATGCTACGGTTAGTTTGTGTCCGTTAATACCTTTAAACAATTCTTTTAGGATCTATCAGTCGTAGTGGTGGCCGAGTATGCTGATGTGATCTCTTCGGTCGCAGCCGTCGCTCGTTCGTTCCCCGTTTTTTCACTCAAGACGAAAGAAGACACGACTTTGAAGAACATTGACATCGAAGTGGTTGTCGTCGATGGAAAGGTGATTTACGCCAATGTTATTTAATTAAACAAGGTTTAGACGCTTGCTGAAGATGACGTCAACTATTTGAACCACCTTATCAAAGCAATTAGGGAGACTGCACGGTTGATCGACACCCCACCAAACATTTTGACAACGGGTACGTAGATATTTTCTTTGTTGAGCAAACATCTAACACCAAAGTTACATTTTTCTTTTAGATGCGTTCGTGCAAGAAGCGATTAAAGTGGCCGACGGTTTGCCCGACGTTAAGCATCATGTCATTCGAGGCGAGGAGTTGCTGCAACAGAACTTTGGCGGAATCTACCACGTTGGAAAGGCTGGTCCAACTCCTCCGGCATTTGTCGTACTCAGCTACAAGCCAGTAGGTTTGTTAATCCTTTTTATTCAAATGATATTTTACTATTTACAGGTAGTAACCACAAATACGCGCTTGTTGGAAAAGGAATCGTCTTCGACACCGGTGGCATGCAAATCAAAGGAAAGACGGCAATGCCTAGCATGAAAATTGTAATAAAATAATGGTTTATCTCGAATAATATTTGATTTTAGGATATGGGAGGAGCCGCCGCATTGCTGCAAGCGTTTGCGACTTTGGTGCAATCAGGGTTCAAGCAAGAGCTGCACGTTTGCCTGTGCATCGCCGAGAATAACATTTCGCCGCAAGCCAAGTGGGTTTTTTTTGAAAAGGGCTGACCTTTTAAGAGTAGCTTAGTCAAATACTTTTTAGTAAGCCTGATGATGTGATTCGAATGCTCTCGGGTAAAACGGTCGAGATCAACAACACAGATGCTGAGGGGCGACTTGTGCTCGCTGATGGAGTCTTCTACGCAAAAAATACGCTTGGGGTACATCGCAAATTTTGACACTTAAAAAAATTTTCTTTAGGCTACAACGATCATCGATATGGCAACGCTCACTGGTGCTCAAGCCTACATTTCGGGTAAACACCATGCTGCAGTTTTGACGAATCTGGAGGAGAACGAAAAACAAGTTTGTTTTTGAAAAATCACAGTTCAAATCTCGATTTTAGATCGAATTGGCCGGACGTCGGTCAGGGGATCTTGTCAAATCGATGCTGTTCGCTCCCGACATGCACTTCTCCGATTTGAAATCTCCAATCGCCGACATGCGCAACAGCAATTTCGGAAAAATGGAGGTACAGTTTTTATTTTATGGTCTTGGAATTTTGGATTTTAAAATGCCTTGTTTTAGGGGCCTCCATCAGCGATCGCTGGCTTGTTCATTGCAGCGCACATCGATTTTGGTGAGGGAATTTCGTGGATGCATCTTGATATCGCCTCGCCTTGTGAAGTGGCAGATCGTGCAACTGGGTTACTTTTACTGACTTCCTAACTGATAATGTTGTAAACAGTTAATCTATCTATACTAATACTTCCTTTAAGGTATGGACCAGCTCTTATCAGTGTTCTCCTTGGAAAAGAAACGAAAGTGCCTCTTCTGCAATGATTCGTTCTGTTCTCCGTGCTAAGTTTTTTCTGTGATTTACCCTAGCTTTTTGTCATAGTCATTTCTCTGTTTGTCATAATAGCCAGTGTGTTCTTTTTTTTTAGTCATTTTGGCATTGTCTTGGAGAGTATAATTTATTGCTCGAATAAAATAATGATCAAAATACATGTTAAAAGTAGTTAATAGGAAAAGCAACGATAAAAACTAATCTTTAATGAAACAATAAAGAGTTACAGGACTCTTGGCCTGCTGTTTATTCCGAAAAAATGAAATTCTTGCCAAGAAACTTTTGAACTCAAAAAGCTCTTTTGCATTTCTTTCTTGAATTGAAAGATAATTTATTGTTCGAACAAAGTATGGACAAAATTTTAATATACCGACGTTTTCTTTGGGAGATCACACGTAAAAGAGAAAAAAAAGAAATAACTAACAAATGTATCAGCAAAAAATTATCAAATTACATAGGTAGTTGTATTTAGTAAATATTATTTACACATGAAATCTTTGGTCATTTAGCAATTGCACCAACTGTATTGTGTTATTTGTCAAGAAGCGGGGAATCACAGTTTACCGGAAACGAATCGGACTCTTTTAAACTTTGGAAAAAAAACAAAAAAAATAGCACCAATGATTTCACGGAATGTTCAGGGCACAATGGGTTATTGTTAAGAAAAATTTCAAACTTGTTAGATAAGCGGTTGTGAGTGCAGCAAGTTGATTAGAAGACGTATCTAGAAAGCGTTAGTTTGAATAATAAAATTAGTTTTTGATATCGATATTGTTAGAAAGACCCAAGACATTAATATGTTTATTAAACTGTGCTCCTTTTTATTGAATCGCTTTCTGTGCGCTTACTAGGAAAGATACCGTACCCTGAAAATCTTTCTAAATTTAAAGAGATTTAAAGAGCGTTACGGCAGCTTTTGTTAAAGACACTGGGATTATGGTAGCTTTCCCGAAGCGCGCAGCTTTTAGAAAACTCATCGTTCCTCTCAAGAAGTAAAGTAGCCTTCTCTCAAGTACACTTTTTAGAATACCCAACGAAACACGGTCTATCATTTACAGCTTTCACGATTTTCCACTCAAAAACTCTCTCATTTCCCGCTCAATGCAGCCAGCCACCTCTTGCTCTTTTGTCGTCGATTGCCTGATGGTTGTGCAGTTGGTTCCTCGTCATCGGTTCCCCAATGACCGGTCGATTCGGCGAATTTGTCGATAATCATCGAGATTGGGAAAGCCAAAACGATAATTCCGCACACTGAGGCAACCGCGGCCACCACTTTACCGCCTAAATTTGTTTGGGTATTGTATTCTTTCCTATTTTAAGTTCAGGCCCCAAAGTTTTTTTTGCTTCAAAGTCCATAGCTTCAAAGTCATCAGTCATCAAAGTCAAAGTCAAAGTCTTCAAAGTGTTATCAGTATACCGTAATTTGTGATTTTACCATTAGAATTGAAACAATAAGAACTAAATCAGCCCAGCAGCTTTAGATCATCTTCTTTTTGTGACTCACCTGTTGTCACTGGCACAAGATCTCCATAACCGACTGTTGTCATTGTGATCACGCCTGAAAATAGCGTTCATGTGAATATTTGATGATAAAATATTCAGATACGAAAGATTTTTTTTATTGTTCACTAAAACTTACACCACCAACACGCTGCGGGGATACTGTAGAATTTCGAGTTCGGTTCATCGCGCTCGAAAAAGTAGATCGCCGTCGAGAAGAGCATTATGCCTAAAGAATGGACGCTTTTTTATCTCGCTACCTCGTTAAATGTAAATTATACCTTAAGAAATTGTTTTATTAGCCTCACCTGTCACCAAGAACATTCCCAGCATCGACAACTCGGCCGCACTTTTCTTCATCGTTTGACCGAAAGCTCGAAGACCTAAGAGATTGAGTTTTATGCCTGGCAAAGAGATTTAGCTTTACAAGTGAGCTATTGCAAGTGAACTATTGCAAGTGAACTATTGCAAGTGAGCTATTGCAAGTGAGCTATTGCAAGTGAACTATTGCAAGTGAACTACAAGAACTATTGATCTTTTTCCTAAAAAGTTACCTGTACTGTATCGAGCGAGCTTGAAAATTCGTGCCACTCGAGCTAACCGCATCACTCGAATCACTAGCATTGCACCTGAAGTTTTCGTTGCTTTTCTGAAGAATTTCTTTTTCTTTTGCTCACCTCGGATCTCTTTCATCCATTTCAGCGGGAGAAACTCTTCAATGATGAATGGAAGAATCGTGAACAAATCGATGATGTTTAAAGTGGAGCTGACGAAATCCCACTAAAAAAATTTAACCCTTAATAAAAACAAATTCTCTACGCTTTCAAAGCCTTTACAATCAAACATTTTCATCTTTACATTAAACAAACCTTTTTCGGATTGACAAGGAAACGTGCCATATACTCAAGAGTGAACCAAATCATACAACTGAAAAAGGACTTTCATTTAAAAGCACTTTTAAAATGTCTCACATCGTTTTAATTCTCGGAATTATCCTTTCAAAAGTATCCCTCTAAACACTCGTTGAATATCCTTTAATTCTAGGGAGAAATCCAAACAAATAGGGCAGCTATGGAAGCAGCAAAGTTTCGCCTCTTTTTCTGCGTAGCTGCCCTTTTCGTTTTAAATTTCCCACGTAACTATTGGGTTGATGGAAATAGCTGTAAAAACTTTTAAAAAAAGAGATATCTCAAAACGGTTTTTACCAATCGATTCGTCTTGAATTCAGCTTTAGGGAATCTTAGCGAAAAATTTTTGAAAAATATTATCACCGGTGGAAGTCGAACCAGCCTTCTAACAACATCAAAAAAAATGATAAAACAAAAAAAAACGAGAAAAGCGAAGGAAAATCGCGAAAAGCGGCGGAAAGGCTATTGATCTGAGGGTCGCTGGTTCGACTCCCACCGGTGACAATATTTTTCAAAAATTTTTTGCTAAAATTCTGAAAATGCGCGTCTAGGGGTTATTTTTGACGCCGATCACGAAACACATGTTTTTAGCCTAGGTTTCTGCACGGAAAACTAACGAAATGTGAAAACAGCCATTTTTTGGCTCTGCCGCCCTTTACTAAAATAGCTGTAAAAACTTTTAAAAAAAGAGATATCTCAAAACGGTTTTTACCAATCGATCCGTCTTGAATTCAGCTTTAGGATGAGCTATAAAACGTCTAAATTCGACAAATTTAAGGTACTCTCCCAAAAAATCGGAAACGACTTTTCCATCGACCCAATAGAATAGAAGATATTCAGCTGAGTGGGCAAGCGAGACACTTTGAAAGCTTACAATTAAGGTTTGAAAGGTTTTGATATTGATTGTCTTTTCTTTTTTCTTTTACTTTACTCACCAATACTCGAGTATGATCAACCCCCGCACCGGCTCTTTGTGCTCATCCTGAAGCTCGGGGATCGAGCTCATTATCAATCCTAAAGGTACTATTTATTTATGGATAATCAACAGTTAACCCTGGCAGAGTTAACTGCTGGATGGATTGGTCGACGTAAATTCTTTCACCTGCTTGTAATTTGTTGTCATCGATTTAGAAATCTAAGCTCTTACAATTGTACTCTACAATATTTACATGTAGAGCAGCTACCGTAAATACTGTAATAGTACCCCAAACCCCCCTCGTACAGTCGCGTAGTCGCTAGTCGCAAAAGTTTTTTAGTATTTTTCAAAGCGTCCGTACTTTCAAAAAATGCGTCTTTGGTATCAAAAAATAGCCCTGAATTTCAGGGCTATTTTTTGATACCTAAGCGCGCATTGTAGCATAAACCAGTGTCGAGAAAAACTCGTTCAAAGCTAGACTACCCGACACTCCGCACCGTCATTATGGGGGTGCGGTATTATTACAGTATTTACGGTAAATTGAATCTAATAACGAGATTATACACAAATTTTCTTTGATCTTCGCCGCCAATCCTCTTAAATTGCCCGCTTTCACCGTTTGTTTTCTCAAAATTTACAACTTCTTTTGAGAAACGTTTCTAGTGCCAAAATGATGAGGCTATTTTTTTGTTTTTATATTCCAAAAAATAATAGAAGAATCGTGATGAATGGTGAATGGATATTCCCCAAAAAAATAAACTCGAAACGCATTGTTTAAAGTGCTTTGACCTAGCCGCTAATTTCAGTATTTTTGACTTATGGTTAAAGAATGGTTAAAGATTTTTGAATTCTGAATTGAAAGCTCAAATCGCGGCGGGCGATTATAGATTGTTCTCAAGAAAACTGAATGAAATCTCTACTGAGACTCTCGAGTTATAGCCAGAACAGACAACAGACAAACTTTGCGTTCTTATAACAAGTATCCAGAGAACAACTAGTTTTTGTTTTCACTTACCGGCTAGTGAAAGCAAAACGAAAAGCGCTGACGATATCGAGAAGACTTTTGCCGCTAATGAGCTACGGGGACTTTCGAGAAATCTAAAAACTTGACCTTCTAACTTTTCTTGTTATTTTTTTTAGTTTACCTATATATCATCAATCTCTGCTTTCCCCACATCACTTTTTCGAACATTGATGATGAGTGTTGTTCGCTCATCATTGCCTGAAAAAGGAGCAAGTTTTTCAATCGCTCAAAGCAGCAAAAAAAAACCCAGAAAATGCGTGGTAAACACAAGGGATCTGGCAAAGTTAAGAATATATTAGCTATCTTTTTTTCAAGTTTTAAAACAAACCTTGAAAAAAAGACGTGTTTTACGTTTTAAAAAACACTGCACTAGATCCGTTGCGTTTAGGAAAAAAAACGTTTCCCCCCGGCTTTTCCCCTCAAATCCCAAACGTTCAAACACATGCTATTCATGAGAACATGCAAAATTTTCTCTATCTTTTTTTCCAATTTTTAGGGAGTGGGACAAATGCGCCCTTTTTTTGCGCACCCGGACATTTGCGCACCTTTTTTTCCGCACCTTGCCCATTAGCGCACCTTTTTTCGCGTTTTAAAAAAGCTCTAAAAAGCTAATATTAACCAATTTCTATTCCAAAAGTTCTTTTTCTAGGTAATTTTAGGGCGTAGAATCGAAATTCTGACATATCAGAGCTTGTGGAAACAAGTTTTTTTTGGTTGGTTCCACAAGCACTGATATGTCAAAATTTGAATTCGACACCCTCAAATTACCTAGAAAAATAATTTGAAAGACAAAACGGCTAGATCAAATTACAGAAAATTGTCGATTTTTCTCTTTGTATAAATCCGTCCGTTTGTTTCCACAAGCTCTGATATGTCAAAATTTCGATTCTACGCCCTAAAATTACCTAGAAAAACAACTTTTGGAATAGAAATTGATTAATATTAGCTTTTTGGAATAGAAATTGGATAATATTAGCTTTTTAGAGCTTTTTTAAAACGCGAAAAAAGGTGCGATAATGGGCAAGGTGCGGAAAAAAAGGTGCGCAAATGTCCGGGTGCGCAAAAAAAGGTCGCATTTGTCCCACTCCCAATTTTTATATGAACATGCCAAAAACACACGTAAATATTTGATCATTTGATTTGATATTAAAGCAATTTAAAAATCATTTTCAGTCATTTTCAGTCATTTTCTTTAACAAAACAAAGGTACAGAATAACCACGCTTTCCCAGAGCTTCTTCGATTACCTCTATCTCCTAAAAAAAATCGACTTTTCAGGTAGATAAACACGACAAACGTTTTGTTAGTTTTTGAAAAAGAATCAAAAGAAATACATGCATAAATTTGCATCGAAGAGCTTTAAATGAGATGAAGATTTTCGAGAGTTTTCACCTCTAAACCAAACCTCTCTTGCCCTTTTCGCTTCCCTTCCCGACGCGTCCTCGATCACACAACAACCCGCCAGCAAATGCACGGGAATACGCCAAAAATCAAGCTCATATCGTAGCCGAAACGGGCACACGTCCAACGGTCGATGTAATTTACCTAAACTTTGAAACACTAATCTACTATCAAAGTTTTTAACTAACAAAGATTTATTCGAATTGCAAGTGTCTTCCATATTCTTTTTTCTAGGGTGTTTACAGTAGGTTTTTTTTATATAATTTACCTATGATAGTCTTGCTTACTGGCCAACTTATAGCTACGGTTATGGAATATATGACTTAAAGTGTGTTGAGTTTAATATAAAGGAATAAGCCGATCAAGATCACTTACCAGTAATGTAAAAGTCGACAATGTACTCGAAAATGGCCGGTGATCGTTCAAAATAGTACTCATCGGAAGTCTGAAATTATTGAGATTTATTCTTTTTCTTTATTACTTTATTATTGTTATTACCAGTGGAAAACGCTCACTAACGTTCACGTTTTCCGCGCAATTTAAGCCCCGCTCCTTTTTTGCTAATGACTGCGCACAGACGGACAGACGGACAGACGGACAGACGGACAGACGGACAGACGGACAGACGAACAGACGGACAGACGAACAGACGGACAGACGAACAGACGGACAGACGAACAGACGGACAGACGGACAGACGGACAGACGAACAGACGGACAGACGGACAGACGGACAGACGGACAGACGGACAGACGGACAGACGAACAGACGGACAGACGAACAAACGTCTCTTCTCCTTTATAGTAGATTTCTATTATTTTATTACCTCAAAGAAAGCATCACATTCGGTTAGCCGTTCCACGTGAGATTTCCGACAGAAAACACCCAATCGACCGCCTTCGACGCGGGAACACAGCTGGAAGAAACGGCTTAGAAATTATTTTCAGAGTAGAGGCTTTTTCTAAAAAATGAGTCACATTTTAGCAAAAAGCTCTTGTTTTTTCTAAAGTCGATACAATGCTATAGCTATAGAAAACAAGAGCTTTTTGCTAAACGTGAAATTGACTCGTTCTACAAAAAAGAAAACCCCATGTATTAGGTTGGCAAGAAAGTTTTAAGAATTTTTTTTTTCATTATTCTGTTTAAAGAAAGCACAATGCGTTGATTGACTTAAGAATTTTTTCATTAGAAAGGGCGATTATTCCTCTACAAAATTGCTTTCAATTTCTAAACAAAAACTTCTAAATTTCAATTTTTTTTTTTTTTTTGAGAAGCGAGAAGTGAGGTAGTTAAAAATTGTGACATGTCATGTTGCAATTTTGAGCATTTAGCTTCGAAGAAACCCCTTTTCGTGTCAATAGAGCAAAAAAAATAAAAAAAAAAAGAAGATAGAGCTTAGAAAATTAGGTAGATGGCAAAAATTTCGATTCTACACCCTAAAATTACCTAGAAAAAGAACTTTTGGAATAGAAATTGGTTAATATTAGCTTTTTAGAGCTTTTTTAAAACGCGAAAAAAGGTGCGCTAATGTCCGGGTGCGCAAAAAAAAGGTCGCGTTTGTCCCACTCCCATTTTGAGCATTTAGCTTCGAAGAAACCCCTTTTCGTGTCAATAGAGCAAAAAAAAATCAAAAAAAAAGATAGAGCTTAGAAAATTAGGTAGATGGCAAAAATTCGAAAAAAATCTTTTCAATCGTTTTTCTTTCTACAAGCTTTTAATGTGATTTTTCGAAAAGTGAGCTTTTTTTTCTTTAAATTTTGCTCCAAAACTTGACTCAAATTTGCGTAAATAAATACCGTATTTTCTCTAATAGTAATGCACCCAAAGCTTCCCCTAAATTCCTCGAAATCTCAAGAACCGCTTATCAGAACCTATCGATGTGTGGGTCGGAAAATGTAGCTGACGATGAGATCTAGTAGGGGATTTGAGTGTCGAGCTTCTGCAAAGCCTTGGAAACCGTAAAATAGTGATCAACTCGGCTCACCGGGAAATATTAGGGAAATGGATCAGTCTAATCTACTAGCTTAACCTGGAATAATATACCGTCTTCTCTCTAATAGTAGTGCACCCTGAGCTTCGCCTAAATTCCTCGAAATCTCGAAAAGCGCTTATCAGAACCTATCGATGTAGGGTCGGAAAATGTAGCTGACGATGAGCTCTAGTGGGGGAATAGAGTGTTGGACTTCTGGGAAAACTTAGAAACTGTAAAATCGTCATCAACTCGGTTCGCCGGGGTGAACTACTATTAGAGAAAATACGGTAATAAAGATTTCTTTTTTTTGTTTGTTTAAAGCAAATCTTATTTTAATCGACGCATTGTGCATTTTAAAAAAATTCTCACAATCAACTTTTCAACCTAATAGATTTTACGTTAATCTATCAAGGGATAAAAGTAAATTTTCTTTTCAACATTCGAATATCTCTCACCAAATCCGTGGGCAATTTTGCCCTTCTCCCGCCAACATTTATCGTGATAAGTTGCGTTGCTTTGATTGCTCCATTTAGTGTCAATGGAGGCAAATATGGGGGTAAATGGGCATTTGGTAACAACGGCTCGTCCATTCGTTGAATCGTCTGAAAAAGTCGATTTGAAGTTTGCGAAATGTTAGAAACTTCTCAAAGAAAACATTCAACAGTTGAAAGGTTGAAATTTCCGAGAAAAATAAGACATTTGAGAAAATGGGACATTCGAGAAACAACTTTCCCGCGGTCGGACGAAAGTTCTTTGACCAGGTAGAATTTTTGATGAAAAGTGGCGCAAGAGGGGATCGAAAACTCGCAAAAAACACGCCTTCAACTACCTTTTTTCGAGTTTAGACATCAAATTCATTCCCGAAAACAACATTTAAATGATTTTATTCGAATATTTAATTGAGAGAGATTTTGCAGAGAGATCTTGCAAAACTTTGAGAATTGAAATTCGAGTTTTGCAATTTCTCCGAGTTAGCAAACTTGATTTTAGCAAAAAGTTACGATTCTATTCTTTTTGATCATCACAAATTTAAAGGCATTAACTGATTTAGGATAACAATAACTATTCATATCGTAAATCGTGTGATTAAAGTTTGGAATGCCCTTCCCGACAAATTGCGTTTGATCTCCACCGTAGCTGATTTTAAAAGGGCTACTTCGTTGCATTTTACCGTAAATACTGTAATAGTACCCCACCCCCATAATGACGGTGCGGAGCGTTGCGTAGTCTAGCTTTGAACGAGTTTTTCTCGACACTGGCTTATGCTACAATGCGCGCTTAGGTATCAAAAAATAGCCCTGAATTTCAGCTATTTTTTGATACCAAAGACGCATTTTTTAAAAGTACGGGTGCCTTGCAAAAAATGAAATACTCAAAACCTTTTGCGACTACGCGACTGTACGAGGGCGGTGGGGTACTATTACAGTATTTACGGTAAGTGACTTTGTGATCTTTTATCTGCTACATTTTTCATGTCGTTTTCGCACTTTATTTCATGTTCTGAATAAAGTATTTATATATTATATAGTATAAATTTCTATTTCTACTTCTTATGGCCTTTTAAAAATGGTTTAAATTTCAATTCAATTCCAAAACCATTGAATCATTCAAAACGCTTTTTTTAAAGATAACCAAAAATTTCTCGCTTAATTCATGCGAAAAAATAATCGCTATTTAAAGTGATAATTATTTTTTTACAATAATCTTCAGTTTTCACAAAGCAATTAGTTTTAAGGACCTTGAAAACACAAAAAAAATAGTAAACAAGTCAAAAAATGGTGGTGTGATCAATGTAAAATAGCTTTTAAAAAATTCTTATCTTAAATTTAATTAAAAATTTTCAATAAAAAGCGAGAAAACAAAAGAAGAGTTTTTACGGATTCAAATCTGTAAACGGAAGTTTCTCAGAAATTTTCTAAAGATTGAATAAAAAAGAATGATTCAATCTAGAGTCCAAAAAATTCCAAAAAATTTGTGTGTTTTTTTCCCCGTTGAATAGATTTTCGTCGATCAAAACAAAGGGTTTTGGGGGAAAAAGAAAGAAAGGAGAACGTCTCAAATCCGCACGAGAATCCCCCTTCCCAAGGGATTTGTTGAAACACCAAAAAAATCACCAATTGTTTGTTGAGCAGCTGACGAATTTGATGAATTCGTGGAGATTAGGTAAAGTTAGAATCAAGTAAAAGTTATCCAGTTAAACGAAAATTGACGTTTTCTGGAGATAGCGAAAGAGAGCTAGAATGCTGTAGCTAGCTAGAAAGAGGCAAATGCTGGAATGGAGACACAAATTTGTTGTCAGTGTCAGTGTTGAAATAAAAAAAAAGCAATTCAAATGAATAAAAAAATGCAAAAGAAATTCGGTTTTTTTACAAACATTACTAACATTTAATCAAAATCCCTTTAGGTAACAATTTATTCGAAACAATAAACACCATCGTTATCTATAAAATAACGATGGTGTTTATCTATAAAACACCATCGTTATCTAAAAAAAAAACTATAACTCCGACGTTGTTTCAGATTGCGGATCCCTTTATCGAAGAACTCTTGATTCTCTGATTGAAAGTAGGCCACCCAGATCTTGACCTCTTGCGCATACTTACACTTGCAATTTGCATCGATCTGAAGAGATGAAAATGAAGAAATGATGGTGATAAGTCTAGACTATGCGGTAAGACCTATGCTGCAAAACCTATGCTGTAAAACCTATGCGGTAAGACCTATGCTGTAAAACCTATGCGGTAAGATCTCTGCGGTAGGACCTATGCTGTAAAACCTATGCTATAAAACCTATGCGGTAAGACCTTCCATCCTAATTTCTCTAACTCCATACAAGAAGCTTTCAAGAAGTGTGTGCTGGCGCGTTGTCACGGAGAAAATTGAGAGTCAAGGGATTTTTGACACTTTTGACGCAAGATTTGGTCAACCTTCTAGTGCTTTGAAAAAAATGAAATACTAAAAAACTTTTGCGACTACGCGACTGTACGAGGGGCGGTGGGGTACTATTACAGTATTTACGGTATGCAAATTTTAAAAGAAAACTAAAGAAATTTGATCAATAATAGCTCAATTTCGTTTTCACTTTGTGGATAAGCTCTCATTGTTGGAAGCCTTATCCAGGATAATCCCTTGTTAGCTCAAGAGAAAAAAGAAAAAAAAGATAAAGTGAAAAAAGTAAGAGGGTTTCCGAATCGATTCATTAAATTAAAAGATGATTCATTTTTAAAAAGAAATAACGAAAAGAATGTAAATTGAAGAAAATTCTATTACAAAGAAATTGAAAATTAATTGAAAGCTGATAAATTGTTAGAACAATTGGGTAACTAAAGCGTGAAGAAACTAGAGAAAGCGAAGAGCCGATGGTGCACTAGAAAAGATGCGTTTCTGCTTGTCGATCACAAAGTACATCTTCAGAAAGATCAAGCTCGAGTATAGTTTCGAATTTGATCTTATTTTTGAGCCCAACCGATTTCACGTTTCATTGCACTGAACTTCTACTCAAAAAAGCTCATTTGATCATTGAAATGAAGGTCGAAAATTGAATTAAACAGAACAGAATTTTTAATTACTTTAAAAGAATTTTGTTTACATAAAATAAAAGCTTTTTAAATAAAATAAAAGATTTTTGTATAAAAGAAAAGATTTTTATATAAAATAAAAGCTTTTTAAATAAAATAAAAGCTTTTCACATAAAATAAAAGATTTTTATATAAAATAAAAGATTTTTACATTTAAAATACAAAAAAATATGTCTTCCATTGAAATTAATTACAAAAATCCAATACTATTTCGATTGCTTTTCATCCAGGAAATAGAAATTCGAGTTTCTTTGAAATCTAGTTTCAAATTTTAATTTGAAATTTGAAATTTGACATCTTTTCCTATTTCTTTTAATTAGTATTGAAGTGAAATTTCCGTATAATTGCATAGAAACTTTCAAAATTCTCTAAGGATTTCAAAATTGAGAAAAGCTTGAGAAGAAAGAGAAAGAAAGGGTAGAGGATTTTGAACTATGAAAAGAAACCTCTCTTCTACAACTAAAGGGTAGAGGGTTTTGAACTATGAAAGGAAATCTTCTACGACTAAAGAGGATTTTGAACTATGAAAACAAACCTTCTACAACTAAAGGGTAGAGGATTTTGAACTATGAAAATAAATCTTTCTTCTACAACGAAAGGGTAGAGGGTTTTGAACTATGAAAACAAATCTTTCTCCTACAACTAAAGGCTAGAGGATTTCGAACTATGAAAAGAAACCTTTCTTCTACAACTAAACTCTTTAAACTTTTTTTTCTTTTAACAATGAGTTTATGAATAATAAAAGAAAGAAGAAAGGTATAAAAATGAAAATCTGTAAAATATTCAATTTAGATGAGAATCGAAGCGACATCACTATGCCAACCATCTTGAGAAAAGTTTTTTGGAAAGGAAAATGACAAAGAAATGAATAAAAGTGATTCCAAAAAAGTTCTCTTATTATTCTTTTTCTAAGAATCAAATAAAACATGGGATTTATGGGATAAAGTTCTTGTCTTTTAAAAATAGACATCAACTTTTACAATGGTTTTTTCAGATAGAAAAGATTTGAAGGAAAATGATTTACCGTATTTTCTGTAATAGTAGTGCAGTCTATAATAGTAGTGCAGGCTGTAGTAGTAGTGCAGTCTGTAATAGTAGTGCAGTCTATAATAGTAGTGCAGGCTGGAGGGGGGTTGAAAAAATAGTAGTGCGCACTACTATTACAGAAAATACGGTAAACGGATATTTAAGTCATCACAATTCTCGATATCAATTTTACTTTTGGTTTAAAACTTTTCAATTTTACATTATTAATGCCAATTTTTAAGTTCTTTAGTAAAATTGATATCGAGAATTGTGATGAGAAGTTTTGAGAATGGAAATGGAAATGATTAGCCAAAAAATCAGCCATCAGGCCATCAACCATCAGCCATCAGCCAGCAGCCATCAGCCATCAGTTAAAAACGTTGATCATGTTAAAGGATTATGATTCAACAAAAATAAACCATTTTATTGACTTGTCATTTTATAAAAGATTACAGTTTTTGTTTTGTTTTATACAGAGTTTCCGATAAAAAAAAGTGATCATCGGTTTGAGCCTGAAAAAATTTTCTCGTTGTTTTTTTAAGGCTTATCGTAGTGTCAGAATTGGTTTTGCCTCAGGCATCACACAATAAGATTAAGTTTTTGATTTTCTTTTGATGATTTTGTGAATGGGGGATCATGCATCAGCCGGAGAGCTTAAAATCCACGTATACACGAGAAACAGACTTTTAAATTCCTCTATTTCACCAAAAATCTTCCTACTTTTTATCTCTATAAATTTATTTTGATATAATAAGAGGCTCCCAAAAAAAGGCTCAAAAAGTCGATCCTCGGAAAGCAGCAACAAGAGGGTTTTCTCGTTTAAAAATGAATCATAAGCTCATCATCATAAGCTTTTTGAAGCAATCAATCCAAAAATGCAAACTGAAATTGTGACTAGAAAATTAAAAGAATTTATTAGAATTAACATTAGAATAAAAGAATTAACAAAGCAAATTTATAGAGATAAAAAGTAGAAAGATTTTTGG